CAAATGTTACCGAAAATGTCCATTATTCCTTGTAAAGTGGTTAACGAAACTCTGTACTGCCCCCCTGTTTATGCAACGGATACTTTCTTGAATCTTTAACGTAAACACATTTTTATTATCCAACATTTGATCGTTAAAATTCGCTAAAGGGTGCGTTTTAATTTTCCTGCGGTTCGTCTGTTTAACAGCGGTTGAATATAAAATTAAAACATGTGTTCTAGCCCGTTTTCTTCAGAAATCCAGAAATCCGTCTTAGAAACAAGGTAGCTACTTAACCTTGTTAATAATGCAGAGGATCGGAGGCACCCCGAAGAGACCTCGGTACCGAAGACTTCCGATCGACGAATGAACCGCATTACCGTCGACACGTGCTGGAAAAAGTATCAAATCGAACGTCTCTAGATCGTATGCCAACGATGGTTGTATTGGGTGAATGATTCAAAAGAAAACTCCACGGCAAGAAGGGATCGTCTGTGAGCCTACTTTGCGACGAGGTGGGCACTGAATTATTTCTACGGATTATCGAGCTCAAGTCGGCTCGTACTTCTTGGATACTTAAAGACTGCATCGAACACTGAGTTTCTTTTCCAGTCAAGATTATGCGCTCACGCGCAGAAAAAGAAAGTCTAGTTCATCGAACAGCGTTCACCTGCGTTTAGTTTGTTACAGAAAATATTTTAGTAATTATACCAAGGTCGAATATCGATATACTTGGTAATGACTTTAATATTTCCAGCGATTTATCACAATTTAATATGATCGACCAGGAATTATCGACCAAAGAATTTTGACACGTCAATTAAACTTGCCATTTATCAATCGCCCTGATAAAAATAGCCCATGTAAATTCCAGTAAAATCACCGTATCTCCCAAATCGGCATCTAAGTTAAGTTAGAAACTTATAACGTAACTACGTTAAGAAACTTATAACGTAACATTACATTTAATTCAAGGAAGAATGCACTAATACGGCAAATTTAGAAAATAAATTAATTAATATTTTTTTTTCTCCATTTTACCTTTCGATTTTTATCATTGCATATTCTATGGTTCAACCACCCAAAATTATATTGGTTCAACCAAGTGATTTTCTTGCGAACCACGCCGAAAGTTTTGTCGGTTAGAAAAAAGTTATAAATTGAATTAAATGGTGACACCCGAGTTTCAATTAGATTTGGATGCAGCTGCAGTTTACTCCGTGAGATACCCGGTGAGACTGAGGTCTTGCACTTCGTTGCCATTTTTTTTACAGGGCTTCAGTTACCGACTTCGCATCTTCATGCCTCTTGAGTTTTACCGGGATAACATTACACGGATTTTTCGGTAAAAAGCTAGCATTTCCTCCTTCTCGCTGACATTCGCAATCAACGTGGACCCATTGAGGTGCATCGTTCGGTCTTCGCATAATTGTCCTCGCCGGTCTTCCTGGGCGTGTAACAGCAGAGTACCCTGAAGAGCACCGAAGACAACGCAGTTTCCCTAGGTTAGAAAAACAAAAAAGAAAAGAAAAAAGAAACCTGTTGTTATCCGGGAGCGTAAGCGCGGTTTATAGTACGTCACAGCGATTCCCGGAGATTCGGCGCAAGAAACACAATTATGTTTGATGGGCTCCCGGCACTTGTTCGCCGCCCTTTGATGGACGGTGAACTAGAGAGAGCGAGAAAGCAGAGCGTTTCGTAGATTATATGCGTACTGGAAGCTATTTGACACGCCTCCGTTTTCGAGGAAGGGAATCCCGTAAACCGGCAAATCGATTCGAAGTAAACCACGCGGAATGGTCAAGTGCGTTTCGCGAGTTTCGCACCGGCGCTTCCTCGGGGTTTCTTCAGGGTGGAGGTGCCAAGGGTGATAGTATTTTCGAAGCTCCGAATGTATACCACTTTTCCCACTTCTCAAGAACTTGGTGGTCACATAGATCGCTCACCAAGGGCCGAGTTTATAGTAAATTTTGCTGAGGACTTAATACAAGTTATAAATTAATTTCTGTCTTCGAACGAGGAAGAGTTTGTTCTATTTTATACTCCAGGATGTCTTCAGGGTGTAGGTGCCAGGGTACTGGAATTTTCGGAACTCCTAAATTGTAAAATTTTTCCCTCTTCTCAAGAGCCTGGTGGTCACATAGATCGCTCACCAAGGGCCCAGTTTATAGGGAAATTTGCTAGGGACTTAATACGAATTATAAATTAATTTCTGTCCTCGAACGAGGAAGGGTTTGTTTCATTTTAGACTTCAGGATGTCTTCAGGGTGTAGGTGCCAGGGTGCTGGAATTTTCGAAACTCCTAAATTGTACAATTTTTCCCTTTTCTCAAGAGCCTGGTGGTCACATGGATCGCTCACCAAGGGCCGAGTTTATAGGGAAATTTTCTGGGGACTTAATATGAATTACAAAATAATTCCTGACCTTAGACGAGTAACGAGGCAGAGAGTGATACCACAACCCGTTCGAGAAAATACGTGTACATGGACATACGTGAGCCTCAACCTACGTACATTAAGTAGCTAAATCGACCGGCTAATATACATATTTTATACATATAATATCCATACATTATCTAAAATACGCGTGTTAAACGTGCACAAGGGATTCGTATACGTAAGCTTAAAATACGTGTATTATGCGGTATAACAAGAAGGCTTCTCACGTTGCAAAACGGGCCCTTCTGTACCGATCGTACCCCCGGTCGGGAGGTTAAATTAAAAAAGAAAAATCCTCGACAGGCGGTAAAATTATTAAAAATGATAATCTGCCTCCCACGATATCCTTGAACACGTCCACAGGCGTAATCAAAGTATCCTCGAATATTCCCTCGGCATTGAGTCTCTCGTTAGTCCGTCCATTTATTCCACGGGCCGACAAATGGAACGGACTATTAGCTCCCCGACTATCGGTCGAAAGTGACGAGAAAAAGGAGGAAAGAAACTAGAATCAAATTTATAATCCTCCCGTTTCGACACAGGGAACCATTTCGAATTCTATGCCCGGCTGTATGGTCCGTGGATTACCACTTCGTGGTGGGTCCCAGGAATCCCTTTTTCAAGCTACAATAGACCTCTCAACTATCCCCATTGTTCGCGTAACTTCTTGTAAAGCGTGAAATTAACACGTTTTTCACATTAATTGACGAACCTCCAGTGAAGCGTACAGTTGGGCTCCTGTCTCGCTCTTCGTACGAGTTCAATTGATTCCTCCATAAGGTCCAACGTTCAATTCGGATATATCTCCTTCCTCCTAAAATCGCTCGTTGGATTCGATTCTTCCAGCCGAGATAAAACGTTACACTTAAATTTTATCATGCCACGGACTGCGGTAATTGTACATATTACACTCGAGTTTATGAAGTAAGCGTTAGAGGCCAATTGCCGTTGATAGACGAGTTAATAATCATATGGCAATCGGCATGATTGATAACCCACAATTCACATAATATTAGCTTCAAATTGCGATTTACGAGCAGCCGTAATACAACACCGACATACGTCTAAGACAATTTTTGTTAACCGGAATATTTATTCGGGAACAATCGTTCAAATTTATATCTCTTACCGGAGAGAATGGAATAACTCAGTCCGTTACTTCACTGCATGTTACATATCACGTGCCCAATACCAAATAATAACCTACCAGTCCGATAGATCGAATAGACGTCACCAAGAACAATCGATGACTCTTCTTTCCTTTTTTCGTAGTCCATTCTGTAAGCGTGATTTAAAATTTCATTCGACAAAAGTTGAGTCATCCAGAGTCACTTCTTCCGTCCGAGGGACAATGGCAAACCAGGCGTTGAAGTCTCCAGTTCCATTCCTGTCGTAATTGATTTTTTTCAGATTTAAGACCATTTCCGGAGACTAAGCCGAGGGGTTCGCGCATGCAAAAGGGAAAGAAGAAAAGGAAGGATTAAAATCGTAACGCGGTTTGGCAATACACGAGGCGGAAGGCTCGCCAAACAAATGAGCCCAGGAGTCGACTAATGATGATTTGTGTTACTTTTTGGTCGGCCATCAAACCAATCGACGACGTGGAGGAGTGAATGGGGAATAGTGAAAGAAAGGAAGACAGGATCGAGCTCTCGGTTGGGTTCCCGTCGAGATCGAGGGCCTGAAGAGGGTCCTTCCAATTCTCACCAACAATGACCAGCTGTAGATCAACTGCATAATGGGATTAGAGCGTTGTATGCTTTGCGGCGTCTTAATAGCGGTGTCGGGGAAGCGATACTTCTTCTTCGACGAGCCTGAAAAAAAACATTAGGGAAAAGAAGGGGCCAGGCGTCGATTCACGATGAATCCGAGTTTATTTCTCATTCTCTTCCTTTCAATCCCCGCCGACTTCCATCGGTCCGGCAAACTCGGAATGGCGCATCCCAGATGCACCTCCGACCTCGAAGAGACCTCCGAGAAAACTGGAATCCGCGAATTCTCAATACCGATTGCCCCAACCGCAATTACCGTGAAATTTCATAACCGTGATTAACACATTCCGAATACCTGAAATTCCTGTTGGGCCAACAAAAATGAAGTTAACCGACGATTAAAATCCATTCTTGGACAATCACCTGAAGTCGGGCGATTAAGTAATCCTTGGTTATGGATGACAGACTTGGCACACGGCACAATTGAAACACAGGATATGGTACAAGTGGAATATGGAGCATGGTACAATTGGAATATGACAGACTTGGCACACGGCACAATTGAAACATAAAATTTCATTCGACAAAAGTTGAGTCATCCAGAGTCACTTCTTCCATCCGAGGGACAATGGCAAACCAGGCGTTGAAGTCTCCAGTTCCATTCCTGTCGCAATTGACTAACAAAAATGAAGTTAACCGACGATTAAAATCCATTCTTGGACAATCACCTGAAGTCGGGCGATTAAGTAATCCTTGGTTATGGATTTTAACTCGAATGTTGGGGCGATCAGCCCTTAGTAGGATATCTTCGAGCCTGCTGGGGATGACCAAGAGGGAAGAACGCAAGAATCGGAGCGACGTGATCGTCTTCGAGTCCGTGGTTATATTTGCACTTTATATACAATAATTTATTTATCCAGGCGTTAGACTTACCGCTACGAATACTTTTGAACTAATCCGGCCGCCCGAGGGTCCTCGTTCGCCAGGAGGTCGACGGTAGTACGAACTTTCCTTAAGACTTAAGTTTTAAGTCTTTACACGAGTGTCATCAGTTACCGACAACTCCCTCGTCGGGTCTACCTATTGTTTCCTACCATCGCTACGTAATGTCCGAGTTAAAATCCTCATACAACAGTCGACGTCGCGCCCCTTGGACCTCGCCTCAAAGTGTACAGATCTGTTGCTTGAAACGACGCAACGCAACGTCATTGTCGACCTTAAAACAACGCTAGTTTTCACCAAGCGAGGGAACAAGACGAACAAACAAAAGAATAAGAAGAGGAGGAAAGTACACGGACGCAGCTCCGACGAAGAAACACTCGTTCCTCCTTCGTGAACTTCGCAACGATCGTGAAAAAGTACCGGGCCCGTTTACCGATTTAACGTCCTCGGATATAAATCGACCGATTCGCTCGATTCGACTGCCCGGTGGAGTCGATAAACGAGAGCCGCTACTTTTTCGGATAATCCTTTCTGCCGGCACCCAGCCGGCAGCGGAGAACCGACACTTTACGGCCGAGTAAAAGTGAGTACAGGGTTTACGGTACCGATGACTTCTCCGCCCGACAATTGCCTCGCATTTTTCCCGGAGTATATCCGACCCTTACAAGTACGCCGGCTTATCGCTACCCGGCGAGTCCGACACCTGCCTCGCTTCGTATCGGAAGTTAATTCATTTTATCTGCGCCCCGACGAGCCGCAAGTAACTTTCTAGCGCGATCACAATTACACCGGGATGTTTCCCTAAATCCGTGGACACGAGTCGTAGCCTGGAATTAATTACGTCGCAACGAATTCCAAGATTTCTCGCGGGACGGAGACGAGTGCCAAGAGGGAATTGAGATACTTTGGCGTTGCCGAATTAAAAAAAAAAAAACGCCAGATTCAGGACGTGGTATTACACTGGGGATGGATTTTTGAGACGTGGCAACGCGGAAGTATCTCAACGTCCCGATTCCATAGTTGGACAGCCATGTCCATCCTGTACACGATCAGTGGTCAATGTTCCCCTTACAACCGGCAGGAGTCATTCGTCGCGATTCCTCGATTCGTCTAAATAATTCCTCTTGATTCTGCCTATAGTGATCTTAACCGAGCCACGGCCACTGGGACCGACTTCCACCTGGAGGAGAAAAGTCCATGTACGCCAGCTTAACTACCACCCCCACTTCCATAACGCACATTTTCCACATACAATCCCGGATTGCCATGGAGTCCAAACTATCCAAGCAACGAAGACCCGCAACGTCTCTACATCGCCCCCGCTCCAAGGATACCGTCTTCGGGAGTACCCCACCCCCAGGAGCACCGTGAAGCACCCTCCAACGTTTCCATCGTTCTATCGCCGGTGCACGTCGTCGAAAGCGCGAAGACCGGCCAGGGCGACTCGCAGGCGTCACAGCCATCATTGGGTACCCTAGGAGGTCATCCTGGACCGAATTCCAAGTTCTCGGGATTCCGTTTGAAATCCGAGTGGAACCTCTACAGAGCTAATTCCCGACTGGCGGAGCCATAAGGAGTCCTCTGTATCTCCGCGGTGACGACGGACAGGGGATACCCGGCATAGAGTGGCCTAGGCATCAGGAGCATGGACCTGCGTCCCAGGGCGTTGGACATCTTGGCGCCCTCCTCCTCGTCCGGCGCGATGATGTTCTCGATGGTGAAGGGCTTTTTCATCTTTCTGCCGATCCGCGCGAGGCTGGCAGGAACGACCTCCGGGTTCTCGGAGAGGGTGGTGGCGCCGGTCATGGGCGAGGTGGGTACCGCGGAGAGAGGAGTGACGGCCATTGTGCCCTGGCCGCCGTTCACGACGGGCGACACCTGGGGGTTGGTCCTGCGATCGGGCCCCTGGTCGGGACAGTCGCCGCCGCTGGAGACGGGCGATACCTCGGCTCCGAAGAGCCCGTCTCGCCGAGAGTAGCCCTTGGACTCGGAGCCCAGGGAGTCCGGCGAGGTGCCCGCTCGGTAGAGGTCCATCCTGGCCGAGGACGAGGGGGAGGTCGAGTCCTCTTCCGCGTGTCGGTCGCGGAATCCCACCTCGTAGCCCCTGTCTTGGAATCGGTCGGCCTCCTTGCCGGGCCCCAGGGCGGCGGCCGGGCAGGTCCTTCCACCGCCGCCCCCCTCCGGGATGTCCAGCCGCAAGGACGACTGCCTGGCCGAGGGCTGCAGGTACGCCGGCAGCTGCGGCAGGTAGCCGGAAGCCCCGAAGGGCGAGAAGTTCCAGGAGCCGGTCTGCAGCAGGGTCGCCTCGTACGACCTGGTGACCTCCGCCACCTCCGGCCCGCCCAGTCGCTGGCGGGCCTCCGGCGACAGCAGGTAGTACCCGGCGGCGGCGTCGGCGGCGCTGCCGTCGAACCCGTAGCCGTTGGCCGAGCTGGCCGCCGAGGTCGCCGCCACGACCATCCGCCTCTCTTGCATCTCCCACCTGAGCAGGTCCTCCTGGAGTCGGTGCAGGCTCGCCGCGTTCAGCCCGCCGCTCGTCCCGCTCGCCCCGCCGGCGGGCTCCGGGTGCGGGGGCGGCATCGCCGACGCCAACGCCTGCAGCTCCGACTTCAGCAACTCCTTGTCCGGCTTGTGCAACTTGAAGCGCTTCCGACGACGCAGCAGCGAGCCGTTCTCGAACATGGAGAGCGCCGCCGGGTGCAGCGCCCAGTACGCCCCCTTGCCCGGCCGGTGCGGTCCGCGGGGAACCTGCAATTTTACAAACGTTCTTCCTTCACTCTTCTCAGGGGACGGTTTAATAATCGCGACCCAAAGACGTTCCCCTCCCCGTCATTTTATAAGCATTAGCCGCGGCGCCCGGTGCGTCGAGGAGGACCAGGAAGGGTACTCCTTGTCCTCCTTGGCTGTGGCTCCTCTGCGACCGATCGGCCCGAAGGACGCATTACTTCTCGTAGACCTGGGAATACCTTCCCGATCCAAGCCGACAAAGTGTAAACACCTTTGCAAACGTCCGATCCGATCGACCGTGGTGTGCAGCCATGGCCCATGGGCGAGGGGCCCCACGCATTGAAATCACTCGAAACAACGTTCTTTTCCAAAAACCGACCGAGATTCGCGTGACAAGAAACGATGCAACTACGTGGGATTAAAATGCTCGGGATTTCTCACGTTCTCTCATTTTCAATATCCTACTAGCTACCTTCTCTAATCTCCGATTATTTTCAACGGAATTTCAATGACCGTTGCAATTTCAATATGTCAGGATGCTTCTATTAAACTTCCAGAATTAGAATTATGCTTCCGTGATTTCCTGCCAACCTGAGCCGCATTCGCCTAACGATTGTCTTGTCTCTAACGTCCACGGGGGACGTCTTTTTTTTCGCTAAACCCTCTCGCCTTTTAAACCTCGGAATAATTACTTCGACAAAATGTCTCTCTCTCTCGACCCCCTCGAAAATTATCGACGTCGGTGACGCGTATAAGCCGCCATATTCCTGCCTCTAGATTCCACTCGACGAACGAGGTGAAGGTAATCGTCCGGCACACACGATCGACGTTCCCGTCATGTTTTATTAACACTTTCATCGCCATGGCCGCTTATAAGCACTTCTAAACTTACACGCAAAGGACTTCCCGGAGAAATGAAAGGGTTAACGAACCGTACGGCCGACCTGGTGCAACTTATGGACGCCGGTGTACATAGGAAACACGCGGCTGCACAAACTGCGTAACTTCGCCTCTTAGGCCGCATAACTTCGCCGGCGATCAAGTTACACGTATTCCGACAATCCACCGTACATCGACGGGCACCGAGTACTGTACGTATGCATTTACAATTAAGAATAAATACCGATCAAACGGTCTACGTTAATACCCTGTTCAAAAAATTTACAAAATTCATACATTTTTAGTAGATAAGGTTGCACTAACATTACATATTTCACGTCTTAATAGTGAAGTGGCATACATTTATTGTACAATAAAATTCTAAGTGAATTTACGATTTTACCCCACCGTGTTGTAATTTTATAAAATTTCTGAGAAAAATTATAAGTCCGATATTCGAAAGTTATTTGGTACGCCCTGTTTGTACATTTTTTTTTAGATGATTTTTTAATTTCATTATCGTTTACTTATGTTTATTTTTAAAGAAATTTAATCGAAAGATGGCAAGTAGCGATGATACTGGCGGAAAAGCATCGTAACGACATTCTTGAGTCCGTAAAATATTTAAATGTTTAAAAAAATTCTTACAATAAATAGAAAACTCCAGTAGCATCGTCGACAACGTACCTGCTACTTTTCCCTGAGTTTCGGATTCGATGTCGCGATAATTGCAAAAAGATTTTTTTTTCGGCGTTTAAGGTAGGGCGATCTCTAAAATCGTCCCCGAACGTGCCCGGAACATATGTCAAATTTGTTTGCTTGCAGAAAAAACGTTTAATATCGAGTACCGATCGACACAAATTTGCAACATATATTATAAAATCATTACACCTATGTACTAAATTTATAACATATCTCATACATTTTATTTGAAAATGTGTTATAAAATTAGTACACCATGACTGAATGAAACTTCCAAAACAAAAATGTTGTAACATTATAATAATTTTTTAACACTGTACCCGACCGAGGGCAGTCGACGTATCGGGTAATAGGTCCATGTCATGACAATGTTAACGCAAACAATGGGACCGTAATCGTCACGAGTCACGGTGACGACGTGTTTTAAGAGATGCATAGTTCCAAAGGGGATTATTTTCTCCCTTCCATTTTTCTAAAAATTACTACCGAGTGATAATTTACTCTTATACCTCCGAAGCTACCTCGAGCTTCCCACGAGCGAGGAAATATCTCTCTTCGAATAATGAAATATGACGAACTAATGAAGAGAGCGACCGAAATCGTCCAATCTCGTCCCCTCCCCTCCCCTAGCCCACACCCTTGATAACTTATCACGGTGGAGTTAAAAGGCGATACAATGTGGCACCGCGTCTCGAGCACTCGGTCCGACTCTAAAAACAAACATTTCATGGAAACCGGTCTCCTTTATTGACGCAGCAACGAAGTAGCCAAACGATTTGCATTTTCTAATATGTATGCAAATCCCGGGGTCATTAATACCTCGCCGGGCAATAATTCGCGTCTCTTTCGCCCCCTCCCCGGACAGTGGCATTAATTTCTCCTTCTCTTTCGCGTTTCCACGCGGACAGGCGTCCAAAGTCGACGAAAAAATGATGCGGCCATTCCAAGAAGGACAACGAGTCGTTTCACATGCCGCGAGGAAGATCTCGTTCCTACCGACAAACATATTACTTTGTTCACAAATGTGAGGTTAGGTTAAGCATTTAATTTGAAATAAATAGAGCGGAATATTTTTCTTTTCTCAAAGCTGTATTATTCACCCTCAATTTGCCGTTTTCTAAGTTACGTTATCTTAATTTTTCTTAAAGTTACATTTTTTTTTTCTTTTAGAGTATATCACTGCATTCCTCCCGAGTTGCTCGACTTGTTTGTACGAAAAATATATGAAAGAATTTATTCCTCCACAATTTTATGATTGATACATCAAGTTGAAGGTTTCCAGCATTAACATGAATTTTGTCGGAATTCTTTGAGGGTATTAACAGGGTGAAAAAAAAAAACGGCCGGACGCGAAAGACCCAGGTTTTCAGACGGGAGGTGGCGAAAAAAACGTTTACAGACGAAGGGTTAAATTTACGGCAAATATTCGCGGGATATTCTTCCCTCTTGTCCCTCGTGGTCTGGATGGTTCGGATCATTGACATAAAATCGTAGACATTCTCGCCATTGCTTTTGAATATCCTCCGACCGTGCCCCTTCCACTCTCGTTCTTTATCGCTTGCGATATCGGTTGGCACCTTTTCGCCCCGAGGGCGGGGCTCGACTCTTATTCAATACGAGGTGCAAAAGTGCAATCGACTTGGCAGGTGCGAAACGGATGGTCCGAGTATAATCATATCTGCCGTGCGCAGTTGGAAACGCACCTTGTCCCCCTCGCACGGTTTTCTTATTGCACCTACGTATGTGCGCCGTGCTCACCTTTTAGTTAGTGCAGTTAATTCGGAGAGACGAAATCTCCTCCTCGAGCTCCGGTCTACGTAATCCCGCGTGACGTCTCTAGGAGAGAAACAATTACGAAAAAAAAAAAAAAAAACCATTCAAAGCCCCCAAACTTCAGTCTTCGGTGAGTAAGTTACGTTCCTTTTGAGTGTACAAACTATTGAATTATACGAGTTAACCACGACAGGTCGAAGGACGAAACGATAAGGCGTCTTTAAAACGGCAGAAACAAAAGCTGCGTCTAACAAGGAAGGTGTCCCAGGTCGATCTCTCCGATTTGATTTCTTTTACAATATGTTATAGTAGACTAAAAACTAAGCAACAAGTATTTTTTCTTATCTGCCATTAAACATTTTAAGGGGGTGAAACCACCATCCAAAGTAAGGCCTGTGAGGGGTGGCTCACCCCTTAATTTTTTTTGTTTTTAATTGAGAAAATTATATTTTCCATTGCTCGTTATGAGAAAGCTTTTCCAGGTGGATTGGTTAAAACAATATTATGTTCTTGTGGTGAAACTGCCAAATCACTCCTTGACATGCCTTACTTTGGATGGTGGTTTCACCCCCTTAAAGTGCTTAATGGCAGATAAAAAAAAATACGTGTCGCTTAGTTTTCAGTCTACTATAACATATTACAAAAGAAATCAAATCGGAGAGATCGACCTGGGATACCTTCCTTGTAAGTCAAGATCTCCGACGGCCGTCGAGGTCCGGAGGGACGAGCCGAACTGCTTCGCCAGTATCTTGAGGTAAAATCCCAAATAGATTGACGTCATATTTACTTTATATTGACTTCATGTCGTATGTTTACATTACTTATGGCGATCCTCCCAGCGTTGCGTTTCTCCTGCATGCCATTTGCACTAATTCTTATCTCGTGATGCAACAAAACGCTGTCACAACGAGATGATAGCGATTCCATTCATTGTGATAATCGTCCAGGGTCTGATATGACAATCTACACATATGTAGATACATAAACGGAACCTTATCTCAGTGTAGCTCAAATTTAAAGCGATCCTATGAGAGCATCGTCTTCGTCATACAATGCGGACGATATAGTCATAATAGTGCGTGAATCGTCGCACGATGATCACTACCTGGACGCCGTCTTCGCGCATCGAGCCCCGAGACGACCTGAGAAAAAGAAATCGCATCCCTGGGGAGTAACCATTCGATGGATTATATGCAAAGTGTGTCGACAAACCTTAATGAAGCAGTCGTTGAACGAGAGGTTGTGCCTGAGGGAATTCTGCCACCTCCTGGTGTCCTTCCGGTAATAGGGGAACCTGTCGGCGATGAATTTGTAGATCTCCGCGAGGGGCAGCATCTTGTCCCTGGAGGACCATATGGCCATGGCGGTCAAGGAGATGTACGAGTAGGGTGGTTTCTGGTCGCCATACGTGTCTCTCGAGGGCCGCGGCATCATCGACGTCGAGGATACCTCGCCGTGATTCCTGAGTCGCGGAAGAGGAAGAGGTGGGTAAGAGAGTCGACTTCACGGCGGCGACGGTGTCATCCACCCGGGGGCGAGTCGAGGGCCCTCCTCGACCCTTAGCAGCGACATCCGCCGGGGGTGCCGACTCCTCGACGGAACGTTCTAGGCCGACGCGATCCTCGGCTCCTCCTCGCGGAGCCTCATGGCGCTGGAGCGACGTTGCCTCTTGCCCCCGGCGCGGCCCGGCTACCACCGCACAACTGGCAACCGCGCTCGGCGACACTGTCCGACACCCGCGGGCCGCGAATCGCGAATCACTCGGCTCGACCGCGCATAGCGCGACTGCCACTCGCGGGACGGAGAGAAAGAGAGAAGAGTAGACAAGGCGTCGGCCCTGTCGGAAGTCGGAAGAAGGAGCCGAGAGAGACGGAGAAAAGAGAAGGTATACTTGCCGCGGTCGGTGCCTCTCGGATACTGCGGGTTGGCCGACCCCATACCCCCGCGAAGGCTTCCTCCCCTCCACTGGGCGCCGGCGAGCGCGGCTCCGATTGGTGGACGTGGCCTCCGCCAAGACCGTCTGGCGCCGACTGCCGGCAACCAATGGGCGACGAGGACCGCCAGCCGGCACGGCGGAATGCGCGCGCAGGGTGGGGGAACCCTACGACGAGACCGAGCGAGTGGGGGGCGTGGGCGGGGCTTTGCGGAGTCCCACTTCGGGCCACCTTCCTCGGTCGTTTACCGTTTCCGCTTCGCTTCTTTCGCCAGATCCTCCAGGTATGGAATTACTCCTCGCGTCGATCGAGGTGGTAGAGAGGCTGCAACGCGCGGTAGCGGCCAATGGGTACCGAGTGCAGCGTCTCGGATCGCCCGCCCACCTTCTGGCGTACACCCAGCGGTTCGTCCTCTGCCCCGATCGATGCACTCCGAGGGGGCGCCCTCCCCTCCCCCTGTAAACGTCGTTTCGTGCCCCCGCCGCGTCGCAAGACGACCCCTTGTCGTTTTGCTCCCCGGTTATGACCTCGTGTAATAGAAACTTTAGAGACTCCCGTGCAATGCGCAGCTCGGCTTTGTTGCTCGATTGTACGTGCTCTGTCAACGAGCTGCGTCAACGAGGCGACGGTTTTTGGACACGCGCGGTCGATGATCACGCCTTCCATATAGGAGAACCATCTATGGAGGCGTATGCCATATTTGCGACGACGTCCGTCACTGCACACTTTTTTTTTACGCCTCGAAAACTCATTGGAACAACCATGGGTTCTTTCACAAGAATCGTTATGTATGAAAAAATAACAAATGAGAGTATTGAATAGGCGTCGGATGCCCGAAAGAAAGAGTCATTTTTATTCTGCCGAATGTTTGCGAGTAGAGGAAAACGGTATCAGATTATATTTTTTCGAGGTAGAGAAGTGCTAAATCTCGTGATTCCGTATTCGGAGACTCGAGCGTATATCCCGTCGGTTGAGTTGCAGAGCGCCGGGGTAGATAGGGAGAAAATGGGCGGGGCGTCGAGAGTTCCTTCTCTCGCGTCTCCGAGGAGGGGCGGGGCCCTGGGTGCGCAGGACTCGGTCCCGCCCCTCCGAAAGTGGGCGGATCTTGCACAGCTCGTGCCCCGTGCCTAATTACCCATGGTGTGCGTCCACCTCTCCGGAACGCGCGAGTGCGACGGAGAGGGCGCGACGATGCGCGGTCGCGAACGCGCAGGCTCGTCAGGCGGGGTCACGTGGTCACTGGGAAGCGCAAGGGAGGCGAAGAACGAAGGAAGATAATTGATTTCACGCTCGAGTAATCTCTCCTCTTCCCAAGGGGGGAAGATCGTAAAGCACGGCGTGCCTCGTATGTCATGGTCGCTAATACGGTCGCGACGCTTTGCTCGCTCGTATAACTCTCTTTTTCGTATCCGTTTTGCCAGTAAGCACCGTGTTTACGAAACCGAGTTTGACGCCGGTTCCCGAGTGTACGAGGAGGGCGGCCCTCCAAGCGCCATCATTATCTTTCGCCTCGGCCTCTGCTCGAGGGAGCATGTAACTGACTTTTTAACGACGAACCTGCGCTCGACTCGCTACCGATATGTGATAAACTGTAGAAGAAGTCTGCGAGAGTGATTTTTATTACGCATAATGGAATGTATGATCGAATAGATAGCAATTCATTGAATTTGCATAGCGTACCTTGTGTTTTATTGAACGTTCTGTGGATATGCAGACTATGTTATTTAGATAACAAAGCGTGTAGATATTCATAAACTTCCTATAAGTTATTTCTTTAAATAAAGCTACGATGCCATTAATTCTTGACATGGCATATGGCGTAAATTTAATTATCTATCCAATCGAGATGGTTTTAAGCCTAAGCGGTCAATAACGTATTCCGGCATACAATATGTTGGATTAAGTGGTTTAAGGGAAGAGTCGGCTTCGAGGAGCGAAACAGCGGTTAAGCCGAATAAAGTGTGAAAAGGATCGACCATATCTCCAGGACGGTCGCTGAAACCTCCTCCTTCGGTGTCTTGACACGTCAAGATAAAATCCAGCTGAAATTGTTTTTAATTCATCGTTAGCATCTACGTACGTACGTAACACCTTACTATTCGTTTCAAATATACGTATCACTTACTAATCGCTTTTTGTCTATCCAATGGAGTCGTCCCAAAATTGTAAGCGAAGAAAGCACCCACCATGAATAACATACGTCTGGTAATTTCTCAGGGCGACCATTTAATCCACCCGAAGGTAATTGCCTTTCACACAGCCACCAACCTAAGCGATCGGCATCTATCAAATGCAAGTGCCCTTGAATGATAAAAAATCATTTTGTAAGTATATTAGTAAAATTATTAATTTGAAGAAAGAAATTTTAAATTGGTACCTGTAATGGACAACAGTCCAACACAGCAGTATATGAGACCAGCGTGACTTTCTGACCCAGGTTTTGAACCAAATCCCCCATCAAAATTCATACAACTGGTAACAAACTCAACAGCTTTGTCTACGTCAATTGCGTCTAAGCGGCCCTGAAAAATATGTCCAATTATTTTAAAATTCTATCGGTTGTACACAAACTGAATGACAAAAAAGTATATTATAAGTCTTAAACACCTTACCAGTAACGATAATGTTGCTATTGCACAAAATGAAAATCTAGTATCGACTTCTCCCCAAACGTCCCCAGTAAAACTTCCATCTTCTAATTGCCTTTCTTTGACATATTTTACAACTTTATCTACATCGATTACATCCAAGGCATCGTACATACGTAGTATTTGAACTGCACTAAGTGTATAAAGTAAATGAGGATCATGATTTATGCTACCACCGATACCACCACAGTCATTTTGACATTTGCCAATAAATTCTAAAATTTCACTTCTATCGGTACATTCCAATTGCCCCATAAGATCTAATGCAGTTAGGCCCCAATACATTCCAGACATTCTTAAGTGTTCTGTCATACAATAAGTCTGAAAGAAGGCCATGTTATAAAATATGTATGAAATGAAATAACAAGAAGGGAAATAGAATAAAATAGACATACATAATCATCTTTGTTTGTACCATATGAAATCAGGTATTCTGCATGTTTCTCTAAGAGCAATTGTGGAATAGTAGTTGGTAATTCGACATCCTTTATCATTACTGACTAAAAACATAACATTTAAATATTATCACATTGAAAATGAAAAATACTAATGATGCGTCAAGATTACCATTTTGCATATATTACATGACCAATGTAGGGATTAAATATCATTCGACTCCTTTGGTAATTACGGTCTTATTCATATCTCAGGATGACACATTCGGAACTCCTAACCTAACTTTAATCGACACATCTTGGGGTACAGTATTCTAACATGATCGCATATTGACTGTGGACTCCTTGTAAAACACGGGGTAGTTATGCAACCTATAAAATATTTGCAACATTATGCACAAATTATTTTTTTATCATTTCACTAGATTCGGTGATAAAATTACTCGTAAAGTATATAAACTTTATTCGAAAGGTTTTACCGACCTCCAGGTGATGTCTGTTATGTCTCGTTTCCGTGTTAGTGATTATTCTGACACTGCCATTGGCTGGATAAAACTTTCCGTTGTGCTGTACGTAATTTTCCCTATACCTGACCAATGAACTTTAAGATTGGAGAACCTCAGGACTGTTCATAAATGTCGGCATCTAGACTTAGTTCGATAAATATACGTGTGATAAAGGTAGAGCAGGCTAGACGCTTCATCTTCTACTAATTAAAAAAATATCTATTAAACCTTTTTCTATTCTTAAAAAAATACTTGCGTATCATCTGAAGCATTTAAATAAAAATATCAATGGCAGAGAAAATTGCAATTTTTGTTACCACTAAACCTTTACATTGTATCTCATATAAATTTTTACATATTTTTCTGTTTGGTACATATCTTCATGTTAAGTATGAACATAGATGACCACCTCTTTACTTGAATAAATACAACAAACTGTAAAAACAAACATTCCATAAATATCCAATCATTTCTTTAATAATAATTGTAGACAATTGTCATATGTTGCTAATGATGACGGAATGCCTTCCAAGTGAACTAATAATGCTGCAGCATATGGAACATTTTTTTGCTCCATTAACTTGGAAATTAATAATCTGATATTGGGCTCAATTTCTGTTAAATCCTGGTCTACGAGAACTTCTTCAAGGATTTGATTATACACTGGATGATTTGGGCCAAATAATACCGTCATATTTTTCATAAACAACTCCCTCAATATTGGTGGTAGCAATTTCAGTGACTGCAAAATATAATTCATAGAGTAATAAATATTTGCAAATATACCTGTTTTTCAGGTTAAGAGAGACTAATATTAACTGTACATACTTGGTGCTTTTCTTTAATGATATTAACTGCTTCCTCATGAAAGTAAGACTCATCGCGGCATAATTTTAAATAAAGATTATGCTCTGCTGGACGATAATCCTCTCCTTTCTTCAAAAATTCTTCGAATACCTAATAACAATAGAAGGTGTCATTAACATAAGAAGCATGAAAATTTTGTTGTTTTTAACGAACAAACTTACTTCTCTTGGGATAGATTGTCCTGATAAAAGATCTTTATATTCCTGTAAAATTTGCAGTTCATAGTTTGACGTGTTCTGTTTTGTAATGTACGTTGGCATTGCATTTGCCAGTCTTAATATCGGATGGTTTTCAAGGAGTGTAAATTTTGGATCAGAAAACTTAGGCCATTGAAATAATATCTTTTTGATATCTATATATTGCTCTTTTGTTTTCATTTCACTGAACAATTTCTGAAATGTTTCAAAACGTTCTTCTTCACTAAGACCGTTTAGTTTTAATGAATAGTTCTCTTTAAGAGAAAGGTTACTTTGTTCAAAGTGTTTTACTTCTTGCTCATTTTCGTTCTCACTATGGTCCGAGAAATCACCCCAATCATCACCCCAATCATCTTCGTTTTGTTTAGAAATCGTCAAGAGTTCTTCAGATTTAGAATGATCTAAACTTATCGATACTTTATTGTCATCCACCACTTCAGCTGCATCACTAATTCCGTTGTTGATAACAACCACTCCATCTTCATTTAAATTTGTCCTTTGATTCTCAGGATTCTCTTGCATTATCTCCATATTAGACACGTGTTGAGATTGAATATTATCAGTTTCTGAATGGCTGAAATTATGTATTTGCGCCTTCCAATAAATTAAAGCTTCTTGAATTTGACGTTCACTGGATGTCACAGATACTTCCATCATTGCGTTAATTAATTCATTAGGATCGTATAAATAAATATTGTTACAATCTGGGTGCAGTTTTCTGTACAACTCCAAAGAGTAAAAGTAGGCAGCAAGTTGGAAGTACAAATTAGTTTGAGGTAAACTGTTGAAAATTGTCTGTACCGAGGATATACGATCATTACATACACTAAATAAGTATGACATTCCAAGCAGACAATCCTCTTGTATTGTGTACTGCGCACACTGTAGCAATACTGAAATAATGAAGAAAATTATTAGTATTGCTGAAGTACCGTTTTCAATTTTGTATTGAATTTAAAATGATAAAAACACGTACAGTGATTGATGTCACTAGTTTCTGAACCGTAACTTGCAGTTTCGGTCAGTGCAGTAATTCTCAGTAGTATCTGACATAATTTTAGTTTAGTGCTATTTATATCCTGCATCGAATATTTTGTATACTGAACATCTAAATTACTGACTGCACAACACTTGTGTAAAGATTCATAAAAAGCTGGAAAACTCTGCAGTTTTTCTGTTTCCATTATAGGAATGTCATCCTCACTGTCGTTATAGGTATTCGTGCTTTCTGTTAAGTATGATCGTATTGCTGATTTCCAAAATTGTCTGTTGCTTACGTTCTTTATTACACCGAATGTTGATTCTTTTACACGTTGCGCTGAATTTTTTACTATACCCGTAGAGGTTTCTAGTACTGTAGGAGCAAATTCTTTTACTTCAATTTGTGGCTAAAAGTATTGAAACATTTAATTAATGCACTAATTTGAAGCTATTTAATTTCTCAAAACATACCGTGGTCACAGCATCAATGAATTCATCATCACTCTCAGTTTCGTTATCAAAACTTTCACCCTCGGAAGAAGGCATCCAATCCTGTAAACTTGCGCTTAGAATTTGAATTTCAATCAAGTGCCACTGTTTCAATATGTCCTCCAGTATTTCGTTCGGACCACTACTCATTACAAAACACATACATTTTTGTCGAAATTTCAATTCCTCATACTCCTCACAATATGCTAGACTGAGGACAGTTTTCCAAGCAGGAAAGAAATTAGCATCCATTAGCAGTTGGCATGTCGAGGCACAAGTGATGTAATCTTTCACCTATTTTAGAAAATTTATTTATTAAAATAATGTTTCTCGAATTTGAATTACTTTTTCGCTGTTTATTTTAGGTAGTTGATCACATAATAGAATTAAGCGACAAAGCATTGTATATAAATAGAAGTGATATACTAGGTACCTGAAATGACTTTTGAGCTATCAATTCTAAAACTTTCCCTTGTCGAGACCATGTGTTATTTTTGTCAATTCTTAGATAATTTGCAAGAGTTATTAATCGATGTCTACTTTTATAACCGTCTGTACTACTGTTCAAACAACTTTCTATTAATTTTAATCTATCTTGACACAATCTCACTTGAAGAGGTAATATATCTACATTAAATTCCTTTAAAATTTGTAACGAACTAATTAGTTCATATTCTTCCGTAACTTGAACGTTATCATCGGTGATAAGATGCAGACATGCTCTGCAATAAAATTGAATGTAATGTATTCAACTATAAAGTTATCATACTGTAACTAGGCTATATCATTTTAATACGTTAATCGATGATATACTCACTTAGCTAATTCCATATTTGAATCGGTAAGACTTTTCGAACTATTAAAATATTCCCTGCTTGCATCTAATATTAAATGTACTGCCCTTTCATAAGTAACCTTCAGTAACGATTGTTCATTTTTCTTGGTCTCGATTAAATTTGTACAGTTTTGAATATTTGTTTTAATGCCTGACACCAAACGTGCCGAAACACATATTTCGAAGCATATCTCGATATCCAAACACGAAAAAACTAATTCATGAATTTCCAACATGTCATTCAATAACTGGGCCCAAAAGTTTTCATCCGGAGGAGTTACTCTGTAAAAAGTAATACATTTACATGTTTAAATGAAAATTTATGCAAGCCAAATATATCATCTGATTAATTTCACTAACTTTTTGTTTAAACTCCTTGCCATTTGAGTAAGCAACATCTTGACAGATTCAGGATCTTTCTTATTTTCTCGAACATAATTCAATGTTACCTTTACGTTATAATTTCTGAGAATTTCAATGCATCTGAGTTCTTTTTCCGCCTCGTCAACTGGATCAAATTCAGTATTTGGTGGTTTCACAAAAAATTGTGTTTCAACGATTCGTAATATTTCACTTGCTTGTTCATACATATCAAGATCGGTACTCGTGTACAAACAATCAAGAGCTAACGTAACAGCATCATCTATTGCCTCCATAACATCGGGATCTTGGAATCGCTCTAGATATTCAAAGAATTTTAACGGCAGATTCAAGTTATCTTTACTTAAGGAAATCAGATATTTTCCCAACAAATACTTATCACAGTTTCCATCCTGAAGCAGATAAATATTCTCGTTAACTGAATAATTCATTACTATGTAATTGTAAAGAATAAATGTCAAAAATTAATTTGCATAGTACGCACCCCATACTTGTGTTTTCTCCGTAAAAACGACAGCACGCTATTTTTAATGTTTGCTACAAAATTTGTTTCATCGGATGTACTCATAAATAATGTAATCTTTTCCAAGTCACTTAACTTTTCGAGCTGTGTTAATGACATTTTCTCCAAACGTATTTTGTAAACTAGATCATCTAGTGTCTCCAAATCTAGTAGCAAATTTTCTAAACCAGGAATGTTTCGTGACTTTCCAATTCTGACAAGCTCTAGAGCATTGTCCACCATACAACAATTTCTCTCAATTTGATAAGCTCGTGATGTGTACCATCGTTGTAACAATTCCCGTGTAAAATGCGTATTTCTACATTACAATAAAAAGAGCTTGGATTATTAAGCATACATTAATGATTATTGTTTCATTACATTTCATTCCGTACCTGTATATGCACAAGGAAGGATCCAAGTCATAAATAAACTGTGACCCATCACTATTTATCTGTTCAAAAATCTTGTTAAGAGCACCTTTCTCAGACCAGTCCTTTTGGCGTAATTCCCGTTGATCGAATAAAAATAGTTCACCTTCTGAATCGCATTCTGGTAATAATTTTTCATAAGTGGACGGACTCAATGTCTCTGGGAAGAAATTAATAATTGCTAACCAATGAGGCATCAGTTTTTCTCCGTGGTACGTGAACATAACTTCAACTCCTTCGTAATTGCTATCTTTAGCAAATCTGTAGGTAATAACAAAATATTATATTTTAGAAACAATTAGACTTTGTATAGTTTTCATACCTGACTGCGTTTTCAACAGCAGTGAGTTGCCGGAATTCCTCATAGAAACTTTTATCATAAGTTTCTGGAGATTTCAAAATGATTTCGTAAGTTTGCAATTTATCCAGAAGGTCAAGAAGTTTCCTTCTATATTTAATTAAATCTTTCTGACTTTCAGTCAATTTCTCCAGATCGATTTTTCCAAGAATTTCATTTTCTTTCTGGATCTGTGCAAGAAAAATAACCATTTAGTACAAAAAGCAGTCCGAATGCGTTAGCTCAGTCGGAATCACTTACTTGTCTTAAAGATAAGTCATGTCCACTTAGCCCTTCCCAATCATCATCTACTTCTTCGGGGATAAATTTTCCAATATCTTTAACACCGATCGCTAGGAGTGTGCTTAAATTTGCTCCCTTTAATCCAAAGTTGAGTAACTCCCTTGCAGCTTCCAACGTGTCAGGAACTCGAGTTATGCACTCATTCAAAACCCAAGATCTCTTGCTAACTTTACTTAGATGTTCTTGAATAGCATTTAATGAGAATTCAGATTTACGCCATTGCGTTTGATAAACCAAATCAGTATCCAGATTATATGTATTTGCTAAAGCTAATGCTTCTTCGTATTCCTTAAACATAAGAGCGTATGAAATTTTAAAAATAGTTAATAACTAAAGACATTGTTGATTTGTAAATAATAGTAATTAATTTGCGCATTTACCTCTATGTCTATTTTTCGAGAATACAATTCCTCGGGGGTAGTACTTTTTAAACCTGATACTCTGTAAGTTCTATATAGCACCTTCGACTTTTTCCGCTTCGGTTGAAATCTCTCAATATCAGTTATTGAATATAAAGTACTCTGTAACAAACCTGATGCATAATTTAAAATAGTAATAGGTTCTGGCTCGTCATCTTTTTCACTATCCGATGATGCTTCTGAAATTCATTTTTTCAATATCATTAGAGTAGAACAAAATTTGTAATTTTAAATTAATACTTAATAGTGTTTTAATGAATGTCTTTATAAAATCTGGGTTAATTGTTATGTTACCTGAGCCTTGTCCCTCGCTGTTAGGATCCCTGTTCCACTTTTTACTTGTAAGATATGCTTCACAATCTAAACTCAAAAATCCTCGACCAGGTGCCAATTCAGATATCTGTGGCTGCCCTGCCAAAAATTCTGGGGTTGTTCCTAATAAATTTCTTAAATCTTTCACGGAACAAACCGATACAGATCCTGAATATCGTGCGATTATTAATGACTGAAAATGTAATTTTTATTATAATTTTATAAATTCAATCAAATGTGGAAATATATTAAAATACTAACATTATTTGACCACCAACCAATGTCCATTGGATGAAATTCTGAAATACCAGGTGGAAATTTTTTATATTTTGTATACCTCATTGGATTACACACATTATAGTCTGGCTGGTCATGTAATCTCCATTTCTTTAAGAGTCTTAAATTTGGTAGACTCCAAAGCATAATCGAGGAATCTGTATTTAAACATGCCAAAACTTCAGCATTTGGAGAAACTTTTATATTAAACATCAGTGACTCAGCTTGTGGTCGTATTGATGGAATCAGATTCCACAATAAAAACTTCGATTTAGTAGTACTCTCCTCTTCAGAACTGCATGATAATTTCAGATATGGATAATCATTCAAGTAACGCCATGACGTTAAACCATTTTCACAGGCTGGTGACTAAAATTGCAATACAGGAATCTCATGATATTTAACGACAGTATGAAAAAGATTTAATTTAAAGACTTACAATTTTTTTCTGTGCAATACCATTTCCAGCTACATAAAATAAATTATGCTTTTCGTCATAGACAACAGCATTAACACCATTCCTATAGAAATTACTAAATGAAAATTCATAGTTTTCAATAAATCCACTTGTTCCTGACACATGGTAAGACTTTAATAAGCCACCGTATGTAACTAAAATAAATTCATAGGCCCATCTCTCCGTTTTAATCACAGGTTTCACAAAAATCAAGGAACATACAGCATCTCCAGCCTCTAGAATATTGGGATTTTGTGGCAAATTTTTGTGACTTATATTAAAAATATTGTTGCCCAGTGAATTATAAAATGACACGTAACCATTACTTGAAGCCAACACCAAGAACGATGCATCTGGACTCCACACAATTTTTCGCCATTGTGGAAAAGCATCCTTAGGCACTAAAAAAAAAAAGAAACTTCTAGAAAATGTAAACATCATTTAATTATGTTTTATATATTTCAGCATTATACTACCAGATGCTCGTCCAATTACTGATGAATATTCATCTTTTGATTTTCTTATCTCAATGATATTTTCCTGCAAAATAGCTAACAGACGCCCATTATCGCCAACTGCAAACTTCCATGGTAGAGTTATACTAATCTGCTGAGATATACTTTCTGGTAACGCACATCTCTGATTTAAATATCGTAAAGCATTCTGAATCGTCCCAGTGGTAGGCAAGATCGCAGTATTATTTTTGTATTTCTGAAAACCATAATTAAAAAATAAATTACGACCATTTGTATATTACTTTCATTACTATTATATTCACAGTAATGACATCTGAAAATCCAAAGAATAAGTTCAAAAAGTACGGAGTTCGTCACATGTCATTGTAGTATAAAAATCACTACTTACGACTACTTCGGGCTCTTGTTTTCTATTGACATATTCAAGGAGCTCATGCAGAATAGAATCATCTTCCAATTTATCAAAACTTTGATTCATCTTGTATGCCTAAACATAACTTTATTCAAACGTAAACAATTGTTCTCCAACAAAGACAATTTGACCATTGTATTTTCATCAACATCCAGTAGGTGCTTAGTGGATCACGCGTTTACTTGCATCATTGAAAAACAAGTACTAGAAAAACATAATTGTATGTACAAAACACATTGACAACATTGACAGTCTGGAGATTACCGACCAATAATGACAATAAGATATTCTTAAAGCACGGCGTCGAGGGTCACACAGAGCACGGCGCTGCAATGTGTCGAGAGAGGGACTAAAACCTGTTAAAAACCAAAAAGACGAACCAGGGTTACCAGATTCTACACAGGGAAATATCGTACCGTCCTCCAGAAATTATTGTATGTACATTCATACGGAATTATCGTACACATTCGAATGAAAAACCAACAAGTTGCCGCGCCGAGATCTGTGTGACATCCAACGCGTTCAGTGGGACTCCGGTCAGAAAATAGTAGAAAATATTCATGCTCCATATCAGCAGAGATGAGCAGGATAACTATAGTGGAACACCCGTCACCTAGCGGCCTTCTATTTAAATTGTTCCACTTTTTGAGGAAGTGACATAAATGACTTCAGCGCTGTTACGACTGATATCGGTACCACAATGAAAACGCGGTCCCCTCTTTTCCTTAAAAATTAACACGTAGTCATGTCTCAATTCATTGATTGTCTATGCTGGCCTCTGTCCGCTAATATATGTGGAACCCTATACCAGCATTTCAACGTAGGAATTATTAAAGTATTATAAACAAAATGGCTTTATCTACCGTAGCGAAAGTTGGAATTGGATGGTAGGTATGTGTACAATAAATCATTCAACAATTCATAATAATCTGAAAACAAATTTCATAACCTACGAAGGTCGAACAACCGCACTTAGAATTATCATTAAGCATTAATGATTACGTATTATTTTACGTATTTAAAATAAACTAACGATTGTTATAATTTATGTTGATTGTAACTCAATAATTTGAAAAATGTTATTTGACGAAATTTACTATTGAAGTAGTTTCCTAAAAGTAGTTGCATTCATATAATTGGTTGGCATGTATAATATACTAATTTATATCATGTGCAGGATTGCCTGTGTCACCACGACATTGTTCGCTTTTGCTTTGTCAAAAAAATATATTGACGGTCGTCGGTATGAGAGTATGAAATCAAGGGAGCGCATGAGAAAAGCAAACTTCATTGACGAAGAAAAAGAATATTAGTTATTGGAAAATTTATAGCATTTATATTCTCAAACAAAGATGGCAGGACTACCTCAATTGGACGAAGAGAAACTTAAATTGGTTCAAGATCTGGAGATAGAAATGATGTCCGACATGTATAATCGTATGACGTCTGCTTGCCACAAGAAGTGTATACCACCCAAGTATTTAGAACCTGAATTAGGCAAAGGAGAATCAATATGTCTAGATAGGTGTATTGCTAAATATTTGGATGTTCATGAAAGGATTGGTAAAAAACTTACTCAAATTTCAATGCAAGAAGATAATTTCATGAAAGGAAAAGTAGCTGAACAGCAGAAAATACCAAGTTAATATAAGATAAATGTACTTTTAATGGAATTTATGAATATGGATTGTACGCATTTCTATAGTAATTTTCTTCTAAGCTAGAATAACAAACTATTTGAAATGTTAATTCAGTGTTCCTAGTTCTCCTTTATACGGATGTCTTGCACAGGCAAGCAAGTAGTAATATGTAGAATGATATGAGGATTGTCACTTAAGTTTCATTTATGGTATAATCTACAAATTTATTTCATTATAACACCTTAAACTGTAAACAAGTTTGTGAAATGATACAAAGGGAATGTATTAAAAACTGTTAAGGAAATTAACATTTTGTTTCTCTATCCACTATTAAAAAACCATTAAATCTAAATGAGTAGACTTCAGTTAAGATCAAATTTATACAAGTTTATACCGTATTCTATTTTCTGCTTTCCTCTAAATCTAATTTTGAGGAAACAATTTTTTTTACAAATTTGATATTTTGTATTACTATTATTTTAAAACATTCAGTTGTTTAAGATATACATCAAATTTTAATCAAATATGTACCAAATTTAAATGGTACATTATCTATCAAGCAATTTATGTTCTTGATAGAATGTAACAATATGTACACACAGATAATGTGAGTGAAATACATTGCCACTTATGTCAAAGCTTCTGCAAATACTACATTGCAAAGTATTCATTAATTTATTCAACCACGTAATACAAAAAAAAGAATTAAAACAAAGGAAGGTAATAGTTATAAAACGTACATTATTAAAAAATTTACCACTCATGTCCCAAACAATTACTAGTAATATTCATAACTTTCCCATGATGGCAACCAAGCAATAAATGTTCTTCAATGTGTCTGCACACATATTACTACTACATAAATAATATAATAAAACCCAATAATATAAGTATAGATAGAAACAGAAAACTATTTTTTTTTTAAATCAATCAATACACATTCTTCAAAAAGAACATTTGATCTACTTAATTATTAATGCAAAATCATTATATACAGGTTGACACCAACCATATAAATGGGCAATGTATTTTGTAATTGCAACATCGTAGAAAAAATATATACGCATAGTACATTCATATTCAGTTAACATCAATTTCTTTGACCAATGTAAAAATGACATGATTTCTCTTCTGATGTAGACAAATTACGTTTTATGGTTTTTGCACTTGGTTGCTTGTAAACGGAATAATTTTCCAATTTCATTTAAATCTCCATGCGTAATTCAATGTAACGAATAAACGATGAAAATTTTCGTACAACAGAAGATGAAGTAAATCTGTGCAGCTGTCATTATGCATTCATCAGCAATATACACAGTTGTTTTAATTTCCGTCACGCCAATAGGTAATGCAATTTTGCATCATGAGTGCTTACTTCGTTAACTGGAATTTTCATTTCTTACATTGGGTACAGCTAAAATCATTGTGTGTTGACCACCACCAGAAACTGCTATTACACACTGTCCTTCTAAGTTCCTTGCCTGTACTAAAACTGGTTCTTCCGCATCGGATTCATTCCCAGTACCCAACTGGCCACTGGAACCCATTCCCCAACTATACATTTTACCTGTAACATATATATGTTCATTGATAAATTATTCCTCTAATTCATACATATAATTATTAGCTGTGCAGCATAGAATTATAAACCATAATGATGGCACTAAAGTTATATTTTTCATATTATAACATACTTCATTAAAAATGCAGAAAAGTAATTAGAAAAATCGCGTAAAGGAAAGAATCATACCAGAGTCTGTTACAGCAAATGATTGAGCAGTACCCGTCGCAATGTCGACACATTTCATTGAACTTAAACCAGGTACCAAAATTAGTTCCTTAGCATCGGAACATTGAGGTCCAAGTCCAAGTCTACCGTATTCTTTCCGGCCTATAACGAAAACCTGACCCATGTCATCTAATGCAACAGAGTGATGCTGTCCACTACTTATGCGTTTCCAGGTTCTACCACTAAATATCTTTGATCGTTGTGGAAAGTAGTATACCGCTGTGTCTTCTAAACCTGCATGTGATTAATGAGTAATAAGTATGAAATAAAATATACTGTATATAAATGAAAATATATTTACCAAGCTGATAATAATTATTTAGCCCAAAGGCATAAATATCTCCTTTCTGGCGGTGTTTGGCAAAAGTACAATAAGATCCTGCCCAAATATCATTGCATTCAATTTTTCTTGTTATTTTGAATTCTACTAAACCAGGAGTTAACAGTGCAGAAAGACCACGCCTAGAATTTCTGTTTGCACTTCTAGGTCCTAATCGTCCCAGTTGTCCTTGCTCACCACACCCACATGTATATACATAACCATTTTCAATTAACATAACTAAGTGATCGGTACCAGAAGCTATCTTAGTAACTTTAAACATGGGCAATATCTCTGTTGGTAATTGTTCTTTACCCCTAATCGTTAAACCCATACCACCATGTGAATCCTAAAAAGATACATAATTATGGCATATGATACTGCGAATAAATTATAAAATATATCTTAGTTGCAAAATTAGGATCATACCCGAAACGATCCCCATGCATATATGCTTCCATCATCCAATAAAGCGGCACTGTGAGAGTCACCGGCAGTCACTTGAATAGCTTTTTTGGGTAGTGTAACAAATCCTGGACAAGCTTCAGAACCTTCATTGGATGTGTCTCGACCAAGGGCTCCTTCATCATTGCATCCAAATGTTAATACTTTACCACTCATTGTTAAACACACGCTATGCATTCCACCAGCAGCAATTGCTACAATATCTTGATATCCTTGTATCGCTGCTGGACGGGTCTTTTCAACAACATTTTCTCCTAAACCTAATTGACCTACGTCACCTTGTCCACAAGTTAGAACACTGCTAATGTAATCAGGAATTGGCGCGTCCTCTGTAATTTAACATTAAAGCATTACAACTCAATAAAAGCATAATAAAAGCATAATATAAGCATTAAACAAAATGCAGACAAATTTCAAATTAATTTTATAACCTACAAACCAATTGCACACCTGTGAACACTGCATTATATATACAATTCTTAGTAATTATTTTAGTTAACATTTAATGGAACTTTCATTCATACTTCACAATAATTTCATTTAAATTTCAATGCAACAGTTATCACATGTGCTCAAAACTTCAGCCTCTAAACTTGCTGATACTTGAATTAAAATTAAATCAATGATGAATATGAAGATGAAGAAATGAAAATAGTAATTGAGAAAACTCACTTTCTTCGCTTTTTAGCTGTTTAGCCGCCTTTGGCCCCTTCATGGGGGCCGATGCACCGCGTTTCGCGGTTTTCTTCGGCGGCACTGCAACAGTTTAAGGTTATGTCGAATAATGGTTCGCTAACTCTGTTAATACGAGCTAGTGCCATTATTTTATATAAAAAAAGTATTCGACTGTATAACCTACGAACTTACTTTTTATTCGATTTGATAAACGAAGTAAATAATATGTGACCTTTACTGCGTTGGCGCCAAAACTTGCGATTCCTGAGAAACTTCCTGACGATAGCGAAACCGCTGAGGGCAGCAATATCGAATCGAGTGGCGGGCTCTTCGTGTATCTCCTGGAATCCACAGTATCTACCAACAGCTATACCGAGCACTGAATTAATTGGCTTAGCGGGTATTTACATCACGGAATTGGACAAGTTTCAGCAAATCGGAAAAAGAAGTATGGATGATGTACATATGTCCCATGTGAAACTTTCAAAGAGAAGATGAGACTGATGAAAGTAGCTCAGAGATCTTTAAGTAGCTACGGTCCCTACTTCGTAACTTGTGGCGGTTATAACCTCTGTAACCATAGATCTAAGAATATGTGACCGGAGCCCAAGCCAGAGGGCTGAGTCCGGAGTAAGTAGCTGCTGATTGGATGATTAGTTGTCATTTTGAGTGCGAGTAAAGAACGGTGCTGGCTGTGAAGAAGTAAACAGTAAATGATGTACAATATGCCATTTTTAGCATAAAGTAGGTTAAAAATTATGTTTTACGTATGTATGTACATACAAGAGCGGCAAAAAGAAATAAGTTTGAGCAAACAGGAAATATGAAGCAGATGACTTACCAATCAGGAGGCTGAAAAATTGGCCAACGATACACCCTCCCTTTCCGACGCGCAGGCTTCCCCCCTGATCCGACCTGGGACTTTGAGCTCCGTCCACATATTCTTAGGTCCTTGGGTACTTTCAAAATGTGGGTACCATTCAGTGCATTCACAATATAACCAAATACACAAATATAACAACCAAATAACATTCGTTCACAATTATTCACTCTGCATCATTACTGTGAATAAAAATGAGTTACTCGGCAAATTACGACAGAAGTATGTCTAATATTTTCTAGTTATTATAATCTTTTCAAAAAATGGAGAAAATTCGTTCGAAAATCGCAAGCTGGACAGAATTGCTTGTGCAGGAGAAATTAAATGAAGTGGCAGCAGATATAATGGTAATAGCAAAGTCGTTTTTAAATAACATTGTAATCTCTATTGAGGCATATTTATTTAATCACGAAATGCTACTTTGATGTAAGAATTCTTTATAATTGTTAGTCTTGTTAGTTAACTCTTTTAATTTTTCAGAAAACTGTCACTGCAAAACCAGATGCACAATTAAACAGAGCTCTTTTTAGATTATTGTTGCATTTGGCTCACGTTGCCGATAAATGTATCAAGAAGAACCTTGAGATTGGAAAAGATATTTGGTTTCTAAGCATTCGTATTTGTTCCACTTTAGTGGATATACCAGATACAAGCAAGTTTTTGGCCAGTATCTATCACATCTCTCGTTGTTTAATGGAAATGGGTCTTTACAAAGAAGCTATAGAAGTCTGTGATTACATGTTTCCTGGAAAACTTGTTCGGGTCACATCAAATATTGAACGCACTATTTATTCAAAAACAGCAATGGTATGGCACATGAAAGCAGATCAAATGACTCAACAACTGACTGAAACAGTAGATAAACAAACTATTGAGAAATTGCTCATAATTATAAAATACGAACTACAAATACTGAGACATGCAAATGAACATTACTCCAAGCCTGTTCTCTCCAATTCCCAATATTATGTAGATAGAGTAAAAGTATTATGTCAAAACACAAAGCCAACCATATATAATATGTTCTGTAATGGCATAATTGATTGTCTACAACAATTAAATATTTCTGTTGAAATTGATGACGAGATTATCGTGTATCGTTACGTAATTTCCTTTATCAATAAAATTTCAGAAGGCAAAACTACTATAACTGACACGAAAGCAGCACATGATACATTAAAACGAGCCTGCGCCGCCTTTGAAAATTGCTTTGCAACCAATATCAAGTGCCACCGACATTTCCAAGTATATAAAAGAATATGTCTAGAACTTGTGAAGCCAGTTGACTTTCTTGATAAAAATCTAGCCAAAGTTATTAAAAACATAGTAACCGAGATGGAAATGAATCTTGAAAAGTTTGATAAGAAACAGCATGTTCCCATGTGGACTGCATACAAAATCGCTGAATTACTGCAGAGTCTATTTAACTATTGGGAGAACAGTGTTAAGAATGGAATCGAGAGTATCATTACTACCCAAGATGTATTGTATGCAATCGTGCGTTTAATTCTATGTATCAGTTCAATAATAGATTGCCAAACAGGTTTATGCAGGACATGTCCAGTTGGTAAATGTAAAGCAAAACGTGATGTCTTTAATGGCAGTGCGATTAGAACCAGGTGCTTGGGATTTATATCTATTGTATTATCTAAAAGTTTATCACAAATGAATGCATCTACAGCTCGAGAACTGATAGAAGAAAATATCAGAGCAGTGATCGAATTAAAGGATGTTGGATGTTTAGAGTGGATCCCGCTATGGATTCCTTCTGGCACAGTACTTTACAATTTAGGTTTCATCTATGAGCGAATATGTTATGAGGAGAGCGTGTCTTTGTATTCACTATTGTGTACATGTATTGTTCACTTAGAAGGAATTGGTACCTCTTCTACTCATCTTAAATTGAGCGCTTCTTACGGTAGCTCTATGTCTTGCGCACTGCATCACTTAACAAGTGTACATTTTAATAACAAAAAGTACCGAGAAGCCATGACCACTTGTGCTTTAAATGGCCTGCTAACTTACACAGAAGAGAACTCTAAGGCATTCCGCATGTGGGCATCCATAAAACATAAGAATAAGGACCCTGATAAAAACTCGGCGTTATCTATGCTTGGTTACCTCAGAATGAACAGTGAATCTCTTAAAGAGATAGGGGTGCAGATCAACCTGGAGCAGTACGATCTGCCTCAATTGTGTTTAAGAGAGATAAAGGGATTGCAGGGGTTCCGCAGCAATTTAATGCCTGCTCTGATAGTTGCAGTCAATGAGTTAGAACAATGTAAAGTGAATCCTATGCAATATGGTCTTGGTGTACTACTTCTTGGGTATCATTCCTTTGGTTGGCCCAATGTCTGCTCTATCTCTATGTATTTTCGGAAAGCTGTTTCTAAATTGAAAGAAGAACAAGCCGTCACATCTACACACCTGTTGTTGCAGGTTAGTTTTCAGTTTTTTGACTTTCTTGATGAATTGCAGAAAATTCGTGTACAGACTCAGACTGAAATGGAAAGTGCAAAGTATGCTTTGTATGCCCGACAACTCTCAGAAGATTTATCGGATGCATTGGTCGACAGCGTGGTCCCAGCATATACCAGGATCAACGTTAAGGAAAATGCTTGGCTCAAGTCTGACTTGACTAACATTTTACTGAGGTGGGGAAAATACGTCAAGAACGTGTCTGTAAGTTTGTCAGCTCGACCTTTTTCTATAAATAATTATGATTTAAATCAGTGATTTTAATCAGCTGATTTAAATCAGTGATTTTAATCAGCTGATTTAAATCATAACAGCCCCACTTGGAATGACTACGTGAAATTCAAGAACGCCCACGCTTCGACAGAACAGAATCAACCAGCAATGGGAATCAGAAATTGCCTTTGGCCTGGTTGCTGTAATTGCTGAATATTGCCGATTACATCGCTTTGAAGAAGAAGAAGTGCAGGCATTGAAGATTGCATTTTCCCTGGCCGATGCATTACCAAACCGCTGTGCACTCCTCAGTGGTAAAAGACTTTACTCAGAAATAATTAGATAAAGTAATAGAAATTGTGCATTTAAAATTTCAGTATGTTTAAAGTATTTTCTTTCAGTTGTTTCGCGAGCAATTATGTCAAGGCACATTGACGCCAAGTGGATTGCAGCTGCACAAGAAACGGTCGAAAGTCTGAAGGATACTGACAATGAACAGGACTCACTTGCCGTCGCTGAATTTTTCTTTAATTTAGCAGATTTCAATTTCGAGATCGGGAAGGTACGAATTGAGAAAGTCCGAGCCAATAAATGTTGACAGAGTATTAAAAAGATATAATTGGTGTTTCAGTGCGAGGAAGCTACAAAGCTATTTAATAATGCTATCGATAGAACAGGATTTGAACTTGTGAATAACTCACCTACGTATCTCCTTGGCATAGATGTAATACTACGTAATTATACATTACATTCTGAGGGCATCGACCAAAGAAAATGTTTGGCTTACATGGTGCGAAGCCTTTACTCCATGATTGGACTTGCGAATTACCCCATCCCTGTTACGTGTAAGTTTCGTAATTAGAACCAATTCTCGTATCGCGATTAGCAATGCAAAGAAAGATCAAGTAAGAATTTTATTAAATTTATATTTATTAACGGCAAGTATATAAATCAATCTTTTATTCTCAGGGAGTTTCAGTGCAGACCAACTCTACAGCTACGATATCCTCCTCTCTGCAACATGTAATCTAGCTTTAAGGATGAACGCACTTCTTACTTTTCGAGAGATCTCTATGCATTTGGTAGTACGTTTGAATAGCGCCCAAAAACTGGGAGCGACGTTACGTGTTGCAGAGTGCCTCAAGATGCTGTGCTTCCTTGATATTTCTCGTGCCCGAGTAGAAGACTGCGAGGTGAAGCTTCAAGGTTTGGAGCACATCCTGGGTACGGAGGACGTTTCACCATCTACAAACTCGACGACCAGTCTCGAATTCATGTCTGAGAAATTCTTGGTAGACTTGACGAGAAACGCAAGAATTGAACAGAACGACGCCTCGCCTGTTCTCCGGAGGAAACCTTATATCCCTCCGGCTTTTCTCGAACACGTAAATTGTGACTGTTACAAATGTACGAATATTGCATACCAACATCTCGTCTTCTCCAGCACTCACATTAGAGCTCAACTATATGCCTTGCAACAACAGTCCAAGTTGGCTACACTTTTCTTCCTCGGTGCTTACCAATTGAGGATGCGATTACTGAAAAAGGAGAGCACGTTGCAGCACGTCAGAAATCTTCATTATAAAATGGTGGAATACGTTCAATTTCTACTCGATTACGCTCGTTTTCTGATTATTGATTCGCCGGAAGAACTTGAGGGACCGTTTTCTTTTATTACAGAGGCTTTTAATGTATGCCTCAATTACAGACTGCAAAGTCATCCAATTTATTTCACGGTGAAAGAATTCGCTTTGGAAATGCGTTTCTTGAGTCAATACGATGAGCGCAATGATGCTAAGTTCACAGTGTCTCATGTAGACGAAGCAGGGAGTAATTATGAGTCCGAATCGGAGAAAAATAAGAGTACAGCTTTGTGTGTTACTCCTACGACTGCTAAGAGGAATATAAAGCCTAAATCCATTAGACGAATTAAGAGTCCGCCTATTTTAAAATTAACCGCGCCTGGTGCACCTGATAGTGAAGATGAGGACGAGATGTTTAAGCCAAAACTTGAGAGACCGATACGTCGAAGAATCATCGAGGATGAGTACGAAGAAAGTCCTGCAAAAATTAAAACTGAGGAAAAACCTAGTAGTAGAGTAACTTTACCACCTGCTGTTAAAAGTAAGGCGTTAGATGTTACTCCTACTACCTCATCATCGTCCACTGTAAAACCAGGAACGAGTAAATCCTCTACTGGGAGGAAAACTTCTCCAGAGGCTCCCACCGATGAATCTGGATCGTTACAAGGATTGACCAAATCGCTGAAAGTATTATCTCTCGAAGGACCTGCAGGAGATACTCAATCTAAGCGTCAAACAAGAGCTCGAAAAAATAATGCACCTAGATCAACTGCATTCACCGTTGCTTGCGATTCTCCCGTCAAAAAGGATGGTAATTTATTTCCCTTTAATCTATTCCATTTCCTATTAAAATGACACCGGTAAAACTGACGAAACATTAAATTGACATCCATTTTTACAGATGCAAATAAGACATATTGCATTTACCCAAAGAGATCTACTCGACTTAAGAATGAGCACTTGACTCCCAGCGGCGATATGGAGAAATTGAATACTCCTGGTGTCCCATTCAAGGAAGAACACACAGAAGAAACTAATAGTTCATCCATTACGAAAATTAATCCAATTCCTGCAACAGTGTCGGCAGGTATTAGTAGCGATAAGGAAAGTATCTCAGTGCCAGATGGACTTACAATCAAAAGAATTACACGTCGAGCTTCTAGTCGAATTAAAAGCGGATCCTCTTCCGGTATAGATTCCGAGCAAACGTCTAGTGAAAAATCTGCTGAATCGAATTCACAATCCGCTAAAAAAGATGGAACCAACGATAGAATGTTAAGGAGGAAAAAACGAGCATAAAAACGCCTCTTGTAGAATGTTTTATATATATACTATTTATAATTATTTTTAGCAAAAATTAAAGCTCCCTAATAAAAACGGTTACTATATTTGTTTAAACCGAGAAACTTGAACGAATAAGCAAATGCATGAAAAACTCTCGGCTACAATTTGCACACTTGAATTTCGAATAATAGTACAAGATGTGATGGAAAATTGTAGATGTAATAGTTATTTAAAACAGAATGTAATATATTTTATAATCAATTATGTATAGCTCAAAGAGAAAATATTTTGATACTGTTCTGGTTTAAGTATCTACCATTGTTTAGCTACACTGAGACTGTACATGGTTCCCGTTTTTAACAAGCTATAAAGATGTATATCTATTAAAAGTAAAAAAAAGATCAGATTATTTTAAAGTAAATGTTAACTGTATGCACAAGCTCAGTGCCTTAAGTTTCGTTTAAACAGTCCAAGAGGGTTGTAAACTCTCTGCATTTTGTTTCACTGACACCGAATGCGAATTTATCAGAAAATATTTATTAAAATAAGATATATATACATTAATATATTTTAAAGTATATACACGATTGATCGGAAGAAAGATTTGACGAGCGATCGCGTAATAACATTTTCGTCAAAGGCACTGCCTTAACATAGATCGATATAAGTTGTATAATAAATTTTGTTCGATTTTCCGCATACACACGATATAAATAGCAGTGCATTGAGTTCCGGTTAAAATATCTTACAAACTCAGACGTGATCGTTAAGATATAAGGTGACCCCTTGTCATCGCTCCGTTGTAATAGCTAAATATCACACAAAGAAAATTTACTCAACCTGCGTACCTCGCAATAGACTTCTCGTAATTTTGGGCACGACTTAAAATTGGTATCAAGAGGCAATTATGATTTTTCTTGATTATAAAGGAACAAGATAAGTGAAAGAGATCGACAGCTGTCTGGTTTCCTGGGATGCAACGTTGCCAGTTTCTTCCTGAACGAAAATATATACATCTATATATAAAAAAAAACAATCACCTTGGTGTTTAGTAATTTCACAAAGCTTAAAAACATTTTCCCTTATCATAACAACGACTAAGGGAGTCCAAACATTTAGTCGGTCTTTCGATACGGTTAGAAAAAGCATTTTCACAATTGGAAGCATTGAATTTAAAAGAGATTGGTAACTTTTTTCCGATTTTACCACAGCTATGCTTTTAAATACTAGACATTAATGATCACAATGCTCTAGTACGTTTTATCCTTTTATATTATACATGAATAAATGCCATCGTTTCCACTAAAAGATAACGACTGACTCTGGCAATCGGTGGATCACAGAATATCATCTTTTCTCAGTTAAAAAGACAGCAATCTGTCTCTGAGATGACTTATTAGACTTAAACTGAACGATGAGCTTAGTACATGATCAAGTCAAAATAAAAATACGAATTAAAATTAAAATGAGAACATTCTAATCTAGAACATTAAGCAATGAGCACGCTTTCTGAAACATACGCGACGCATTACCTTTTTGTAACATTTAATCTTTTACATTAAAAAACGATTCATGCATCATTTGCAGTAAATTTCAGCAATTTCGTTTTGAACAGACAAAAACTGTGCACAAAAGGCATTAACGTAGACTTTTATCGGTCTTCCCAAGATATGTAATGTATGTACTGAATGAGGCGCGTAAAAGTATATACACTTATACTCTGAACGTTATACTACTTTAGATGTACTAAACTAAGCATTAAATCTAAATCCCATGGCAACGCTGCTTTAAAGATTTACTTTTCCTATAAATCCTATCGTTCCCTAACCTGTTTGAAGGTTGACACTCAACTGTATAAATTAACACAATAAACTACTGGACTGAAGCAAATTTAAACACGAAAAGGAATTCAATAATTTCATCTAACAATAATGCCAAACTTCATCCATATATTGCCCAATGGGAGTCGATTGGAGCGGCGTCAAGACCTACAATCTACAGATCGATGTAATTTGTGCAAGAACGAGATGTCCCGGCAAGGTCCTCAGCGAGTTCAAGAGCTCTTGCAGCAGCTTCCTCTTGCGTTTTAGCGAGCTCCATTAGAGCCAATGCACCTAGCCATTTCTGATTATCCTCTGGCATTGACAACTTAACTTGCCTATCACCGTGCCCTATTACTTCAACTTTGACATCTGCTTCTTCTCTGAAATTGTTAGGCTCCTTCTTTATCTCACGATCTCCTGAATTGCAGGTGCTGCCTGCCAACATCAGTACAGTAGGTCTGACATTGTTTTCAGTATTACAGCAAGACTTGGTGTACACAATTGGAGACTCCGTGTTAACATTTTCCACAGTGTTCAGGGTGATACCTGCGGTAGGTGCATCAACATCCCAGAATCTCCTCTGTCCTGGCGAAACAACGGTGGAAACTCGAACATCGACATTCGCTTCACAGGGAGCTCTGTCAAATTGACATCGTTGATTCAAAAATGACTCGCACGGTGTACAGATTCCTAATTGAGGATCATTTTGATTATCTGATGCCTGAATGTTCCAGGTAAGATGAGAGATTGCTGTAGGTGCACCACCTTCCTCGGAAAGTCTTGCAGAGGATGTTGCTTCGGAGTCCTCTTGGGAAATATCTGTCGTAGAAGCTATCCAATGAGGATGAGACGTATCAAACATGCGACGTGCTCCCAGACCCTCGCAACTTGAAACATAGGATTCCCCAATGGAACGAACATCTCGACGAGGCTTTACAGATTGCTGCTCTAAACAAGCTTCCCTCAACCATCGCTTCTTTGGCTGCAACCTATCTAGAGGACGTCTCAAAGGTGTCACTGGAAGTTTTGACGTGGAGGTCGCTTCTTCATCTTCGGAAACTTGAAGAACGGTGCATGCTTCTGTAGGATCTTCATCCTGGCTGTCTTCTTGACTGTCTTGACCACTCTCATACCTTCTCTGACTTGGAGGAGTGCGGTCTACGTTTTCTTGTTCGCCCTCTGCATCCATTACCAGACCTTTTCTTGACTTGGCCCTCTTAAGACTCTCTACGTTACTCTTCCAAGACTTCTTCTTACGCTCTCCTTTACCCGTTGGTGTTTTGTCTTCACGTTCCCTAGACATCTTGTAGCGCTCAAGCCATCGTGCTATATCATGAGACAACTCCGTGTTCCCAGATACAGGTTTCAATACAAAGTCGTCTGACCGAGTCAGAGTAGCGTATGGATGGTCTGGACAATGTCTGTTGGCATGAGTGAATCGCATTTCACAGCCAGGCTCAGTGCACAAAAATGGCTTTTCTCCAGTGTGCAGCCTCTGATGTGTTTTCAATTGTCCAGACTGAGTAAAGGCTTTCGTGCACCCAGGGTAATCACAGGGGTATGGGCGCTCTCCTGAAATATTAAATTACATATGCCTTTTAGAATTCCGTACAGGAACATGCAATCCAATATTAAAATAAAATGTACTTATAGACAAATTTTTGAAAACGTGATACACATTTGACTAAATATGTACTACGATAATTATTTTTCAGCTACAAAGAGAGAATGATCTGGGAGGAATACTCCATCTTTCATCAATTATTAGGCTAGAACGGCAGCGAAGGCTAGTCCAGTAAGAGTTTATTTTCATCATAATTGTATAACAACAGACAATCTATTAAAGAAAAAAAGGAAAAAGGGAATACGAAAAAACCTACAATAGTCTGGAAGCCATAAAAAAAGCAAAACATGGAAAACCCACTTGGGCGAAGCATTAAACGCCGTTGAGGGAGCTCGCACAAGCAGAAAAGTAAAATGGCGCGTCTACGGTCGATTAAATTTCGGATCTTTAACGGCGTATCGAATTCCACGCTTCGTGTGGGCGTCCTGTGTTGCGCCGCGTGCACATGCGCGCCAGAATCACGGGGCCGCGCGCAAATGGCGGCAACTAGCCAATAAATACGCGCGCCTGAAATGCGCGCGCAGCACGCCGCGACACCTCCGCAAGCGAACGGCGCGCGACGGCGAAGCATGCGCGCCCGCGATCCCTAACCTCTCCTGTTCGCGCGGCCGATCGCATTCAAAGTTCAGCACTGGATCCGAACGTACCTGTATGCGTGCGCAGATGTGCTTGCAGACTCTTCTCCCGAGGGAAGACTCGGTTGCAGTAGGTACACTTGATGCTGCTGGGAGAGGTAGAGCCCTGCATCATGAGGTTCGACAAAGCGTCAGCCCTGGGTCTGCCTCTGCGATGACTCTCGGATCCGCCGGATCGTGGCGCACCACCGGAGCGCGTCGCCGCGCCGCCGTGGTCCCTGTACTCCGGAGAGGAACACGAACTACCCGGACTCAGGTTCGCATTGCGCGCCTCTTCGCCCCAGTTCCAGGGATACAGCATCGTGTCGCACATCGGTGGACTACGAGGCAACGCCTCCGCCAGCGAGCGCGATTCCCGCTTCGGAGTGCGCAGCTCCATTCGGGACTGCTCCAACCTCAAATCCTGGACAGATCCCCCAATGCCGCTCTCACCTCCACCGCCAGTGCACTCAGGAACAAAGCACGACGCCACGAGTCGCCCTCACTCAGACCTCCGCGCCGCGCCGACCGCGTGCAACTGCTCAACCGCCAAAATTTACGTTGGCAACGATGGCCGCGTGCTCTTGTGCTCGCCACGCGCGGTACACTCCGCTTAAAAACTTTCACTTTTAAAACGAAGTATCACCGATCGTCCCTACGCTTCTCGTCCGTTCTTGCCGCAGAAGCGACCTACTCGCTCGATAGAACCCTCCAAACGATATTTTCAACCGATTTGCGCCCGGCAAGTTCAAAACCTCGGCGTCGAAGAGTTCCGCGGGCAGCAGCGCGTCGTCGTCCGTTGTAAACGCGACCTAACCTCAAACTTGACGGTGCCGCGTGCGCGACCTGGCTTCCCGCGCTTTTGGTCCCGCCGGCCGGCCGGCCGGCGGAGGGGAACAGGTTTCGGATTCCGGGGTCCGATCCCAGGAATTTCTGCTCAAATTGACACAGGCCGTCCTTTCGTCCACGATTCGATGCCTCGGAAAAGCTCGCGAGTCGGTATTTTCAGTCGGCAAACGCGGTCACTTGGAGAAGTCGAAGAACGTGCGAGCGTGAGAGAGAGAGCGAGCGTGCACCGCGCCAGCGCAAGAAAGATGGCACGTCGGTTTAGCAGTGGGGGACGACTCCCGGCGCGTCGGAGCGCGCTTGTGAAAACCTACCCGTCGGTAAAGAGGGTCGCTGCGACAGCCCGATAAGAAAATCGCCAATTTATCATGCGAAAGGTTTTCTTTTGCGAAACTGGCCACGGGAAAATTCGTCCATGCATTTTAGGTTGACATTGTCACCGGCCGCGGCATCAATCGATGGTTGCAGAGAAATATCTCGATTTCGGTGGGGGAAGCGAGCGCTGGGTGCAAGAGGCCGGCCGCGGTCCCTCCCCGAAGCCGGAGCAGACCTCGTGGTGGACTATCCGCTCGGCTCCGTTCGGCTCGGCCATATTGGAATCTTGGATGTCTCCGCCGCACGGGGGCTCGAGAGCAGCCGTAAGTTCTTCGCACAGTCCTCGAGGCAGGGAGGATTAAGGAGTGCACCATGGAGTACAGCATCACCGTGACCAACAAGTTCTTGCTTGCCCTCGACGAGGACGAGGACCCTCTCGAGGTGCTCAAGGTCCGTGAGCAGGAGAAGGAGGCGCGCAAGAAGGAGAAGCTCTCCGAGAAGGAGAACAAGAGCAAACTGCCTGAGGCCCAGAAGCAGGCTGCCGATAAAAAAGCCCAGAAGAACCGCGTCATCAAGGATACTCAGCAGCAGCCCTCGAAAATCCAGGAAGCTAAGAAGGAGCAAGGTTAGAAACGCGGCTCGAGAGCTCGGCCGACCTCGTGCCGAGCGGCCAGCGATGGCCGTCCGGCACGAGGCCTCGGCGCTCGTTAGTCCGCCCGCGTAATATTCTGTACGACCTTTTTATTTCGTCTTGTCGAGGATATTCCGATTGCGAGAACCGTTCGCTATCCGATCGACCGATTGTTCTTTAGATGTTCGCTAGTTGGGGAAAGTCGGAATCACGGAACGAGGAGGCACGAGCCGCGTGTCGCGCGAGAGCTCGATTGGGGAGAGCGTGGTCTTAAACGGTGATACCGCGGCTTTTAAGCGAGGCCTTGATCGCCTTTGATAGAGTTTGCTTTACTTCTCCGCGATTTACGCAGTTATTGATCCAATGTGGGGATAAGATTGCTCCTCGGTATTTTCATGTAAGAAATAAAAGTATCGGAGAGCCAAAAGAGCTCTGTCTATTTTGACCAGTATGAACCGACGAGAGGATGTATATATTATATGTTTGGAGATTTTAGTGGGTTTTGATCCATCACCGTGTGCTCGGTTCGTGGCTTGTAAAGTTATTTAAAAGTATTGAAATTTTGATCAGACTCACTTTTGTTTATACCATATTAACTCTTGTTGAGTGGAACTGTTTGATATTCTTGGTATTTGTTCACTCATATATTGATTTCTACCAATTTTAGTTGGTAATAACTGTTTCTAATGACGCTTGTTCTTTAGTCGAAAAGAAACCTTCTACGCCAAGAGCTGCTGGCGGAGAACGCAACGTTAAATTCTCTGGTGAATCCAGGGAAGAACACAATAACAGGCGTAATCGTGAAGATGGAGAGAGACCTCCTCGAGGACAAGGGGGAGAATTGAGACGAGGACCTTCTGGGTTGGTTTTTAGAGAACTTGTTTACTTAAAAGTATTACGTTTTGTGAACTGCATTCTGTGTGTGCAATCGTCTCATTATGCTTTGGACCCTTCTATTATTTAGGAAGAGAGATAACCTCTTACATAGAGCTCTTTGTTTACAGAGAAGGCCGGGATACTCGCGAGTTTCGAGGCTCTGGGGACACTCTTCGTGGAGAATTCGGTGAACGTCGGGGTCGTGGAGGACCTCGGGGAGCTGGAGGAAGAGGCCGCGGTGGACCTCGCGGACGCGGTGGGTTTGACAATCGTGGAAAACGAGAATTCGACCGTCAATCAGGATCGGATAAAACGTATGTATTGACCTTTAATACCCTGTTTCTCTTTTAAATTTGACGTAGTTACTCAATTTATCCGAATGAAGCAGCTGTGGATCTATGCAAATTAATAAACAGTATTAGCTGTAATTATACTTTCCAATTCACCCTGCTTCATTGGGGGTAATGAGCAGAAAGAGGAAAGAATTGAATGACGAGCTGCGGTAAATGGCATTCATCATGGTGGATTAATTAAAATTCATTGGATCAAGTAAAGTTTAAGAAAGAAACCATACGGATCTAAACTTTTCGAATCTTCGATGTTGCAAAACTTGCAAGTAATCGGCGAATTAAAAATCTGTTACAATGTTTTTGTTAGCGTTCGTACATAGTCGAAAACTGACAACATATGTCATTTTGTTGCTCATGTCTGTAAGTGGGCAGCCGAGGTAAGGATTATCGCCAGACAGGAATAAATCGTTGCATGCGTTCGTCCGTTCGTTTCCTTCCTTTCAAGCTCGCAGTAATTTTGCTGCGATTAAATTAACATACTCTGTATCTTTGATTATTACATTCTGTATGAGTATATCCGATTTCAATGTATACGCCGATCGTTAATGAAAGCAGGCATGGTTACAGCGGGATCAAGCCGGTGGACAAGAAGGATGGCGCTGGCAGCCACAACTGGGGAACTCACAATGACGAGATCGAGTAAGTTGACCATTTCGCGGCTGAATTATTATTATTAGAAACAGAGAGACTATCATGTGTCGCGACCGAATCGTTATTATCATCGAAGGTAAAAAGACAATCATAAAGTATCTTTCTACTTTCGTAATCATGCACAAGTCCAGTGGTAATTTTGAATCGAAATTCAAATTTCTTAGATCTTTTTGTAGCACATATTCCACGTTTGGACTGCCGTCGATGACGTAGAGCGTTCTTCAGCCCGTCGAACGATCGACTTTAAGGCGTTCTCTCCCTTTCAGAGAAAGTCTGAATCAAGACAACCAGGACTGGGCAAACGAGAAGCCAGAGGGCGGCGAGGCTCCGCCGGCCCCTGCCGAGGGCAAGGAAGGCGAGACCGCCCCCGCTGAAACGACCGCCGAGGAAAAACCTGCCGAGGAGGAGTCTCGCGTGCTTACTCTGGACGAATGGAGGGCTCTGCAGAACAACCGTGCGAAGCCGCAGTACAACCTGCGCAAAGCCGGCGAGGGAGAGGATCTCTCCCGCTGGAAGAAAATGTACGCTCTCGAGAAAAAGAAGGAGGGCGCCGAAGAGGAAGACGAGGAGGAGGAGGACTACGACGTGGCCGCGGAGTATCCGCAGCGCGTCGGCAGACAGAAGCGCGTCCTCGACATCGAGTTCCAGTTCAGCGACTCGCGACGTGGTTCCGGCGGCCGCGGTAGCCGGGGAGGGCGCGGCGGTCGCGGCGAGCGCGCTAACAGCCGTGGCTTTGGAAACCGCGGCCCCCCCAGGGAAGGCGACCCGCGGGCCACCCCCTCGGTGAGCACCGCCGTCCTCGACGGCTCTTTTTTTTCCAACCCCTTTTCTTCGTCTTTCGGAGAGGACTGGAGAGTTACATCAAGTACTATTTGCATTCTACACACGCTACTGGTGTAGAGCTCCCTTTTATGTATTTATAGAAACAGTTCAGTCAACTATTTCTCCAATAGTCGTGCCTTTCAAAAGGGATTTTTCTGTATATTTTTATATTCGGTTAATTTCCTTATGAAAAAGAGACTCGTAGCGTCGGTGTGAAATGAATTGTGCGTATGAGTTGCAGGCCGTACAGACGGAGCAGAGGTCGCCGCGAGGACGTCAGAACGCCCCGAAGGTTGACGACGAGCACGACTTCCCTTCCCTGGGATAAGCAAGAGGGTAGTCCAGGTGAGACTGTACAGTCCTGCTAATGTTATCACCGCCGACAGTCTATCATCGATAAGAACCGTTATTGATGCATAATACAGTACACCTTTGCAAATAATACGTAACACGGAGACGGACACCGAGCAAAAAGAGAAAAAAAACGTAAAGATAAAAGAAAAGAGAGAAGATAAAAACTCGCGAGGGCGCGGGAGGGCGCCATATTAATAAGGATCAATAAATATGACGTGACCACACGAGTGAACCATCAGAAACGATCTCTCGTACTTGTCGGAGCATGGAAAAAATGTTAGGCAGTAGTTTCTAAAGGTAAACTAGTCCACGAGAGAGAGCGATGGGGGAAAGAGACGAGGAACGCCAGTACGCACCCGGTGCTGGGCAAAACGATGTAGTTGGAAATAATCGAAATACCGATTTCGATGACCTATTTCACGTGGGAGGTGCTTAGGCAAGTATTTCGAAGACGTCTCGTTTCCTCGCGAGATGATTACCGAGGTTTCTCCTTGAAATTACGCCTTTACAGGGGGTCGTTGAGAGAGACTATTCCATCTCTCTGTGAGCATTTATTCCTTTTTTTACGTATGTATCGAGGTTCGTTTTAAGATTGGTCGTATGTATCTGCAATTTGCTTAGTTTTCACCCATTTCCTCCGCGTGAAAGACGCATGCCAGCTTTTAGGAGCGCTCAACCTCTCGTGTCAAATAGTTTCCCTCGAAAATGGGGCCCAGCACCGGAACTGGCCTGTGCGTAGATAGAGGGAAAGTGAAAAAGATGCAAGGAGCGCGGAGCGAACGAATACGCAGATCAACGTGTAAGAGCGACCGAACAAGAAGGATATCGTGGTTGCTCAAAGTAACTACGACCGCGATACGCGTTAACACCTCGGATAGTCAAATTAAATTAAAGATACTGAAGAACCGAAGAAAGAAAAAAAAGAAACACTATATTTTCCAATAGGAAAGTGTCATTATTTAAGAACGATATGCAGCGTAGCTGGGAAAGAAAGAAAGAGCGAGAGGAAGAAAGAGTACGTGTGTGCGTGAGTGAGAGAAAAATTTTACCAGGTTCCAAGAGATAGGAAGAAAAAGGGGAGGGGGGGAAATAATAAAAACCGAGGTTCCCTTATCAATTTTAATTTTAATATCATATCTATGGCCTAAAGAGGCTCGACCCTGTATACGTCTCGGACGCGTGCATAGTACTTCTCTTTAGGCACGTTAATTTGAAAAAGCGAGAGAGAGAAAGAGAGATATCCACTGCGTCTTGTAATACTTCGGCATGGTGTTTAGGACCGGCCTTCCTCCTAAGGAGTTAATATCACGAGAAGAGAAAAATCCAAGTCTATTGTCCCTCGGCTTTCGGATCACCCGCGATTTTGGCTACGACGGTGACGAAGACGACGCCTAGAGATACACCAAGAGGAGGCGAGCAATGACGCCGGAAGGCAAGGTCTGATATCGGATACCTGCGAACGCTCCGCTATGAGCTTGTAAGAATTATGGAAGGTTTAGGGGGCGGTCATTTTTTGTCTCGTTTCTCTTCCTTTTATTTTTTTTACCGTCCGAGGTCGCCGACGACTCAGTTTCTTGCGTAACCTTTGGAATGGGGAGCAGGGAACCGCTCGGAACTCTGTCGTAGGTATTCCGGGCCGAAGAAATCCTCCTACCGAGAAAATTGTATCGCATCGACTAGCGTTCGGTACAATGAAAGAATGTCTTGGTCGTCTCCTAAGAACGTACAATTTTCTCGGTCGAAAATAATTCGGTCTGGCCTTGCATTTAGAAAGTCCTGGGACGGTTCTCTTCTAAGGGAACTTGGAGCAATGGCGAGAAACTGTAACGTCGGTAAGCCCGCGTGGTAAAACAGTCATCTTTGCGAAACCCCATAAGAAACGACGAAAGCAAATAGCGAGAGCGAATCGGAGAACGTTCTCTTAAGCGCCCGAATGCTCCGGGACGAGTTTGTAACGATTAATGCAACCCCCAAGCTCGACAGCGATATCTCAGAAAGCAGTTTTTACGCATACGTTTGTACGGACACGCAGCTCGAGCGAACCAGTGAGAGAAAAATGTACTAAACGGGGGAAAGGGAGAGCCTCCGTACCCCGCGAATTCAGTCCGATATATATGATTACACGTTATACCGTGATTATACAATTACTTATTGTCACCGATCGCCACTCCTTTTTTCATTATAAAACCGCTATATTGATTATCTACTACGTTTGTTATATACGTTAAATACGAGTCTGCCAAATGAATTCCGCATACCCGCTCCACCCTACAGTGAAAAGCAGATGTTACGATACTATTTGAATCTTAGGTATATGTGTAAATAACATGATATTTACAGAATAAATTGTGACAAGACTAAACGAGAGTCCCGTTCACTCGATGCAATTCATGGACTTCGTCGTCGGGACCTGCGAATCGTAAGTTTCAGACACGTTCATTTTCTAGGAGGGACAACAATTGGGTCGATCAATCTGCTGCAAGATGTTTGTGACATCGTTAACCGAGTATTCTGACTTCGGCACGTTGATCATACGATGTCTAATTAATAAAAGAACGAGGGTTTGCCCGGAATTTTGAGGAACAAATCTGCAAATTATACGTCATCGAGTTCATTTTTCAGGAAGCCTGTTAGGTTAAAAAAACGAATCCTAGAAAGTGTTTTCATGCCGTGTATTGCCCTTCGTCTATATTGGTACATTATTACTTTTGATGGTTGATAGAAGAATTATTTGAGACGTATTTCGTTCATACATTCTACTCGTGTTTAAATGTACCGCTAGGTTGAGTCCTCCAATCAGGCGAGGACTCGGCCGGCGGCCATTTTGTCGCGCACGTTCGTAGAACAAGTAGGTGCGCAGGTGGAGAGGGAGCGAGAGGGTGCCATGTCTCTCCGGACAAAGCGCAGAGCGGGGTAGGTGCATCAACGGCGCGGGAGGGGGAGGAAGGGAGCGAGCGACACTCGTGGCGGATCGTGTCGGAACCATCGTCGAAAGAGGACGCGTTTCGTAGCGGAGAGCGAGCGAGAAGAAAGGAGTGCGGGCGCGGCGGAGGGAGTGCGTGCGAGAGAGAGGTAGAGCGGGAGCGCACTCCGTAGCCACGGCCCCCCGACCCATGCAGGCCGTCGTCAGTCGGATTCAGTCGGATTTTAATGGCGGCCGATCCGGAGTCCGCGGCTCGTGTTATTGTCGAGTGACGGAAGGGACGGCGCGCGTCGCGAGTGCTTGACCACCATCTCGGGGAGATCGGGCGAGAGGGCTCACCGAGGCAAGTTCGACGCGGCCCGACCGCGCGGCCGCCCCGCAGCTCCGCGACCGGGCGCGAGGCCCGAGGACGGCACGCCACCCGCGCACGACCCACGATGGTGCACCCTCGCGATGTGCCCTAGTCCGTGCCCGCGAGCGCGAAACGCATCGCGGATCGCGTCGCGGCTACTGCTTCCGACCCTGTCCCCGGCCTCTAAGCCCTGGCGCTCCTAGGAGCAAGGTAAATACCGGCGCGAGGCCGCCCGGACCTACCGAGCTGGCTTTCCGAGAGTTTGCTCCTTTTTCGAATGCTATTTAGGAAGCGCAGGAGCCTTCCGGGACGAGGAGGAACTCGAGCCGGGGCTTCGGTACGTACTCCGCGTCCTGGAACTTCAGTTTAGCCGCCTCGGGAACCGGCCGCTCGTACGTTCCAGCCTTTGTGTCGCGAGGCGCCCCTTAGCTGTCAAGTGTCGCCAAGAGATCCTCTCAACGAGGGGGAGTCCTGCCGAGGGTTTGCCCGTGCTTTTACTTCCACGGTTCTGTCCGACGATGACTTTGCTTTCGTTTGGATACCTCGTTCAAAGGGGAAATACTGCGGGGATTTATGTACTATTCACTCTCAGGATGAGGTATGAGAGAGAGTTGTATGTTTTTTGTTTCGGAGAGTCAGATGTTAGCATCCACCTGTAATGGTTTTTTTTCCTGTGGGTGGATGTTGTCAGGGAGGTGAAGTTTGTCTTTCGTACTTCGGTCCTTAGCCGATGTATCTTGTCTCGTTGGGATTTGTTGAATAGACGTTCGATGTTTTTTCATCTTGATCCTACGAGTATGTCGATATTGTATACCATGGACTTTGTGTTAAGAGATGATATGCTAATCCATAAATAACTATTTGATTGTCAAAGAGGTAACAAGGCTGCTGGATTATTTTCTTCCTTTACCGATTCTTCTTTTGTAACTGCGTTTCTATTATCGTCTCAATAGCATGGTTGTATGGACTGTAGTCAAGACATATGTGTATATAACGTGCCCAGTAATGCTAAGATGCACGTCATTATACTCTAATGGTTGCAAGAAATGCTACTTCATTTTACTACTGTGTTTGTGCTTTAAAAAAAAACAAAGCATTTAAAACAATTCCAAAATGTTGCATAGGGGTGATTTCCTGATTTTTAGGGACAAAGTTAAAAGGCCTATCGTTCCTTCCGCTGTGGTTGATATTTCACTTAAGGATCCCCTTAATTAGAAGGGATAGAGTTAAATCAATTAGCTTGATGCGATTAATGATAGATGTTGGATCCATTATGTCATATAAGATGATTGCCTCACGAAAACGAAGCAATGACTATGATTGTTTAATGACTACTCTTCCGTTGTGTTCCAGGAGCACGAGGCAGTGAGCATCATGTTGGTGCTTAGGAGCATGCTGACTTGGTAGTGCCGCAACGATAGGGGCCAACTACCAGTAGCAAACCAGCTTCACGTCCATACCACTCGACCCGACTGTCCCAGATCCACATGTGCTCGAACATACAAGAGACCACCCGCACCATGAGGCTCCTTGGATCTGTCAATCTTCCTGCTGCTCCATTCGTAACGCCTCCACCACCTGCGTCAATGCTATTTTGCAGTCCGATATCGCTCTCATCCATGTACCTTGTCGTGTGGCTTCTGGTTGCACTGGCATCTGCATCCTTGGATGTCCCTGTCAGTACGGTTCCTTCCATAGAGGAAAATCGATCCCCTCACATCGTGGCGCAGTTCCCTTCGACTGACCCTAACCGATATGGGCTCTTTCCAACCGAGGCCAATGCCACGAAGGAAGGTGCTCTTCGCTTGAATCATCTCACCATAGATCCCAATACTGGACGCCTCTATACCGGAGCTGTCAATAGACTGTTGCAAATGGATTCCAATTTGAAACTCGAGGAGTATGTTTCCACCGGTGAGTACCCTCTTATCGAATGATACATGAATGTTACTAAATTAATATACTATTCTTACCTTTTAATAACCTGTGTTGATATTTGTCACATATTTTAAATTGTACATTTATTTCAAAGGGCCAAGATTAGATAATCCACAATGCTATGCGACTGGGTGTCCTTCGAGGGATACCACGACGTCGTGGATGGACAACGTGAATAAGCTGCTACTAGCCGACCTGGAAGCGCAGACCTTGATAGCGTGCGGGTCTCTTCTTCAGGGTGCTTGCGAGAAATACAAAATGTCAAACATATCCATCAAACCGGAGTTCGTGCCTCGTAGCGTGGCAGCTAATGACGAGACCTCCTCCACGTATGCCTTCATCGGTCCAGAACGATATAACCCTTGGAGGAAGACAAGCATCCTCTATGTTGGTACCACGTTCACCAATAACGGCGAGTACCGCCACGATGTTCCTGCCATTTCCAGCCGGAACCTTGCTACGTTAGACTTTGCAGAATTCACCTTCTATAGGCAGTCGATCTTATACATAGACGTGAAGTATCGGGACCACTTCCTGGTGAAATATGTGTACGGGTTTAACGCAAGTGAATACGCGTACTTTGTGCTAGTTCAGAAGCAGTCTTACCTTCCGGAGCAAGAGGAGCTGGGTTATATCTCCAGGTTTGCCCGCAGCTGCATAAGCGACTCCAACTACGACAGTTACACCGAAGTGACGCTGCAGTGCAGTGTTGACGTTGGAGATGGCAAGCAACAAGTCTATAACTTAGTGCAGGATGCCAAACTCGCCGTGGCTGGTAGCGATCTGGCCATGCAGTTGGGCATCGCTGTCGGAGACCTTGTCTTCGTCTCTGTCTTCTCACCTAGCAAGGGTATCACCAACGAACCCTTGCCTCGTTCGGCCCTCTGCGTCTACAGCTTGCAAGAGATCGAGACCAAGTTCAACGAGAACATCCACATGTGCTTTAATGGTAGCATCAAGTATCGGAACATGGGTTACGTCAGTGGTCCCATTCAAGATGGAAAATGCCCGTCCGCAGGAGTAAGTTCGTTTAATGATTCTCATTTCTAGGGGAGCGTTATACTAATAGTTTTGATTTCTTAGCTTGTCCAATACCTTTAGAGATTAAAAATAATTGTTTGCCTGGGAAATATTAAGCCGTGATTACAAAACGTACTTCAAGCTATTGTGATCAGTTAACGGTACCAATTGGGATTCGGCACTAATTGGCGTCGTTGAATGTGTTCTAACATTTTAATAGATACTTTGAAAGCTTACTTCGAGTAGGAAATTATAATGTATTCGGAATATCCAGAATTATTAATACGGAGCAACCCAAGTAGACTTTTAGTACGTAAAATTAGTATGAACTGGCAGTAGATTCATCGTAAATAATATTACTGGGACACAGACATAAATGAATCGTTTGATTCTTTCTCTCAAAGGAGTCTTCGTTACAGACGACGGGAAACATTATGCACTTCTGCGAGGTCGGCTTAAAGATCTCGGGGGTCTCTCCGATCATCGGACAGGCAGTTCTTCATTTTCCCAACGATTTCGTGACGTCGGTCGCCGTGGCGAACACCGAGAGCCACACGGTCGCCTTTCTCGGGACCAACGACGGTGTCCTGAAGAAAGTCTTGCTATCCGGCACCGAGGCGTCCATTTATGAGAGCATCGTCATTGATAAGGGCCAAAAGCTGCTGCCAGACACCGTCATCGCTCCAGGTGGAGACTACATTTACGTCCTCTCTACGTCGAAAGTCTCTAAGGTCAGGGTCGAGCACTGTAGCAGTTATACCAACTGCAGCAGTTGCCTCGATGCCAGAGACCCTTATTGCGGATGGTGTTCCCTGGAAAAGAGGTTGGTTTTACCGTAATACCTTCTCGTACGTACGTATCTGTGGAGCGATTACTTAATCGAGTAATAAACGTTCCATTAATCCAACAAATAACGTTAAATTTATTACTATAATAGTATTCAATTCGATTTTACCGAACCGTTCGGTCTAACTAATCCCAATGCAAACGCTTTATAGATGCACCGTTCGAGGCGCTTGTCAGAAGGCAAGTCAGAGCAGTCCCAGATGGTTATCGCTGGGCACGGGCCAGCAATGCATCGACTTCGAGCAGGTATTGCCCGATCGGATCCCCATCAACCAGATGACGACTGTCCAGTTAACGATCAGGACCCTGCCGGAGTTGCCGGCTGGGGCGAATTATAAGTGCGTCTTCGGAAACGCCGATCCCATCGACGCGTTGATGACGGGATTCGGCCTGTCTTGCCCGACACCTCCGGTCGCCGGCAGACCCAGCATCCCCGACGAATCCGACCATGTCCTGGTGCCTCTGTCGGTACGCTCGAGCGAGACGAACAAGGACTTCGTCTCGCGGAATTTCGCCTACTTCGATTGTTCGAGGCACTCGGTTTGCCTCGACTGTGTCAAGTCGCAATGGGCTTGCAGTTGGTGCGTCTACGACAACCGATGCACTCACAACACCAGCGGCTGCCAAGGCAACGTCATTTCCGGGGAAAACGTAAGTTCTGATGCGACGATGCCACTTGATTGACGGAAGATGATTAGTAAATGCTTTGTTATTGAACTTTGAGATACACGGACGCGGAAACGATTGCTCAACTCCATCCTATTTGGAAATTGTTTTGCAGAGCCAAACGAGCCTGGCGGCACACGGAATCCAGTACTGTCCGCGATTCGCACCCCGGGAGGAACCCTTGATGCTGCCAAATAATGTACCGAAGGAGATAGTCCTCCAGGTGGAGAACCTGCCGCAACCGCAGATCGGTCACACGGGGTTCCAGTGCATCGTGACGATCGAGGGAGCGAATCTACGGGTGCAGGCCCGAGTGGACAGCAGCCGGTTCATCGTCTGTGACAAGACAATCTACTCTTACGAGGAAGCGACCGGGGAGTACGAGGCGGCGGTGACCGTCGTCTGGAACACGAACCACCACGTGGACCAGACGACGGTCGTCCTGTACAAGTGCGAGGTCCTTGGCTCTCACAGGGAGCACGCGGATTGCTCTCTGTGCCTGACGAGGGATCCGCGCTACGAATGTACCTGGTGCGGGACCAGCTGCGTCTACCGTCATTCGTGCATGTACTCGCCATTCGCAGTCTGCCCGAAACCCAGGATAGACATGATTAAACCGCTGAGTGGACCTATCGAGGGCGGCACCCTGGTCACAATCGAGGGCAGTAATTTGGGTTTGCGTAAAAGCGACGTCGAGGGAAAGATACACATCGGTAACACTCCGTGTACCCTGGTCGACTATGAGGTCTCGGTGAGGATAGTGTGCCGAACGGGCCGGCACGAGGCGACCGACACCGCCTCCGTGGTTGTTGGTAATAACGCCGGCGACACCGAGAGCGCGGTGCTCTTCAACTACAAGGATATCCGATTGACCGGGGTGCATCCATCGATGGGACCCCAAAGTGGCGGCACCCAGTTGGCCATCTCCGGGACCTACCTCAACATCGGGAGCACGATTGCAGCGTACCTCGACGAGCTGCCCTGTCGGGTGAACGCCACTCAGGCGAGCAGTACCAGACTGACCTGTGTCACCAGCAAATCCGGCAGGGTTCGGCAGGTCCACACGTTAACCCTGAGCATCGACGGGGCAAATCGTACTCTGTACGGGAATCCTTACAATTACACCCTGGACCCTACCATCATGGAGATCAAACCCCTCAGGAGCTTCGCTTCGGGCGGTCGGATGATCACGGTGCATGGGACCAACTTGGACACCATTCAAAAACCGGAGATGGAGGTGTACTTCGAGGACGAGGTCGAGCCTGTTAATCGCACCGTCTGTGTCGTCCTGAACCCCACGCAGATGGAGTGTCCCAGTCCCAGTGTTTCCGGTAGGTTTCGTTCCCTGAGAAGGATCGAGCGCTCGACGTCCGAGTCGACGACTTCTGACGCGAGTTTCTCGGATCTGGGCGACGGGGACGACAATCCTGGGCGATCGCCGCCCGGCATCCAGGTCCTTAAGAACGGAGGCAAAGAGTCGCAGCTCTCCCTGAAGATAGCCTTCCTCATGGACGACGTCGAGAGCGTCAGAGACCTGGAGAAACATTTCCAGAATCTAAGGAATCGGCTGCTTTATGTGGAGGACCCGAAGTTTTTCCCTTTTCCGAGGAATGTCAAGTTGTACAAGGGCGACACTCTGGTGATCGAAGGTGAGCATCTGACTTATGCCAGTGACGAGTCCGACGTGAACGTCACCGTGGGTACCATGCCTTGCAACGTGACGTCCCTCGCCCTGACCCAACTGGTGTGTACACCTCCGGATCAACAACCGGCTGATACCGACGAACTTGGCGTCAAGACCGAGCACGGCCTACCCCTGGTGGTCGTCAGAGTCGGCCGGACTTTGCGCTTCCCCATCGGTTATCTGCACTACGACGTGGCCAAGTCGTACCCAATTCCTCCGGAGGCCATTGCCGGCATCGCCGCGGGCACGTTTAGTCTCGTCTTTCTCTTCGTCCTGGTGCTGGTGGTCTACCGGAGAAAGAGCACGCAGGCCGAAAGGGAGTACAAGAGGATTCAAATTCAAATGGACACGTTAGAGAGCAACGTCCGAATGGAGTGCAAGCAGGCCTTTGCCGAGTTGCAGACCGACATGACCGACCTGACCGCCGATCTCGAGTCCTCCGGCATACCGACCCTAGATCATAAGAACTACATCATGAAAGTCTTCTTCCCAGGCGTAATCGACCACCCGATACTGAACGATCCTCGGGCCAGAAACAACGTGTCCAGGACTAACTACGACGCCGCGATGGTGCAGTTCGAGCAACTCATCAACAACAAGTGCTTCCTGCTGACCTTTGTCGAGACCCTGGAGGCTCAGAAGGATTTCAATATCCGGGATAAGGTGAACGTCGCCTCGCTGCTCATGATCGTGCTCATGAGCAAGATGGAATACGCGACCGACGTGTTGATGAGCCTGCTACTGCGGCTAATCGACAAAGCGGTCAACACGAAGCACCCCCAGCTCATGCTCAGGAGGACCGAGTCGGTCGTCGAGAAGATGCTGACCAACTGGATGGCTCTGTGCATGTACAACTACCTCAAGGACTACGCGGGCTCTTCGCTCTTCCTCCTCTTCAAGGCGATTAAACATCAGATCGAGAAGGGCCCGGTCGATGTGGTCACGCACGACGCCAGGTACTCTCTCTCCGAGGAGCGACTCCTCCGAGAGCAGATCGAGCACAGCGTGGTGACCCTGCACGTCGTCCAGGACGATCTCGACGAGAAGATCCAGTGCAAGGTCCTCGACTGCGACACCATCAGTCAGGTCAAGTCGAAGATTCTGGACGCCTTGTACAAGAACACGCCGTTCTCGTTGAGGCCCTCTATCCACGAGGTCGACCTCGAGTGGCGTCACGGCCGGGGCGGCCACCTTTCCCTTCAGGACGAGGACCTGACCACCAAGTGCAGCGGCGGTTGGCGAAAAATCAACACGCTCGCCCACTACGGAGTCAAGGAGTCCGCAGTGATGTCCTTGATACCCAGACAAAACGACGGGTTCGCCGTCAACTGTAAACCACCGTGCCACGCGTGCAAGACCTCGAGTCACCATCGACACGGGTCGAATCACTGCTCGGCGACCCACCTGCATCAGAACCAGCAGCCGCACTATCATCATTACCACCACCACCACGTCCACCATCACCACCACCTGGCCAACGCGGCCGGGAACGCTCAAATAGGGCCCGCGATAGTCTACTCGCACACCCCGGTCGGAGGAGGTGGTATCTATTACGAGTCGCAACATTCGCCTCCACCACCTCCGGTGATCACGGCCAATGGAGACGTCGAAGCTGGCCACGGGGGCCACAACCGGCGCCTCTACCACCTGGTCAGGCCTCTCGAGGAAAGCCATTATGCCTCCACCGGGGGCGGCGGCCTGGGTCTCATCGGCGGCAAACACCATCACCGCCACCATCATCCGGAGCGCACTCACAAGGCCATTCCGGAGATCTTCCTGACCCGACTTCTCTCGACCAAAGGCACCGTCCAGAAGTTCGTCGACGATTTCCTCAACACGATACTCACCGCGAACGAGGCTCTGCCCAGCGCCATCAAGTGGCTCTTCGACCTCCTCGACGAGGCCGCCAGGCGGCACGGCATCGTCGACCCCGAAGTCGCCCACGCCTGGAAGTCGAACAGCCTTCCCCTGAGGTTCTGGGTCAACTTCATAAAGAATCCGGACTTCATGTTCGACATCAACAAGTCGACGACGGTCGACTCGAGCCTCTCGGTCATTGCGCAGACCTTCATGGACTCCTGCTCGACCACCGAGCACAGGCTCGGGAAGGACTCGCCCTCGAACAAGCTCCTTTTCGCCAAGGACATACCCCATTATAGGGAGAAGGTCGGTAGGTTCTACACGGACGTGCAGAGACTCCCACAAATCTCCGACCAGGAGATGGCGGCCGCCATGCAGCTGCTGAGTGCGGCCCATGTCAACGAGTTCGACGTCATCGCCGCGCTCAAGGAGCTCTACATCTACGTCAGCAAGTATTACGAACAGGTGTGTTGAAACGTGTTTTTCTTACAGTTTTGTCTTTTGACCTCGTCAGTCCTGTCCGACTTCTCCGATGTAGTTTTGCTTATATCGTTCGTTTCACCAAAGAATTCAGAAGTCCCATAGAAGCCCAGATCCTATGTTAGCGCTCGATGCTCTAAAAGTTGGCTAACAAACCAGAAGTGGGGGTAAAAGAGAGATCGCACGTGTTAGCCAACGATATCTCACGTAAGGGAGGAAGAGAGACGCATATAGAAAGACGAGTATTGGGTGCAAGATAAAGAAATAATGCAATCGCTATATATCGCCATAAGATTAAGAGGGATGGAGAGATGATTACAGCGCCGCCATCCGTTGGCTAACATACTATTTATCGAGCATCGAACGTCCGTATCCTTCTGGGCTTCTATAGAGACTTCTGAATTCTTTGGTTTCACCAATCTCGTTCACTTCGCTCATCTCCCTCTTGTGGAATTTTCAGATACTAGACGCCCTCGAAACGGACGCGGGCTGCCGCAAACTACACCTGGCGCACAGGCTGGAGAACGTGGCGTGCACGATGGAGGGCGAGGAGACGAACGCCTGCTGACACGACTCAGGGAGCACCGCGAGCCCACCCTACCCCGAAGACGTCGAGGCCCTCAAGGACGCTGACTAGTGCCTCCAGTCCTCGCGCACCGTCCGCGTCCGTGCTCGCCTCTACGGTTAGGCCCCTGCCGCCCCCTTGTCGGCGAAGCTTTTCGGACGGGCGCGCACCCTGCGTGGAAACCGGATGCGCGAGGTACCTTACCGAGCGAGGAGGCCCCCGGTTCCGTCCGAGCCCTCGTCGGCGCGCGACGACGTCTCGCAGAGCAGGAATTTGACTCTATTAGAACCGATCGTCCCGGGCGTCGCGTCGAACGCGACTGTCAAGAGTCAGGAGAGAATTATTAGGCTCGGGGTCGAGGTGTTCCCCGAACGGTGTTGCTTAATCTCTGCGCGAGACGGTGGCGCTGACGCGAATCCCGGTGGCCCGCAGAGATACGTGCTACATGCATTTATTGTATATTTTGTGGAATCTAGACTTTGATTTTCCGTCCGAGATTGGGGTCGTGGTGTAGCGCGTCGACGGCGTCGAAGAAAAACCCCGAGCGACTGTTTCGTGGTTTCTTAATCAATTTGGAAGAGGGGACAAAACTACGTAAAGTTCACTACGTATTCATGTTTCTGATGGATCTTCCAATTTGAGATTTCTTAAAATCAAATATGGGCATTTCGGGTTACATGAAATCGATTCCGGTCTCGTTCAACGTGCTTCGGTCCGTACCCGAATTTATTGACTGATTTTTACATTCGTGTTAAGATTTGATTCCGTTTTTCTTTTTCTTTTTTAACCAGGATCATTTAGTTTCGTTTATTTGACACCGTCAATTAACGTCGATTGGCTGGACCGTTGATCTTTCTCGACGTAATGTATTTTATCTTTACCGATGTACTTTGGTATTTCGGAAACACCTTACCCGGGATTTTCTGAACTCACCACGACCGCTCTTTTTTAGTTGCATCAAAGTCGCAATCGAGCCCTGTGTATCGCCCGAGTGAAATCGCGGCGACCCAGTGAACTTTAGGGACTCAAGGAGAGGGATATTACCTAATGTATATGAAATGTCTATCGAAAGTACTGTACGAAACGCCAATTGTCTGGGTAACACCCAAACGGGGACGTCGTCGCGCGTTCTACGAAATGTCGGTGTGCGTGGATTCGAACTAATACGCTGGATTACGGAAGAAAAATGTTAATTATGGGCGAAAGGACGAGGCGGTCACCGAAAACTGTACCTTCGAGCGGACCTTGTTTCGTTGCAGCGGTGCGTTCTAAAGTTTTCCATGTTTTATATATTTTTTTTGTTATTTTTCTTTTACGCGATTTCGCCGCGAATCCAATACGGTCGGACACGAATCGATCGTTCGGGGAAAATTTCATCGCTCGAAGATGGGAACTCCTTGGAACGAGTAAAATTCCCCTGGGCGACAGCTCCGTTCATTTAGGTGCAGCGAAATTATTAGCTTTACAGGCCGAACCTTATGTACGAACGCGTACGTCAACGAGTAGTTCGCGATTTTAGCTCGAGTGGCTATATCTATTGTATAATTAACTAGAATATAATTTTAACAATGGTAACGGCGATGGCAGTGCCAGAGACCGGGTAAAAGTGCGGTCACTCTTTTGCGGCTACTAAAAGCGCACCTAATTGGGTCGTTCCCACCGTGGCGTGGTCGTTGTTACCGTTGCTACTGTTATATATTATTATATCGTGACACGTAAATATATACGCGGTGTACAGGTAACGATCGCAGAGTGTACATATACGGATTACATGCGCGACGTGTCCCGTACCCTGTATACAAGCCTGTATATGCGAGCGAGAGATGCGAGCCCTGTTAAAAGGCGGAGTAAGAAGTAACATTTAAAGTCTAAGGCAACCGAAGTAACGTTATATATATATAAAAAAAAAAGTTAAAGGGAATTTTAAGAGATATAACACGGCGGCGTCGACTGCCTCAGGCCTAGATACGTACGAGGTGTACGGAAGATTTTTCTAACGCTCGATTATTTTCCTTCGTTTTTTATATTCCCTTTTTTTACGTATCCAGTATTCTGTACGACCCCGCATATGATAATGTATACGCGTTATTATGTTGTGCATTGATATATTATTGTCGCGAGACGCCGTCGTTTGTCACCGTCGTCGAGGTTTTGATTTTTTTTTCCCCCTTTTCTACAACGATTGTCGTAAATCGGTAATTATTAAGGACGCGAACGAATGGCCAGTGACTTTTCTTCGGAGTTGCGGCCTTTTCGTCCGCTTTGATACGAAGTTATTAAAATAGTACGGGAACGTAATTCAGGGTCCGTAGAAAAAAAATCTAGGATCGCTTCATCTCGAACGTGGTTACCAGGATCAAATGAGAACTTCACGAAAGAACGTATCTCGACTAGCCGATGTCGCGATCGATAGACTTTGACACACGGGATTGATAATTGTACATATATTTTTGACTGGTCGATCTCACGACGGTGACAACTTTTGTCGAGGGTCTCTCGCAACGGGCATCGTTAAGTAATACTCGAAAGACGAGGCATTCCGTCTAGAATGAAAACGGGAACGACTGCGACTGGGTGATAACGTGATAAGAAGGAAAGAAAGGGGATAAAAAAGAAGTTCGTCGAACGCACAGTGATAGGCGCGGCCTCGTGCCGTCCATTTAAACGGAGCTCCGCGATCGAGTATCTCATTGCCAGGAATGCATTTATATTTATAGGCCGATCGCGTCGATCGCGTCGATTACATCGAAGGTGAGAACCTATCCTGCCACGAGGAGCGACCTCCTCGCGCTGCGCCGCCCGAAATTCGGCACGATCGCTCCGATATATCCTTTCCGACCTTTTATCCATTTCGAGTTGAGCCGGGATCTTTTCTAGCTAAGCGATGGGCTTCGACCGTTTCGATACTATATTATCATGTATTTGTAAAGTCCCGAGGGTGCGACGGGCCCTCGTCTCTGCGTACGCTTAAATCCAGCATATACTGCCAAGGCTTTTCGTGGCGCTTCTGTGGATAATCGATCGAGCGCGAATCCGTCGTAAGAAATCGCTAAGTTATGTCCTTCGAGGGGAGAGAGTAACCGAGGGTCTAGGCTCGGCTGGGCTGGGTGGGCGGGACAAGGGCTTATTGCTCGTCTCGTTACTTTAGTCAATTGCGAAGAGTCGTTGCTTCGCGGGAAACGTGCACCCTACAGTTATTTCTCACGATTTCTGGACGGAAATCGCGCGACGGCTGTCCAATGCACGTGGCGCGTTCCGAAGATATTCATTTTTTATGCGGACGCGAGGGTACCGATATCCTCTTTGTCCGGCGTAATTTAACGGTGTACGAACAATGGTCTCGTCTCGATGCCGATTCCAGCCACGACCAGGGCAAATTCCTCTCGCTCTTGTACTTAATCGACCTGGCGGAAGCTTTTTTCCGTCCCCAGATGCGGATCTCCTTCGTTTTCTTTCCATCTTTTTTTTTTTTCTTTTCTTTTTCGAAGCCAAAACATCCACGGATTTTCTCTCCTTTCCTTCCCCTTCCTTCCCTGCCCCCCTTTTTCTCTCTATCTACGTATATTTGCATATGTACGTATATGTGCATATACGTAAACTCGTCTAGGTATGTGCAAATACATGGGAGAGAAGTAACCCCTTTTCCTTCTACATACCCCGGCGTATGTACTCGTCCCTTCTCAATGTGTTTACACGGAAAACGAGCGCGTTGAATATGTTGTGTATTTATTTATACCGCGATGCAATTAGATCTGTAAGATACGTAGACATTCTGTATCAGCGATCTCTCTTTCTCTTTCTCTCTCTCTCTCTCTTATGCGAATCTCTTCGAGTTCTCTCCGCCTATCTCGGGATTACGGCGAAGGGAAAAAGGAGGCGCGCGCGTTCCCGTTTGGGCGATGCGAGGGAGATGAATATTTCTTTTTTGGATCTCTTTCCCTCCCGTGATAAGGTAAATCGCGGTTGTCCGGAATTATACTCGGCGACCCGCAGAAGGCCCACAAAGCCACCTTGAGACTTTTGTCCTAGCGGCTTTTCCGAACTCTCGTTTTAATTCCGTGTAATTTCCTATCGTTCGCATACTCTTTTTAAAGATCTCCGAACTATTCTTGTAGGGTCGTACGCGCTCGTACTTCGAGCCGATCACGTTCGACGCTCGAGTCCATCCAAGATACTGTAAAAAGATTGTCAATTTTGTACAACGGCGTAAATCCGTAACGAGAGCTCTCGCTATTCAGATCGCAATTTTAAGAGTCGAGGCTTAATCCGGAAACGAACCCGCCTCGTTGGCGTCCCCTCTTTATTTCTGGTCGAGCTATTTTCTCCGATTCGAACTCCGTTTCTGCGTTCGTAACTCCATCCTCGAGACAAGTATATTCGTCTTTTACTCTGTTTTTTTTTTCTTTCTTTTCTTTACGAAATCGGGGACTAAGAGCTCTTTAACGACTCGCATCCTTCCGATTTCGCGAGCACTTCGAGGTGCCTCTCGTGCAATTATTAAAAGACGATGTCATGGTTAATCGCGGCGACGAACGCAGATCTAATTATCCCTCTGATTAAATCTTCAAAGGCCTTCCGAAGGGCGTCATTCTTCGACGACTTTTCACATTATTCCTTTATCTTGTATCGGGAATTTTGTATGCGATAGTATCTTCTTCATGGAGATATTTCGTTAAATTCAGCGCGTTTTGGGAAATGCCTTCGTGGTTTACCATATTTTGTCGAGACGTCGGGACAAGTCATTTACATGTCGGAGTTTACGCGAATTATCGGATGCATTTATCGGTTAGGAAGAAAGAGAGGGGCGAGTTCGTTTCTCGGCCTAACGCTGTGATGGAGTTTTCGATAAGGAATAAAATGATTATTAAGCGCGCGTTACTCCGTTCGCTACGCTTCGTAGGGAGAAGAGTGTTTCTCCGTGTTTAAGCTCGTCCTTGAATCTCGAATGAGCGCAGTAGATTAAATTTTTGCGTAGTTTGGATATTAATCCGGTCGTAGGGCGGAAGCGCGCTTCGGCGCGACGTGTGAATGTGGCGCGCTGGAACTGCTGAGAAAAATCAGCGGGACGAAGAGAATCACTGAGCGATCTTGCTTCTTACAAGGAAACATTCCCAAGTGTCCGCTGCCGATCTTGTTGACGTTCATATATGTTGAAGAACACAAAAATCTAAGAGACACGTGTTTTTTTTTATCTGCATTGGTCCATCCTTAAGGGGTGAAACAACCCCCTAAAGTTTGGCGGAAATTCAATTTTTATATTAATTTTCGTAGAAGCAGGGGAGGGATTTCGACGAAACTTGGCATAAACGTATGATGTATAAGGACGGTGAAAACACAATATTGTCCAGGAATTATACACCACCTCAAGGGGGTGAACTACCCTACAATCGAAATTTTTTTGCAATATCTATTAAACAAACACTCATACTTAAGTTCCACTTACGCCATGTGACTGCTCACGAAAAATGAGGAAATACGTGTTTTTTTCTTTTTGCCAATAAACATTTGTACATCGGTTGAAAAGAATGGATGTAGGTGGTATATGGGTATATCTCGACTATCTTTATTGGGTCATACCCTGATTAATTCATTGTACATAAATCGTGTAAACGTGCTAATTCCTCAAAATGTCGTTGGTTTTCATAACATGCAGTTATTTATAAATAAATTAAAAAACCGTTTAAGAGACTGAAATTCTATCGCAACAGATTCGATGATGATATAACCCAATAAAGATAGTCGGGATATACCCATATACCACCTATATCCTTTCTTTTCCACCGATGTATAAATGTTCATTGGCAAAAAGCAAAAAACCCATATTTCCTCATTTTTCGTGGGCAATCACATGGCCTAAGTGGAACTTAAGTATGAGTGCTTGTTTAATAGATATTACAAAAAAATTTCGCCTGAGGGGTAGCTCACCCCCTTGAGGTGGTGTAGTATTCCTAGACAATATTGTTTTCACCGTCCTTATACAGAATACGTTTATGCCAAGTTTCGTCGAAATCCCTCCCCTGTTTCTACGAAATTTAATATAAAAATCGAATTTCCGCCAAACTTTGGGGGGTTGTTACACCCCTTAAATGTGGACCATTGCTGATAAAAAAAACACGTGTCTCTTAGATTTTTATGTTCTTCAACATATATGAAAATCAATAAGATCGACGGCGGACAGTTGGGAATGTTGTTCCCTTGTTAGTCGAGGAAAAGAAAAAGGCAAAGATGGAAAGAGCATAGACTTATAGTATGGACTGAGCATGTATTGTTGCCACTCTATTCGCGCTATGAAAAAGACAGAAACATGTTGGTGTCCCTCTTTGTCTCTCTCTACTCTTTTCTGATTGATGACCTCATCGGAAGTGACCGATCAGAAAAGAATAGAGAGAGAAAAAGAGTGGCACGAACTACTTGATCTCTCTCTGTCGAACGGACATTATTTTCATTGTTGGGAACAATAGATGCTCGGTCCATCCTATATTTCTATGGCTAGGACCGAGGGGCTATTCACAATCAGTGATAACGAGTTCCTTCTTTGAGCAATCGATTGCCTTTAATTTCATACGATAAACAACAATGACATTCGGTAACAAGTGACGTTCGACCATAAAATTGTGAGAACGTGTCGGTGATTTCTAACGACTTCCAATGATTTCCTGGGATCTTTGCTTGCGATTTCCGACTGATTTCCACGTGATTTCTAATATTAAGGGGATGTGAAAGTGACATCCGAAAGGTCAATCGTTCGTGAAACTTTTCTACGAAGTGGGTGTACCGTATCGTCTGAAACTTTACAACGTGAATGCGGAGGCCTTCAGGTAGGTCTTGAAGCTCATGAAATTTCGATTTTTATAACAAATTTTGAAAACATCCATAAGGAAATATTTTAAAAAATTGAAATTTTAGGGGCGCCAAGATCTTTGTGGCTTCCATGTTCACATTGTCAAGTTTGAAAGGGTTTGGTACACTCGGTTAGAAGAAAAGTTTCATAAACGAGACCTCTTCGCCCCACTTTTACATCACCTTAAAGTCCATGATTTCCTGAGGGAATAACCCCTCGGCTAGGATCGAACGGCGACCTATGATTGGATTTTTACGACTTATGATTGGGAGTTTACATCGAGACGAGCGACTTTGGTTCTTCCCCTCTGGGTACGGTTCTTTCCTTCCTCCTTGACTCAGGAAGGAGGAAGGAAAATGACGGATGACATGAAAAAAGGGGCTACGGGATCGCGTAGATTTTTCTCGGCAGGTGCATGCGCTCGATGTGGATCTTTCGGCGAGCATCCTCCTACGATGTAGGAGCAAAGGCGAACATATTTTATTATCAGACTGACACAGGCCGCGAGAACGCGCGTTCCTCGCGCCGAGGCACTTTTCATTACTTATTAATTTCTACGGGACGAGAGTCGTGCTCGAAGCCTCGAGGAAGAGAGAAGTGAGGCTTCCTGCTCTGCTTCTCGATACTATAAGGCTTATCTTCGCTCGAAGCAGGCGCGTTCTCGTTTGCGCGCATGAGTGTGCGATTATTAAGTGCGGGTCGAGTGACTCCTTTTCGCGAAAAGTGCTCCTCAAAAGCTGGCAGAACGTAAGCGAGACGGGATAGACTCGTTGAGATCGGTCGATGATCTTGGGGTCGGATCCTAAGCGAAAGCGACGCAGAACTTTTGCGGTTTAATTTGACTTAATACTTAATGGTTTCGCTGACTTTTGTTGGTTCTTGGAGAGAGCCTTTAGCGGGACGGAACACGATAGTCGACGAGCATGTGCGAATGAGTGTGTAAATATTATATATTGCGTGCGCGAGCGGTGCGAGGCAAGCGTAACCAACGTATGACCCGTGTACATAGATATCAAAACCCATCCTGCACCGGAGGAAGAAAAAGAAACTAGCTCATAAGTGGACACTCGAGAACGAAACGACTCTTGCCAAATTTTCAATGGGACGTAGGGACAAACAAGAAATAAACATTTAAAAAATCGCAAAAATATATTGGTATTACAAAGAGTGGATTGCTCTTCGCTTACTTATTGTTACACTGTATAATAGTATGCTCGCCAACGTCGTCCGTAGGTGATCGAATGCTTAGTCAAAATATATTTACAAAGAAATCTCAAAACGCAATTGACTGCGTGACGGTTCAGACGTCTGGCGTTTTGTGTTTGAATCTGCCTTTCCGTCGAAATCTTAGAATAGATTTAAATTCTCTCGTCGGTACGACAAAAAGTAATAGAATGTGTTCTCTACATTTCGTACTTCATATAAAAAATCATTTAAAATGATGATCGATCATTTTCTTAGTGACATAGCCGAGATCATGCCGATTTTATCGATTCGCGTTGAGATCTACATTGATTCGTTAATCGTTGATTTTTATTTTAGAGTCGCAGAAAGTACTGCACCATGCAATACCGAGCAGGACGAACTCACTCCACGACTTGCTTCGCCTTGTATGGCAGGGCTTTTTCCTGTGAATTCTTGATGGAAGACGTGGAAGCCGTTGAATTAACGGAGGAATGTTTGGTACTGCCGGAACCACTATTTGTAGTCCGTTTATCCTGTTTTGCTTTTTTTATCATATCTTTCAGCCTTCTGTCAGCACTAACGATGTGGATATTTGGCATAATCTTAGGTCCTGTAGCAGAGCCTGGACTGGCAACACCGGTACTGTTACTTGACTGCAATTGGGATGAATTATTCGAGGTAGACTTATACTTTTCACTGTGCTTTGAACCTAGATCGGGAAAAACAGTACAAAGAAAATGATTAGACCCAATGATACTCCCTAAGCTGAAGGAACTTTAACTTACTTGAACTACTTGATTTTTTAGACTCTTTGGCCTTTCCTTCGATGACGGTCTTCGGAGAAGATCTTTCTTTTACCGCTGGAGCTCTTTCAACGGCAACGGTTGCCTATTCACAAAAGATGAAATTAATTGTACATTGCCATGTAAAGGATGAAACAAGTTAGGAATTTTTTTAACAATCGAACCTGCTGTGTTTTAGTACAATTGGAGCAGTACCAAACTAGTCGGGGTACATCTATTTGGGAATCCTGAATATGAGGAACGTGACATTCCTGATGGTACAGTGCATGACACTCCACGCATTCCACGAGCCTATTACGTGCCCCTACATCCATTCCTCGACAAATAACGCAAGTTAGGTCATCTTCTAATATTTCTAATGCCAATGAGTCGTCGGCTGCTAACACATCCGGTGGTGTATCACGAGCAGGTAGGTTCACAGGAGAACTGTTTTTACTCGACTTGCTCGACTGCTTGGAAGAAGAACCAGAGCTTTTACTCTTTTTACCACTACTACAGCTGTTGTCACTCAATACCGGCTCTTCCATCATGTACTAAAGTAAAGAATTATATTTTAAATAACATTGAAACATTAAATGATCGTTTAACTAAAATCTTATTTTATGTACCTTTTTATGTAACACGTTGCAGAGCATTTTAGCTGGACCATGTTTCTGCCTAATAGCTTCATCCAATAATGCTCTTAGCTGTTCAGCGGAATCTTTGTTTGTTGAATGAAGTAGGCGTAAACCTTGAGTGAATTGAGGATCTAGTTCTAACTGCGACATTGTTGCGTGTAAGAAATTAGGGTGATAGAAGTATCACAAAACAGATTTAATGACGCTTCTTTGATAAAAGGCTTCAAAAAAATGTTCAATATATAAAGTTCTTCAGAAAATGGCAAATTGGAGCAGTCGGTATCTTCTACACGTAGTTAATAACAAATAAGCACGTTCCTTTCAAAATGTCCATCATTTTCAGTTAACTCTTACATGGACGTTTCGTAAAAAATAACTGTCAGTTGCTGTCAGTACTGTGAAACTTACAGTACAGATGTAAAACTTCTATACAGAACTGTATTTACTGGTTTTGATCCCCAATGTAAATGCAACAGCTCTAATATCCACTAATATCGGCTAAATCATTGAATAAAAACATGACTAGATTGCCATGCTGGATCTTGCATCTACAGGAAAAAGAGGCACTATTAATTTTGTAGTACCGACTCCATTCTAGTATGGCGTTACTTGTAGTTGAATGGTCCCAGTATTTCTCAGAGTTGAACATCTACTCATGTTTGTTTTCATAGGCTAGAAGCTACATACACATATCCTACATATTCACTGATATACACACATATACACACACTCCTATGCACTTCCCTGGGGAAGCCGGCCCGTTCAAGATTGACACTTTTTGTTCTTCCGCTTTTTAAAACCCTAACTTCGCGTATAAAAGTTAATACAAAGGACACAATATGGACCGTGAACTTGTCGAAAAGTTCGTCGAAGTGACCGGTAAGTCTATTTTAGTTTTCGTCAACGAAATGGTTTAGATTTTATAGGTTAAACGATCAGCTTTGATTGGATCACTGAAGAATTAAAGGAAAACTCAAAATTGTTTATGTTTTGAGATGTGGAACTAATATGTTGTCATAATGATAGGAGAAAGCGAGGTTGTCGCCGCACAATATTTGGCATTGGCCGATGGAAACGTAGAAACTGCAATAAGTTTGATGTTTGAGGGAGGAGGAGAAGAAAATACAGTAGCAAATTCTGAGCCTCCGGTGAGAGCTCCTATATCACCAACTCAAGAAGTTCTTGTACCTACAGACACTGTGTGTGGTTTCCCAAGATCATCAAATAATGTCTTTGATAGATTTCGAGACTTTGCAGTTGAAACGCGTAAGTCTCCGTAAATGAAATATAGCTATGTGGGGACAATGTTATGTCATTGTTACATATTGAAATTTAATTGTTAGCGTAATTATTACAGAGCGACAAGAAGAAGAAATGACCCATAGAGTAACCGGAGCCAAGAAATTCTTTCAACGTAAGTCAAAGAGACTGGAAGATTTGTTTCGACCACCCTGTGATATTCTTTTCTTAGGAAATTTTATGGCAGCTCGTGAGCATGCCAAACAGGTGAACCGTTGGTTACTCGTAAATGTCCAGAATCCTCAAGAATTTGCTTGTCAAATTTTAAATCGAGATCTCTGGCCTAATCCACAAATCAGAGAGATTGTAAAAGATCATTTTGTCCTGTGGCAGGTATATTTGATTTTCTGCAATGACCTAGTATTGAGATTTCAAGGGTAGTTTATTCCCATGACCTATGAATATTAATTTATTAGGTGCTGTCAAACACTGCCGATGGCAAACGATATATCGACTTTTATAATGTCAATGAATATCCATACTTGGCAGTTGTAGACCCTAGAACCGGTGAATGCATGACTACCTATAATCACATCACCGTTGACAGTCTAGCAGCTGGATTAAATGATATGTTAAGTACTCACGCTTCCCCTGAAAGTGCTCCACAGGAATCTTCAAGTTCTAAAGAATGGACAAGCTCTTTCTCTGCAAAACGTCAATCTCCAGACTCTGTGGTTAGTGTAAGTGTCAACAAAACAAATGTTATATACAAGAATACATGTAACTGATATTTTTCAGGATAGCAGCTCCTGTTTTAAGAAATCCAAAAACTCCGAAGACTCAGGCAATTCTGGTTAGATGGGCAAACTTGATGGTATGTAAAATAAAAAAATCAAATATTAATGGATCCAATTTTGTTTACAGAAAATATTCTTGGGGCATGCAGCACCAGTACCTCCAACTTGCCATGCAGCAGTAGCAGTAGTAGCAACATCAATATTATTAGCAAAAGGTCAAGGATAGATGAACTAGACTCCAAAAGTCGACGACTGGATTGCAACTTTGTAAATGAAACGGTACGTCTTTTACAAGTCAAGAATCTTACTGATATACGATATCCTTATCGAATATCGTATAGCAACTAAAAAAAGTAAACTATTGTTTTATCAAAAATATTTAATTCAGAGTAAATCAAATCAAAATGAGGTGAGCCAGTCGTCAACCTGTGAAAAAACTATGGAACTGAGTACGTATATTGTTTTGTCAGTATAATAATAATTTACAATTACAAATAGGGTGTATTTATTTGTACAATATTGATAACAAAGCAGGAAACGACGAGCCTCTGTTACGCCTTTGTTTGAGACTGCCCCATGGTGGAAAGGAGACAGTTTCAATGTCCGCTAATGATACAATGGAGGCAAGTTTTTACAATATTATGTTATGCATTTTTACTTGTTCCTCCACTATTTCATCCTTTATATGCAATTTGATAAAATTTTATCGACATTTCTGCAGACTTTCCTAAGAAGGATGGAAGAAATGGGTTATCCCCCATCAGAGCACACGTACTTAATACCTTTCCCAAAAACGGATGTCGGGGCGTTGCCTCCCACGTTACGTCTGCTAGATACAATTCTATATCCATCTAATACTGTATTCATAACGAAAATTTAGTGCACACAGGGTGATCGAATACAAAAATTTTAGGTCAACACTTGTATCTGCACATCGTAAGATTTGATGTGATAGGGAGTAAAGTTTCAATGAAAATGACATCTAAGTGATGTATTAACTCTTTACAGTGGTTAATCTAAAACTTATCCTAATTTACTACTATCATTTTACATAGGTTGCACTTTCAGTTTCTTCACATAAGGAGTATTGAGGTATAATAAGTAATCTTTAATCTTTACATCACACAAGATACGTGCATAAGAAATCTCATCTTTCAGTTAAAACTTCTCTGTAAGTAGGAATGCCTACGAATAACTGAAAATTTATCTCCTATTCTTTCAGGAAGTATTGTAGAATGTAATTAACCACTAAGAAGATAACGTGAAGCGATTAATCTTTTCCTTTAATGAATGACAAATATATACTTTGCGGTTGTGGGCATTAATTAGCACCACTGATATATTTAATATTCCTGAATTTAGGGTCATTTTTTTTAGATGTATATGTTTTTCCTGTGACAGATCTGTATTTATGCCCTATTTAAAATTTTTAATGCCTATCATACATATATATCCTTTTATCGAAATGTTTTAAATTATTTTAGTATACGAAAAGAAACGTATTCATAATTTTAAAGTGATCTTTAAAATACTTGAGGTTTTTGTCTTTAGATGTATTAAAGAATGAGAAAAGCAGTGCACGTGTAATTTGTGCTGTAATTAGGCTTGTAACATTTAAATCTAACATGTGTAATTTATGTATGAACTGTTCAATGAGCAATTCTGGTGTCTCGATATTTATTGAAGATATTAATAGATATAGGATTCCCTCGTGGTCAAAATTTCAATAGAAATTAATGAGCATGCATGAAATGGAAAAACGTTATAACTTGTCACAGTTTTTTGTATCACCCTTTTCGACTGTGGTTAGTAGTTATTGAATTAAAGTACAAAATATGAAAATTGCTGACATTCAGGTTACAGCAATTTATAATACATTATTTGCCTTCCAATTATATTAGTCACCTATAACGTAATGTAATGTTTTGTTATACAAGGAAGCTGCCAATATGATTAAATATCAATAAACAATGAAAATTACGGGTTTTGTATGTATTCCTAAGAAGCAGCAATATTACCTTTATTATTATTAATGTTAGTCCACACCGTACAATATTCTTAAAATTTGGAATTTAAACTTGAACCTGATTTCAGATGTTCCTTATTGCATCTAAAAAATACTGCAAAACATATTTATTTTCAACATGCTGAAGAATATGTACACCATTCCTATTGATTGCCAAAAGGTAAAATGATGCAAATTAACAATTTTAGCATATTGACTATTATCACACAAGGCATATTAACAATATTATAGATTGAACAGTTCCTTTTTTTTTTTTTTTTTTTTTTAGAGAGAGAACTTCGAGGTAAAAATTAGCATATCATAAATTCGTTTCTGTTCTACAGGGATTATTTACCATTAAGAAATGACTATATGAATTTAACCAAAGTATTCTTGTCCCATACCAAGCTCTTCCAAAAGGACTCCCATTGGTGTACGCCTCAATCCACTACCCTCGATCTTATTGACTAATTTATTCTTTATATGGCGCAATCTCAAAGACGCATGTAGAAATATCACTGTAATAAATACATAGCTTTTTAAAATATCGTTTAGAAATATAATGCTCTTTCAAAACTTACGTACTTTGCAGAATGTACATGTTACATTTCATATTTACCTGCAAGTGACATTAAGATGCCAAAAAGAAAAACCAAAAGTGATCCCAAAGTATACATCACAAAACAGGATCCAAGGAGTATAAAAATCAGTCCTGCAGCAGGGTATTGCTTTTTAAAGTTGTGTACTGCTCTTCCTTCGGTCGATACATATGCAAAAATAACTATAATTACAATCATTGTCACTGTACCAACTAACATTTTGACGGGATGAAGCAATCTGAAAATAGGGTACAGTATTTAGCGAAGAAGAAAGTAACATTTTTAATTTCAAGTGATGTAATAAGGTAATATAAATTCATACCCTGTGATAAAAAAAGTTCCAAATAATATATAGAAATAGTTAGTTTGATAATATATAAGATTCTGAACAACTCGGTTGTTCCATTTGTTAAGATCCTTTAGATTAGGGATTTGGAACCGTGCCGAATCCAAGAAGAAGTCATTCCAATCCCGCCTGGGTGGAATTTCTAAGTCATTCGTAACTTTGTCCATTGTGGATTTTGATCTTGACTTTAAAAAGAGGAGCACTGAATGAGTGGAAAAATGTTCTTCTTGGCCTCCACTTTTATATGGTGACTTTCCTGCAACTTAACTTCTGCTAGAGAGTATCCTGGCTCGATATTTTTAGATGATGACGAATTCAACGAATCATTGACATTGAATGATCACGAAGCTTCCAGATTATAAGATTACTGAAAAACTAAATAGTTAGGAAAAAGTCATTGTAATAAATGAAATTATTAACAGAGTAAGCCACAATCTTTACGCATCCTTTACGTACGTCACGTGAAACTGGATTAATGTATCGCACAGTACTGCATGGCACTACATGGCCTTGCGCATAATGTTTCATTCAATTGTGATTCTATATTATTCAATCTATATATGTCAACATATATACATATATACACTTAAATCATATATGCACATACTTCTCGTCTGATGGGGCTGTCTCACTACGAGAGCGACTCCATTCCTTGATACAACCGGTGTCCCACTGAACGCGTCCGATGTCATACACTCGATGCGTCAAAGCGTCAATGATGAAAAACAAATCAGAATTGCAGTAGAAATGACGCACGAGGTTTAGATAGTTCTGATTGGTCTTTCGTCCTCGACGTTTTGACGCTTAGCGCTCTGTTTGACACCTGACGCACTTAGTGAGACTCCGGTCTTAAGTTGCATAGGTCAATTTACCGAGCAACTGTTTGGAGCTTCACTTTATAATCGGTGAACGGCACTCTATTGATATATACATTCATAGCAATTCATGACAAGTAATGACAAGAGGCCTGGTTGTTGAAGCGAAAGAAATTTGGAATGTTCAGGGAGATAACTTGTTTATCTTTTGAAATGAATTATGTCGGACGCTTTCGAAGAGATTCAGGCTATCAAAATAAAGAGGAACAGCTTGCGCGAAAAACTGCAGAAGAGAAAGCGGGAACGACATGAACTGTTCAGCCTTACTTCGTCTAGTCCAATTTCGTCCACCTTAGCTGCAGATCTTCCTGCAGCAGGTACTGTTTATTTTTAATGTTGAGAACTAATAGGTTTGGTAATATGACAATCTAGGTCAGGTTTCCACATTTTTTAAAAGTAATTTGTACTTACTGTACCTTTCATAGATGGAAATTCACTGCTCGTTAAACCAGTACATGATGAATGTGCGCGCGATATATTATACATTTTGCATCAGAGCGTGCCCAATCTGCCGATTACTTCTGCGGATCTCACCGATCACCTGCGCAAGAATTTGAGCGCCGATGTCTCTCATTCGGATGTCAACAAAATACTTGAGAAACTCGCTGCACAAGACATAGTTAAGTTAGTGAGTTTCATTTCTGCACAGATTATAGAATTTGAGATAGTTACACATCCGTTGCTCCTGGTTTATAAGACCAATTTAACTTCTACTTTACTTTGTTCTTAAAAATTACCATAAGTCAATTTTATTAGAATTGCTTTTGTGGGTGAAAATCGTTTTTATTGTTATGTATTTTATAGAGTTAAAGAAGTAACCGAGGATGGCATATTTGGATACACAGTTCTTTCAGTGGCAGAAGCACAAAGTTCACATGAAGTTAAGTATAAAGATGTCAATGACCAAGATGGTACCGATGTTTCGACGTCGGAACCAAGCGACTGCAGTCACATAGACAAGCAGTTGAAATCGGATGCCAGAAGTACCGAAGATATCATGTCGCTGATCTCAATGCCAACAATAAGAGAAAAGGAAAACAAGAAAGTTGGAGAACAGATCTTAGACCTGTTATCAAAACAAACTTCTAAAGAGAAATCCTTAGCAGAACGTTTCCGTTCACAAGGCGGAGCACAGGTAATGGAGTTCTGTCCACATGGAACTCGAATAGACTGTGCTAAGCTTAACAGTGGAACTGGATTTGCTGAAAAATGTAAGAAACTGCACTTTAAGAAAATTATTCAGAGTCACACGGATGAATCGCTTGGAGACTGCAGTTTTCTTAACACGTGTTTCCACATGGACACGTGCAAGTATGTGTATTTATAACTTTAGAGAGTATTTAATTCTGACATTTAGATTTAACTTTTCTTTGTTTTTATAGATATGTACACTATGAAGTTGATGGACCTACTGCCCAGCCAAAAGAGCAGACTGATATAGAAAGCTTTAACAATGCCAACGTAATCACCAGAGCTCCAGAATTTAGTAAAAATGGTACAGGCAATAATAATTGTGGAATAGGTAGCGAACTGACTCTATATCCCCCTCAATGGATTCAGTGCGATTTACGTTACTTGGATATGACAGTATTGGGAAAATTTGCTGTGATCATGGCAGATCCACCTTGGGATATTCACATGGAACTGCCTTATGGTACTATGTCGGATGATGAGATGCGTCAACTAGGCATTCCAGCATTACAAGATGAAGGTCTGTTGTTTTTATGGGTAACCGGACGAGCAATGGAGCTTGGAAGAGAGTGTCTTCAGTTGTGGGGCTATGATAGAGTCGATGAAATTATCTGGGTAAAGACAAACCAATTGCAGAGGATTATTCGAACTGGTAGAACTGGTCATTGGCTTAATCATGGAAAGGAGCATTGTCTTGTAGGAATGAAAGGGAATCCTCGTATCAATAAAGGTTTAGACAGTGATGTCATTGTAGCTGAAGTGCGCGCAACGAGCCACAAGCCTGATGAGATCTATGGAATCATTGAAAGAATGAGTCCTGGGACACGAAAGATAGAACTGTTTGGTCGACCACATAATGTGCAGCCAAACTGGATTACACTAGGCAATCAGGTTGATGGTGTGCACTTAATTGATCCACAACTAATCAAAGCTTTTAAGAAGCGATACCCAGACGGTAATACAATGAAGCCTGGAAAATCGTGACCAATCGATGTCGAATCCTGAGTAGTTATACTTGATAAGTACACAAGTCAAAATAAAACAACCTTTAACCAAGAAAAAATTACTATCAACTTTGATGGTTGAATTGCTGGGAGTGATTTACGTAGTTTATAACAAGATGGAATAAAAGAAACATTGTATTGATGTGTGCTGTAGAAAATGGCCAATACTTTTTTGAATATTTATGTACTTTACTGTAATTTGGTATCTAAGTAGTATGTATTGTACTGGATATTGAATATACATACAATATATGGAGATGTAAACATTACATAATTAACTTTAATGATTTGTACAATGGGACAATGTATCGTGATACCTAGAAAGGAAATAAGGTATGACAATTCATTGCCAAAATATCACTTTTCTCTTTTCATGCTGCCATATGTCATTGAATTATGCTCATTTTTTTTATTCTATTTCCAAATTTTTGTATGTTTAAATTTCCTTTTTTGTTATAGATTTATTTAAAAACAATTTTGTTATTTTACTTTTATTGAGGAATCTTCATCTATGAAAGAGTAACACGATAAATCAATCTCATTATGTACGGGGTTCTGCAAGCATGCAGAAGCTAATGCATTTTCCGTGATTGTTTCACTGTTTAAATTTTCGCAAACATTTTTTACATGTTGAGTGGCAGTTTCAATAGCCCTATTGAACGCATCGAGCCAATGTTTCCTCTTGTGTTGATCCTCCACTGTAAGTACATGGTCACCTATTCTGAAGCATGTTGAAGGAACGTTTTCGTCTATATGTACTTGCATTCCTTTTGTAGGAATTACAGGAAACATTGTACGGCATTTTCCTCGATGCTTTCTCGTTGGTCGTGTGAGAACGAAGCAAGTATCGAATAAGAAACATTGAAATTTCTGAAATTTGTAATAACGATTATTTATGTATTAACACATCACTGAGTACAGAAAACAAGAAACAGAAAAATGTTACCGTTCCTCGAAGATCCTTAAGTAGGCCCTCTGTAATTATTACCGTAGCAGTCCTTATGCAATCAGTGGAGTCATAATTGCATGTTTTTAAGATCCTTTTCTGTGCCAATTTGCATTCAGCATGACCCATTGCTTGATCGATATTCTTTAGCAAATCCGTTAACATTTCAGCAGCTTCTTTTAACAGTGCATGGTCACTATGGTATGATGGAGTATGGCGTAAGATTTCATTTATAAGTAAAGGATATTTCACAATTCGAGTACGTGGTGTATCTATGTACGTCCACAGTTCTACAGAACGAGGAGAATCCAAACGTTTTTTCAAGAAGTCTTGAAAACGTTTACTAATTGCTTTCTTTTCTTCCAATAGCTGCCTAGCTGACACTAATGATTTACATCTCTGTATATAAGGATCTGTCAGACTAGGTATCTGTAACAAATGTATTTACTATTAATGCTATTCTATTCCTCTTATGGGATAAAACAAAAATATGTTTACCCAATTTATTATAGTTGGTCCAATGTTTTCTGTAAATCCAAATTGATCCCGTAAATCAGACAATTGATCCCTCAAAGTGGTATGGATTTGAATAAGTCCAGGAAGATCACTAAACAATGTGTCAAGCTCACTCGTAGTAAAAATGCCACTAACCAAGAGAGGCTTGTAATAAGAATCTCGGAGCATGTACAAATCATTGAGAAGCGTATTCTCACCACAGTATAATTCATAAATTACTTCTTGTCTTTTAGCTTCACTTCGACTTAAGTTCAATTTTCTACAACCTATAGGCTGTTTTGCGATGTCAGTGACCCAGCTGCGAATTGGTACTGCCTCAGCACACCTTTTATTTCTTTTAGACCTTGCAAATTAAAAATAAAGGAATGTAGGAAACGAAATATTACTTTATCTTGTCTCATGATAGATAGAAAATTGATGTATCTTTCATTTACTTTTTCGATAATGTAGCAGTATGAGATCCTTCTCCAGCTATTGATGCATCCAATGAATTTTCCCGAATGCTAAAGGACCTATCTAGTAGATTTCCATATCTGCTCATGTCAAGTGTAGAAGAAGCTACAAAATTGCCAATAACTTCAGAAATTCTTCGTTTTTTCTTCTTTTTCTGTGAACTTGATTCAATTGATATATCCTCTGAAGTAATACTGTTCGTCTCACTTTTACGTCGCTTTCGAGTTCTCTGTAACAATTGAGATCGATAGGAAGTAATTATTACAGTAATTAAGTTTAAAATGTAAGGTATTTTTCAATGTACATATGTACACTCCAATAGAAGTAACTGATACTTTATTAAATCTCAAATATTTATTATCGATTTAAACCTGAAACCAATGAAAGAAATACATGCATACACTTACCAGCCAAAATCTCTTTTTTGGCTCCTGGAACACATCTTTTTCCGTCGAATCACGGTTGTCACTCATGTTCTATAGGAAAATTTGTATAAACATTCTGTTTCAATAAAATTATTATTGCGACAAAGTATTTTCTGCTACAATTGTTTATAATCGTATATACCCATGACTTTAAAACATTTCGGATTCATTCAAACAATCAACTGTAATCAACCGTAAATCGACGAATTTATACGTGATCAGAAGAGTATTCTTTAAAGAAAAAGTGAGACCACTAAAATCTTAGTGCCAACCACTTCTCAAGGTGGCGGTACTTGTCATTGAGTTTGAAAATGTAATTTTAATAATCGTCGCCATTAACAAGTAAAGTCTACCATTCTCTTTTTTCAACTCAATTTAAAATACATCAAAGTCTTCTTTCAAACAGCTATTATATGGGAACATTTTATTTGAAACATGAAAACAAATAAAAAGATTCTGAGTCGCTGGAAAGCAAACGGAATGGACGAATTTCCGTTGTATATTTTCTGCAGCCAATCAGAGCCTATCGTTCGTTTCGTCGCGTCATGCCATCGGAAAAATGGAATATCGGCTTGACGCGCGCGTTCAGTGATATAGCGTGCCCCTCCATACAGCTGATTTGTCAAGGGTTTACCGCAGTCCCGAACACGAGACGTCATGATACATTGATCTTCGACACGTGCAATTATTTTTCGTGTAGCTTCCTGACCCGAGGATCAATCGCTAGGTGTGATCGGTACGCATTATTTGGCGAAATCGTTTGTCAACGACCGATCGTTTTGGCAGTCGGATTGTGTCAAAAAGACGCCGTTGGACGCCATGATGGTAGGTGGAACCTGTTATCGTTTGCCAGCCGGTCACGTTATATTTTCCCTGATTGCTCGATAAATTTGCCCTGTACTTTCCAAGTTTGATTGAAACCTTTTTAGAGATCTTAAGCGGTATGAATATGTTGCAGGACGGAATATGTGACCCCGTCGATATTTTAAACAGTGTACCTGCCAAGAAGGTAAGCAGGTCTTTGCTTGAAGCATTGCAGTGTGATAGAGTGTAACTAGGAAGTCTCAAAGTACATTTAGGCCTCGTATCGCATGATTCATATGATATTTTGATGTGAATTTGATTTTTTGTATTTGGTGATAAAAGAGGGTTCTTTTTAAAAATATAGAGTACGCTGCATTTCAAATGTCTGATTTTATAATATGGAGTAAGGATTGAATGATCATTGTATACTAACTAGGGTTTTAAGTCTGTTGATGGCTTTGGAAGTAAGGAAACGATGATAATATTGTAAAAGTATATTCATTTATAAGAAAATTATGTTCGAGTGGTTTTTTAAAAGCTGGAAAAGAGGAATGTATGAGGTTAAGTGTGCGTACATTGTTGGTCGTGTGCATTTGGTATTGTCGTTTCATTTGTAGTTGCCTCTTGAAGTAATATCGATTATTTACAGACCTTGCAGAACATTCAACCCGAAACGATAGACTCCTCTGATAAATCATTACAAGTAGATATCTCAGATGCACTCAGTGAAAAGGATAAAGTTAAGTTTACTGTACACACAACTACTACGATGACTGAGTTTTTAAAACCAGAGTTCCAAGTTGTTAGGCAGCATGAAGAATTTGTATGGCTTCATGATCAGTTTGAGGAAAATGAAGAATATGCTGGATATATTGTAAGTTATTTAAAGTCTCTATTGGCTTTTTATGAATGAAACAGTGGTCAATTTATTGTTGTGATACGTAGATACCACCAGTTCCTCCAAGGCCTAATTTTGATGCATCTCGAGAAAAATTACAAAAATTAGGAGAAGGGGAGGGTGCCATGACTTGTGAAGAATTTAAGAAAATGAAACAAGAACTTGAAGCGTGAGTTATTTCCAAATCCCAGTTTAACTATTATGCCTCTAAAAAGATAGCATGAGGAATTTAGGTGGTATATGACTATTTTGCATTGCATAAATAAAAACACATGAAAATTTACTTTCAGAGAGTATCTTGCAACGTTTAAAAAGACAGTAGCCATGCATGAAATGTTCCTGACAAGGCTTGCTCATCATCCAGTTTTTCGAAACGACCATAACCTCAGAGTTTTTTTAGAATACGATCAAGACCTTCGTGTTAGAGGTATGTGATTTAAATACATTTAGCTCTATGAACATATATAGATGTATTGAAAAAACTAACAAGCGGAATTTCTAAATCAAAACTGCTAGAAATGCAACAGGTTAATAAAATTTCACTTGTGTGATTAGGAAAAAATAAAATGGAAATGTTCGGTGAACTAGTGAGGTCCTTTTCAAAAACTACTGACGAGTATTACCTGTCGGCTACAGTAAAGGATGTCAATGATTTCTTTGATCAAGAAATGACATTTCTTCAGCAATACCACCACAACCTAAAAGAAGCGACAAGTCGTGCGGATCGTCAAACAGCAAAACACAAAGATGTGGCAGACTCTTATATAAAGATTTCTTCAAATCTTCTACAAGTAGCTATAACAGATGGTGGAAAGTTAGAAAGTTTTTTAACAAAAATTGCCGAGACATTCGAAAAGATAAGGGTACATTATCCTTGCTATATTGGTATGCATTTATTGTAATTTATCTACAGATACATGTGATACTTCTTTTTAGAAAGTTGAAGGTCGTGTTGCATCTGATGAAGATTTGAAGCTGTCGGATACTCTTCGTTACTATATGAGAGATACCGCTGCAGCCAAACGATTGCTCTTCAGAAGGCTAAAGGCGTTACACGCATATGAAACTGCCAATCGTTCTCTGGAGAAGGCTCGTGCCAAAAATAAGGATGTTCATGCTGTAAGTGAGTGCATTTATTCTTACCCATTCCCGTGTACCTCTAATAAACGATTCCATTTTTCTTGCTTCCAAAGGCATTGGAAGTTGCTGAGGTCTGTTGTCCTTTACATACGCATTGTGCTACGCCTGTGTATTTAGTCAGAGTGATCTCGAAATTTTTGTAGCCTCTATCGGTGGCAAATTGATTATTTCTATTAATGTTTCTCACGAAAAGCCCTTGCGAAAATATGCATCTAGAGAGCATAATTCTTTTTTTTCTCAAACAGGACAGTTATCTATTTTAATTTTTGCTACGGCTTAGCATAAGCATTCATAATTTAAAAGGCATTGCATGATGGCGAACTTGCATGCGCAATTAAACGGACATATGTTACCTATATACGATTTAATTGATGTCAACAAATTTTTGAGATAGTCTATCAAAAACTTCATGATTTGGAAGGAACATTTTTCTTTATTTAAGGCAGAGCACGCTCAAACGGAGGCATGTGAGAAGTTTGAACAAATGTCTGAGAAGGGAAAAGAAGGTGCGGTGTACTTCTCCATTAATTCTAAATTTAATATATCATACGTACCGTTATTTTACAATGTCAACGATTTTTATAGAATTAACGGACTTCAAAACTCGCCGACTCGCTGCATTTAGGAAGAACCTCATTGAGTTGACTGAATTGGAAATTAAGCATGCCAAGGTAAGAATTTCCTTACGGTAGATATAGTTTGTAGAGAGGAGAAGGGAAGCTAACATATTTAACATTAATAATCGTTAGGCTCATGCAGAATTGCTCAAAAAGTGTTTGTCCGATCTCCGGGAAGAGTGATCCCCTCAAACGTGATCGCAAGTACACCAATCAAGTGTAAACCAGCAAGTGAAGATTTATTTAACAAAGCATATTATGATAATATTGTAAAATATTCTATTTTTTGTTATCTCTAGCTCTAGCACGATTACGAACGAATGATCATATTATTGGCTGCAATGGGGTTTGGACGTGGAAAATGGTTGCAACTAATTTTCTAGATTTTTTCAAGCTGTAAAAACTACTGCAAGCAATGGTTATTGAGAACGCTTATAAAGTAATCTTTTCTTAAATATTTAAGAATTATTACCTTTTCTCACATATTATGAATTAAGCGTCTTTCGGTTGCAATCCTTTAACAAGGTTTCAGATGTCTTCGACCCCTTTGTAGTTTAAATTCAATAATCTGTTATGTTTACGTTTATAACTTAAGGCCCTTTATATTGTATAAATGTATATGTATATACATACGAATGCGAACGATTTACTTTCCCTTCATACAATTTTAACAAATAAAATAAACGGAGGCCAAAAATATGAGGGATTTGTGGAGTTTGCGGTGTAGCAAGGTGGAGGTATTTAATAAACACGATGCCATATATATTTATTGAATCGAATCACTCCTTCTATATTACGTGATCGCAGACATATACTGAAAATTTGTTAAGTAGCAAGTATCTCGTAATCCTTTGAGAATCCATTGGAAATTCCGTAATTCACCACATATTATCAATTATCTTAATGTTAACAGAGCCTGTACGTACACGTATATGTACCAAAGGTAGAGTATGCGATTCTAAGCGCATTTATCGAATCTCGGAAATCGCTTACTCCACCCTATATATAATCTTGTAATCTTATTTAGTTAATCAATTGCATTGCAATGTAGAATCGTATTAACCCATTGAGTTCTCGCTATAGAAAATACCTTATTTCACGTATATCGAAGAATATGTTCTAATGGATAAAACGATAAAATCAGAGCTCGTGCCGCGCGTAAATCAAACAGAATTCCGGGAATCTAGATAACAGCGATCCGCGATAAAGCGTGAAACTGCATTTCATCATTCCGCGAATCGGGATTTCAGAATTTGCTAATCCAATTTTTTAATCCCGGCCATCCATTAGTTCTAGGAGAAGCATTCGCCGAAAAGATCAAAGCCCTAGAATACCCATTAAACCCCGACCCTTGAGTCCCCTTGAGATTTATTATACATTTCCTTTGTCTTTCGCGTACCGACTGTTCTCGTATTGACTAGAAAGGACAGTGGCGACAGTAGAACTGGCTCTCTCATCTCTATGACGATTTTTTCTAACTTTCTTACGTACTCGCGCATGCGTACACTCATTCACTCGATACATCCTTTGAGAGAACGTTTATTTATTAACCCCCTTGCACCCTCTGACGCGCTTTCTGCCCCTGGGATTCGCGTGCGCTTAAATTATTTACTCAGGTTCACGATAAAACTCTGAGCAACGTCGTTAACGATATACACAAAAGTACATCATGCTTATATTACATACGTGCTTTTCAAATTATTTCCACCCCCTAACAGTCACGCTCCTCGGACGAGGAGTCGCGAAACGTTATGTCGATCTTTATCAATGGGATATGAGCAAAAGTGTCGCAGATTTATACAATTACGTTCCATCTAGCTCTACATTACAGTCGCCGAGCGATCGTTCGCTGACTTTGGAAAAATCACGCGGTTCGATAAAAATTTAATGCTACAAGGGTTTACGGGTACTTCGGATTACGTGATTACCCGCGAATAACAATAGGCGCTTTTTGTCAAATATCGGGCGATCGAATCATTTGCTCGATCGACGATCACTTTCGCCTAAAAATGCAGCCTGAGCGCCTCGGACAAAATACCTGGAACTTTGCGCTCGTTCGTTTCTCGTCTTTTAATGTCGGACTAGAACCGTCGACAATCGAATTCAATTAAATGACTTCGAACATAATCGCATTTCATCCACCAGTCCGCACAAAGAGGGTCGTCCCTTGTCGGGGCATCTATTTACTTCCGGTTTCGTCTCGGTTCAGGCGAAACAAAGTGTCGTCCCGGTATCTTCGAATAGATCCCGCGATCGGGGCACAAAGGGAACCCTTTGAATTCCCGAGGTCGAGTCGTGCAGATCGATTCTCGCCTGCATCAATCTGGCCTGGAATTGGATCGTTTTCTGTCTAATGTCTCTCGCGAAACCCTAACATCTAAACTCGCTCGATAAGATTCCTCGCTGGGGGGAAACGTATCGACGCCTTATCTCGAAAAATGGCCGAGTAAAGTGGACCCTTTCTGTGAACGCTCCGGAAAAAGAAGAGATCGTTTATCCTGCCATAACGTAAAAAAAAACGTCAACGCGTACAAGATTCTAGTGGAATTCTATGGTGATATTTACTATCGATCGCGAAGTGAGGATTTGAATTTCGCGCTTTAGGTGCGCGCGAAGTTGCGTACCCACGACGAGAAACGACCTAACGAATTCGTTACCTTTTCTCGAGAAAGAGATCGTTTTTTCCTGGTATAACGTCAAAAAGACGTCAATGTGTATAAGATTCTAGTGGAATTCTCTAGTGATATTTACTACCGATCGCGATGTGAGGATTTGAATTTCGCGGTTTAGACGCGCGCGAAGTTACATACGCACGACGAGAAAGTTACCTTTTCTCAGGAAAAAGAAGAGATCGTTTATCCTTCTATAACGTAAAAAAAAAAACGCCAACGCGTACAAGATTCTAATGGAATTCTCTAGTGATATTTACTACCGATCGCGATGTGAGGATTTGAATTTCGCGATTTATACGCGCGCGAAGTTGCATACGCACGACGAGAAACGGCCTAACGAATTCGTTACCTTTTCTCGAGAAAGAAATCGTTTTTTCCTGGTATAACGCCAAAAAGACGTCAACGTGTACAAGATTCTAGTGGAATTCTCTAGTGATATTTACTACCGATCGCGAAGTGAGGATTTGAATTTCGCGGTTTAGATCCGCGCGAAGTTACCCCTAACGAATTCGTTACCTCTTCTCGAGTGGCCAGAGACGCAATTAAGGTGCCAATTCATTGGCGTCTACTGGATTCGTAGACGTAGCAACTTGTAGTAATATTTGTTGCCAGACTTTCCGGAATTTAGATCATCAAGCGTCAGATCGAGATCGACGCTGCAACTCCTTTTCGCGGAGTCTCTGGCGACGTCACGAGTGTTTGCAAGAGAAGTCGGCAGAGTTTCGCGCCAAATACATACACACCTACATAGGTCTGTATGCGCGATATGCCACTGACTCCTTAACGCAAAGTTCGGGCATGAAGTTTTAAGAATGAATATCTCGGCATCTAAGTTTTTCGAGTGATTTACGACTGAGATACACGTATCAAAATGTTTTTCGCAGATGTTTTATGACTACGTCACGCTCGATTTCAACGTTGAGTTGACGCTAATGAAAAGGTACCGTTAGATGCAATCGAACCGCAATCAGATCTTCGCAACTCCGAGTTATCGCTTCCTCGCAGATGCTAAATTTCTCGATAAATCGGTCGGATATAGTTCTTACTTCACTGTAGGACTATTTTCATGGTGACGCGGTATTCCTGTCTTCGCTCGTAAAAAGAAGGATTTCTCTCGATAGCACGTATTTTACCTTTTCCGACGAAGATCTCACCTCCGATGATCCGAGGGTACGTAAAGTAACGTTATATGGGCCGTTATATTTGTATACATGAGTTCCGACGTCACAAAGCATCCCTCGATGTCGGGGAAATCTCGTTTTTAAGTCTAGGGCGAGCCTTTTTATTATTAGGAATATGTACATCATTACTCGCAGGCATGTCGGGCCGCGGTGGGCGTTCGTGACGTCGTAACGATATCTCGCGTATCTCGCGCTCAAAAAAGTACCTATCTACGTATCGTAATGGAAACAACGACACAATAATGGGTATTTCCTGGCGACCGGACTTTATCGCGTTAGAATTAAGCTAGATGTAACGAGCAGCGTCCACCCTGCGTGTCCCAAGAGCCTCTTCGATCCCGAAGTCTTCCGACGCAAGATGGCGGCCATTTTGTCCCCTGGAAAGGAGAAATACGTTTTGATAAATCGATGGATAAGGAGGTAAAAATATTCTTAGCGTGATATGGGCCGATTGAAATATATGGGATATAAAGGCGCGGACAGACTTGCGATGTCGGCGCTCAACGCAATCGCGTTCGCGACGGTGACAGTGACGGACATGAATGTGTTCTTGTTACTCACTTGCGGCGCCATATCTGTAGAGAGGGCCTCTATGTTCGCCACTGTACACGAGGCGAACATAGCGCGGTTGTAAGTCTGTACGCGCCGTAAGGGGATGTGTGGGTGTACTGAATCTTTTCAAACTTTACAACGCGAATAAGGAGGCTATATGGAAGATTCGGACACCCATGAAATTATAATTTGTTACTTATAAATCTGTTTGTAGATATTTTTAAATCATACAAAATAAAATTTCATGGGTGTCAGAATTTTCCTTGTAGCCTCTATGTTCATGTTGTAAAGTTCGATGTGTAGAAAAGTTTCATGAACTATTCATCTTTCAGATATCAGTTTCATATCCCTTTAAGGTGATGTGAAAGGGTCATTCTCCATACATGAAACATCAAAATATTTATATAATTTTTTTCCAAACTGGGTGCATCGAATCATTTGAAATATCAGCACGTGATTACGGAGACCCCGAGGAAGCACGCGATGCTCGTGAAATTTCATTTTTTACAAATAAATGTGATTTTGGTTCTAGTCTAGGCTAAATAAGAAAAAGTTTCTTTTTGAAAAATGAAATTTTACGAGCATCGCGTTCTTCCTTAGGGCCTCCATAATCTCGTGATGAAGTTTCGAATGATTCGGTGCACCTAATTTGGAGAAAATTTTTATAAATATTTTGACTTTTTGTTATGTAAATTTGACATTTTCATATCACCTTAAAGTACTATACGTTACGTATAGTCTCGTCGCGTTACGATTTCGGCCCTTTTTCGCGAACGTTGGGTTATATGGAAATTCTGCAGAATCCAGAGAGTAACGTTTGTATAAATATTTTTACTTTTTGGTACGTAAATATGACACTTTCATACCATCTTGAGGTACCGTACGTTACGTATAGTCGCGTCTCGTTACGATGTCGGCCTGTTTTCGCGAATGTTGAGTTATATGGAAAATCTGCAAAATCCAAAGGGTAACATTTGTATAAATATTTTTACTTTTTGGTATGTAAATATGACACTTTCATACCATCTTGAGGTACCGTACGTTACGTATAGTCGCGTCTCGTTACGATTTCGGCCTTTTTTCGCGAACGTTGGGTTATATGGAAAATCTACAAAATCCAAAGGGTAACGTTTGTATAAATATTTAGACTGTTTGGTATGTAAATATGTCACTTTCATACCATCTTACGGTACCGTACGTTAAGTATAGTCACGTCTCGTTATGATTTCGGCCCTTTTCACGAACGTTGGGGGTTATATCGAAAATCTGCAGAATCCAGAGAGTAACGTTCCAGGGCGTACGGGAAACGAGGCGCTGATGTGGATACAGCACGTAGGGTGTAACTTTAGCGTGCACTTTAAAAAGGGGGTTGCCACCCTTCCGCAACGGAGGAATAAAAATTCCTAGGTCGTTGTCATTATTTACGGCGGTCGGTTAAAGCGCGAGGAGAGCGAGCCGCTTTTTTTCCTTTTGCTTTGCAAATATTACCAAACACGATAGTATTTATTGGATTCTCTTTACGTCCTCGATCCATGCGGTGAACATTCCGCTTTTCATTTTTGCCATTATTTCCCCGCTCGGACAGTCTGGATTTTAAACCGATCGTTTAATTCAACGACGCGAAGCCAAAGATAAAAACTCGCGTGTCGGTTTCGCGACAAATACGTATCTGCAGGGAATTCCGGCGTATCTCGTTTCTGTGAATTTTACCTGGACGGAGTTTTTGTACTCGTTAAGTCGGCGGAAGGAAATATCGTTGCCGGGTAGATTCGGTTTCCAGATTGCGGGGTTTTAGAGTTTGCTCGGCCGATTCGGGGCTCTCGTGCGTGCCCTGTAAATTCGTTTAATTCGCCGCTTTTGCCAGGGACACGATAAAGTCCCCAGTTGTTCTTGTCCGAGGAATCGTTACCATCACGAGAGCCGAGGAACGCGACGATAATTCGATACACCCGTTTTTGCTCGAGCCTTTGTTCGTACACCGACCAGGTGGACATTGTCTCGGCTTAAGTGAATTCGTCTCCTCGACAAGTACGGTATTTACCAGCGCGATATCGAGACCTCGAAAAGTCGCACTATTTCGTCTCGCTTTAATATCATATTTCTCTCTCCTGCGGAAATATACGGATTAACTGTTTTCCTAAATACTCCCTCGAGCTTCGAGTTTATCTAATTTATACAGAGAGTAAGATAATTCGTAGCCCCGATTTACACGTCGCTATCGTTGAAAATTGCGTCTAACAGTCCCGTAGAATTTTATTCTCCTACGGAGCATAATTCACCTGTAATTATTAACCGAAAAGTAGCTGACCAGATGATGCGATTAGCGGAATGAGAATTTGAGAGCGCGTCGCGTTATCTCGCTCGTGGACTTTAGAAATATATGAACTGCGCACACCTAATTACTCTCTTGATATTCTTGATTAAAGAGGACGAACAAGGGAACATCCTTTCTGCCATTCTTTCTTACTTTTAGCCTGTCCATGATCCAAGATCCAGGTCCGAGATCTTGAAGTAAGTTACTGGAAATCGTATCGTGGACATGGTTGACTTGGATGTGAAACTCGGAGGAAAATCTCGGACGAAAATCTCGGATGAAGACTGCATCCTATCCCAGTTTTGCATACTAACCGCGAGCTTCATATCATATCCAATACCGAGCTGCGTCCCATATGTTATATATAACTTCATTTCATACACTTGATTATTGCGCTCTCTGGTTGCATTTAAGTGCGAGAAACTTGAGCCGAAAACTCAGTCCGAGTTTTACCATCGTGGACACAGGCTCTTAGTCTGTCGCCAAATTGCGATGTACAGTTGTTTTGCTCAAAACTAGAGGAAAAGAGAAAAAAAAGGAGAGAGCCTCCATTATTTTCTCTCTCAAAGCGATTGCCTTCACCCTAAGATCGGCGTTCGCAGTCCAAACATCCTACGTCGACGGTTAATTCGCATTTCGCTAATTGTCGCTCCTGTTTGGTTATTTCTCAATGAACTGCCCCAGGCAAACTATGCATCGTAGAAAAAAAATATTTTTCAGGACTCTTCAAGTCTATTTTCAAGAAGAATAGCGTAGCCACGAATTTTGTTACACCCTGTACAGGACGTTTTCCTTATATCGAAGAAAAGAAAAATGAAAGAAAGTGATGGCTGCGAGTGTCGCTCGATTTTGATCGTGGTGTCGGCCGGTAAAATCAAGTTGACGCTGATGTCAGGGCATGCGGATCCGCTTTATCGGGTGTACTTAGCAAATTACAGAGGTACCGCGAGAAACGAGCGACGCAAACTCCGAGAGTTCCCACGGAAAAGAAACCGCTTTGGATGGCAAACCGCGTAGTAGGGAAGCCAAGACGAGCACTCGAGTTCCTTCTTAACTTCTCGCTTTAAGGTGAAGTGAAACACGTCGAGGAACTTGACCAACGTCGATAAAGATGATTTTTCTAAATGCCTACGTTGCCGACGTTCGTTTTTATATTGACAGCTGTGTCGAATTACATTGAATATTGTACCAAATGGCATACTCCACCTGTCGTTTTCGTACAATAAATATCAAGAAATCGAAGTAAAACTGCAGAAATCCTCTGGATTCAAGCTTTCTGGGGCCCTAATTGACTGCAGAAGGACACCCTGCGCCATCTGTGATTTCCAGATCAATTAAATTTTCACTCCGAGACCTCGTATTACCATCGTTTTAGCATAGAAGCGCATACAACACTTTTTTTGCTCTTATCCCGTTCAAATGCGAGTTTATCGATTACCAGAGTGTTTTCTAAATTGTTGTAAAATTGTCCTGACCCTTTCGATTCTCATATCAGAGCCTTCGATAATTGTACATTGATCGAAATATGAGAGCTCGACGCCATTTTGGTTCTGGTCTGGGCTGTTAACAAATTTTGTTAAAAAATCCAAATTTTGAATGTGTCAAGACAATTCTGATTAGGAGTGACGTGTCAAAGTTTCGGACAGTTTGGTCTAATACCCTTAAAAAAAAGTGTTGTATTCGAATCGACTGATTTGAAGGGTGTTTCACTTCACCTTAATTCCCTCGCCACCGTTCGCAACTCGCAACTCCCAAATAACGAGCGGGAATTACTTGCCGGCATCATTGCGAGGATATCAGGCTCCGATTTAACGAAGGTATGCGATTTCGGAAATTCGGCACCGGGAATGTAAATAAATATTCATTGCGAACGTTGCGCGACCCGTAGTCGGAGTGGAGTTGGAACGAGGATCGAAACGAGAAAGAGGAACACAAGGAGAGCGGATAACGAGCGAGATTAAGGAGAAACCAAAGTTCTTTCTGGCACGCCTCTTCCGGCGTTACGGGCGTCGCGTGTCGGGAGTAAACTAGACCACACTAAATGTCAGTCTACGTTGCACGAAGGGCAAGGTGACCAAAAAGCCTCGTTCCAATTCCTCCTTTTTACTTGTACCGTTGGTGTCTGCTTAATTCAGCGCTAATCCAGTTTCTCGAGTCACGAGACCCGGGGCCAGAAGTGCCGGTTCTACTAATAAAAACGTTAAAAAGATTCGGCTCCCCTTATCACGGAAGCACGAATACATCACTACCGTCTAATTACCATGCGGCATGATCCCGGTGCGAAGGGATTGTTATAAGAAGGAAAAGGAACAGGCCTTCAGGGCGATCTACCGAAATTCGATAAATGCCGATAAAATTCGCGAGATATCGAAACGGCGTACGTTAAGGTTCGCGGAAATATCCCATGATCGATCGATTCTCTTTAGCGCAGAGTGCAAACAAATGGATGCGATGCCGAGTGCTTGTACTCGCGGAATACAATACTCGATGGACATCTACTCCGAGGCCCTGGATCAAACAGGGAATAATATTCCGAACGTGCGAAACTATTTGACCGGACATTCGGGATATGGCGGCCGCCCATTTTAAATTTTGACCACACCGAAATTCCGCCGAAATTCCGCCGAAATTGCGCCGAAAAACCGCTCTCGTGGACCAGTGTTTCGGAAACATCGCGTCCATGTCGGTAAGCGCGATGTAACGCTTCGGCTCTTTAACGTTATTGATCCAAATGCACAGACATCTACCCGTCTGCCAAATGTTTGTCGGCATTAAAGCACCTACCGGGCGTACGTAATCCCTCATTAGGATCAAATTAATCCGGAGAAATGACGTTTTCGGTAACTTTATCCCGGGCATCCCGGCAGTTGCGAATTTCGATTAAATCTGCCGAGTGTATCCCAGAAACGAGCGATCTCGTTTGTGGGGTTAATTATTACTCCCTTCTGGCGTTTTCGCGTTCGTAGCTTATCCCACGTTTTCGGCATGCCCTCCGTTTTTCGAGCGGTCAAATTTCTATCGCTTTGCCCTTGTATCACGATGTCGCGACAGGTGTAGATTCAGCGAACGCGAAATCTAGCCTGGGAGGGATATCGATATATAATACATGGGGATAGTTTCGCCTCGACGTGTCGATAGACCGGCGCGAAAATCGGCACTTTCCAGATTTTCAAGGCGATAACCGCGAGGGCCGCTGATATTTCGAATGATCGATCGCTAAACCAACCGGGGAAGGGTGGAAAAAGGAATTTAACGTTTCCACGGTGCCAGCCTGGAGATGGAGCGTTTTCGCGATTCCAACGGTGATAACCGCGAAGCTCGAGGATACTTCGATCGATCGAAAACGTAACGTAAACGTAGCTAACTCGAAATTGAAATTTGGAATCCCTGCGCCATATTTATGATTTTTAGGGGACCGATCTTTCAAGGCGTCGGTTCTCGATTAGATTTAAAGGGATATCAAAGTGGTATCAGAAGGATGAAATCGTCTATGAAACCTTTCGTCGAGCTGGGTGTACCGAATTTTAAGAGATTTCACCGCGTGAATAGGAAGGCTCTAAAAAATGTTCCGACACCCATGGATTTTAATTTTCTCAAAATTATGTATAAATGTTTAAAACTTGTGTTCAATGTTTCACCTTAAGTTACATGAAAGTGGCATCTGAGGGGTTAATCGTTTATGAAAGATTCCTCCGAACTGGGTGTATCGAGTTGCTTAAAATTTCACCATATAAACACGAAAGCCCTAAATAATGCCCCAACACTTGTAACATTTCATTCTTTACATGATTATTTAACAAAACGTTCATAAAAATAAAAAAAAATGAAATTTCACGGGTGAGGACTTTCCTTAGAGCTTTCGTATACCTACAGGTGGTAAAATTTCAAATCACGGAGTTCGGAGAAAAGTTTTATAAACGAGACTCTCGGATGCCACTTTCGTATCACCTTGAGGGTCGAGTATTCTGTGTTTAATTGCTATTTAAAAATTGGTCAAGCCGGAGATACTCGCCTTCGGTGACGAAGACGTAGATCGAGGCCGGTTTGGTGTTGGAGGCGCTGCAGGTGTAATTGCCCGTGTCCGACTCGACGGCCTGGCGAATGGTGAGTCGGCTCTCCGTAGGTCCTGGTTCGGTTTGCACGGTCACGCTGCACCGCGTATCGTGGTTTATCATCCGGTTATTGTGGTACCAGAATACGTATTGCGGCGGCGTCGGGCTCTGGAGCAGAATCGAAACGACAAGGAATGGCGCAGAGGTCGATTCGTGCGCACCTACAGCTAAGACTCTTACATATTTATGAATCCCCGCTAAGTCTGCGACCGACGCAAAATCCGTCAAGGGTTTACATTCCTCGATGCACCGAATAAAGAAGATAAAATCGTCGCAGGTCGCGAATCGCGGGGATTTTCGTTAGGTGAAAAATTCCCACGAGGCACGCCTCGGGCACGGAACCCAACTTGGTGAAGAACGTCATCTCCGGATGCACTGGGTGCATCCGGGGGTGCAAGCGAGACTCTCCAGTGTTACGTGCCGGCAGATGCACCCGAAACCTCCCCTACTGGAGAATATAGATCCTCGAGGATAGTCGACGCTAGAGAAGGTCAGTGCGCACGTACGGCGTCGCTCGTTCGGTTTGTCGAGGCGCCACTCGGCTGGTTATTCGTGCCCGAGGAGCTTCGAATTTCAATCCTGACCAAAATGCCGACTTCTGATTTTCGATCCTCCCCTGATCGAGATGGAAAGTACTCGAGGTGGTTCCTAAACCCTTCTCGTCTCCTCGATACAGGAATCCCGAGAAACCTCGCGGGCTCTGGTGGAGGGATTCGGGTTCCACCTCTTCTACGATGGGTCCAGAAATTCGGGACATCCGATGGATTGCATGCTCCTCTTTTCGCAGTTTCCTCGCGTTTGTAGTCTTTTTTCTCGAGAGAAGAGGCAGGGAGAGGAGTTTGGCTATCCTTTTAAGTGACTACAACGGCGGGCGTATATCTCCTTGCGGTTTCAGACACTGGACCGAATGTACAACTCGGAGTTGGTAGACGCGGCTCGCCTGGAAAAATTACCGCTCCCAGGGGAGTAATTCAACCGCTAACGTGGAATATTTCCTCGGCACTACCCGCTTTTTTTCCTCGCAGGGGTGTATGCCTCCTCGGTGCGCGAGTTGCGTATGACTATGTGAAGGCAATATCCACGCGCATCAAAGTATTACCCATATTGATCGCCGCGATTATAAGAGCCTGGAATATAGTCGGTCCGCGTCTTTTTACCCTTCTTCTCCGGTGGTTTTCCTCCCTTATTATTTTTTTTGCTCTCGCTATTTAATCGCTAATCGGTATTAGGCCGATGTACCGGGACGTAGCTCCAGATTGTCATATCATTTCCGCTCAGCGAGTATCCTTCTCGAGTACGGAGACGTACTAATATGAAAAGTTGGGCGCAAATTCCCCACCCATGTCGGGGTGGTTATGTATTTACTCGAGGATGCACGGATTCATTGTGTATTGTGTACGGTTACAATTTGTACACGGTCCTGGAGTTACTACTCGGCTCGTTTGCTCGCATTTCTCAGTTAATGCACTCGATAATTAGAGCGCACACAGGGCAACTGTCGGAAACAAATGAGCGCGTCTCGACGTCGCGTCGAGCAGAAGACATCGAGAATGTCACGTTGAACCTCGCGGGAATTCTGCACGCAGAAAAAGAGTTTGATTCATTGAATAAAATAACGTGATTGACATCATTCTGTCCAATTAGGGAATCCTTTCGTTCCAGGGAATTGAATTGTTAGGTCATGTAATTAACCTAGCCTGCCAAAATCGTTTCGATAATTTTAGAAATTATTTTAGACGATAAACTAAATATCCCAGTTAAACGTAACAAACTACTCTAACATTTAGGACGATTTCCCGCGATATTTGATGTAATCAATCGACAATTATTAACAAATGAATTTCACCATGTCAACCTGATACTTATCTGTCCAAACAATAACCGTATTCAGTGGGTGAATAGTTTCATCGACACCCACATTTTTTTTTCCGCGTTCAAAAAAGGTGCCTCGGGTCGAATATCGGGAACGAAACCATTTGATACGAACAGCCGAGTTCGCTCGTATGTTTCAGCGGGAAACGTTATCAAAGAAGTCGCGAATTTTTAAGCCATAAGCCGTGCCATAAAACCGTCGCGTGCGTCAGAAAGAAGTGACGCGGACAGATACGTTTGTATACTTTATTGCGTCGAGGATTTTCCGCGTGGTACAATGGACGAGATATATGCATACAGAGGAGGCGTTTTCATGCCGCAACGAACGCGGATCGCTTTGGAACTCTTTTACGAGTAATAAAGTTTGATTACGCCTACGAGTGCGGGGTGACGGCCGACTTACGTTTCGCTCACTTGGCGGTACTCTCGAGCGATCTTTATTTTTAAGTACTCGGTACGAGTGATCGATTAGCCCAATAAATCGAGTTATCCGCGGTGCCGACAAGAGCCGTGCATTTTCGCGGAAACGTACCACGCCCCTTGATTGTACATAATAACGGCGGAGCAAGAGGTAAATTTACTCCATTTGGGTGGCCGTCACCCTATCGTCCACTCGAAGCTTGGCCGTTGTACATTTTATCCAAATTACGGGTGCTATTTCTCGCGCGAGTGATTTACGCCTGGCGGACCCTTTGTGCGGACGCAACGCGAGCGAGACCCCCTCGTTTTCCCGACGACCGAAACGGTTTTAACGATCGACTCGACGACGACATCGTCAACCAAAATGACAAGCGAAACGTCATACCCATCGATGGGAGACACGGCGTTCACCGGAAACGCCATTCACCTGTGGGTTTTGACATTACACGGGACGATGTTGCGAATATGTCAATTACCGCCTCTAATTGTGGCAAATAATTAAATTGGATGAGTATAAGCGAGGGGGAAGGAAAAGAGGCTTCGCAGCGGCGAAACGAGCATCGGGGAGGATTTAAATGCGACATGTCTAGTCGAGGCAGGCGACGCCTTGTCTTTCTTTCCCGGGGAAAAGCGAATGGACCAAAAGCGGCACTTTTCAACGCGAGTCGGGTCGACCGCGAAATGGCTGGAATAACGAAGACTACTCGCGCAAAGGCGCGGTCTCTTTCAAAGGGAGTCTCTCGCGTCGATTCCGGGGAGGCACTTTTCACCCCTGAATTCGTCGGGGTTCCGAGGCGCTTCTGGGGCGTTTTTTCCCCCTTTTTTGGAGAAAATAAAAAATCTCGGTCGCGAGTTATATCTAGGGGACGGCTTAATATCTCCTCGAGTGTCCCAGGAATCCTGACCGAAACTCGCTCTAGGCTTTTGAAGAGGTTTTCGGGGGTATTGCGCTTTTCCGGGATTCCGCCGCCTCCACGCCCGGAAAATTGAATTCCGACGATCGAGCAGGTTGTTTCATCCGCTCGTGGAATGCCAGAAGGAAACGCTCCCGTCGGGTTCAACGGAACCGTTCGCGACCGTTCACCGAGAGTTTGCCTCTCGTCGATGGTGTTCGAGTCTTGGAAAGGAGGACCCGTTAAACGCCCTTAACGAGCGAACGCCGTCCCAGGATTTGCGACGGCATGCAAATCCGAAAAAGGAAACACGCGGAGCTAGGTTTGCCCGAGGCCAATAAATCCATGTAAATAATAGCTGGCTGGTTGAATAGGGAAACGCGCGTCGACTCCAGCGTTTACCCCGCGGCGGGGCTTGCGTTTTGCGCGACGGTGCACCGCTGTTAATATATTAAACACGCGAGATATTGTAATAATATTATCCCTAAAATCGTATCATCTAGCCCGAGCCTTCCCAAATTTGCAGTCGGGTTAATTTCCATTATCGGTGGGTTGGGCTACTCACTATCTCTCTCCCTCTCCCTGCTGTGTTTAATTAAAACCTCTGTCAACCGCGCGCGCGTTACCCGAAACAATTAAACAATTTAATTCATCCATTTGCCGCGCGATAAATTATTCCCTCCCCGATTAATGTAACGATATTGCACGCGACGGTGTCCGGTCGACGGATTTTGAATCGCTTTCCTACGTCATTTCCGGGCATTCGTTTCCGTTTTCCCTCGGCTACGAGAGGCGTTCCCTCCTCTTCGGTCGAGAGGCTCGCACGACGCGTACGCGAAGGACCGTTATCGCGGTCGTATTATCACCGACATTACCTCTTTCGACGTCCTCCACGAGGAAGAGAAATGGCCGCTTGCGACCCCCCGTAAAACGGCTCCGAAACGCGCAATTTACGGCCAATTATCGGCGCGCGTCTCGCGATGTCGGTTTAATTCGCTCGCTCGTCGCGGCGCTGCGCGACGCCGCGTCCGAGGACGCGACGCGACGAGCTAGGAACGCGGAATTAAAGCGGCGTCGCGCGGTGGAATCCAAGAATCGATGGAAATCCGCGCATCCACGGCCCCGACCTAGCCGAGACCGACCTGCCGCGCTTTTTAACGCTCGATGCACCGACATTTTCTATAAACGCTCACCACTCCGCCCTCGCTCCCTTTTTTATCCATCTCCGTTCGCATCGACACCCCTGCTGATGAGACGCGCGGATATAGACGGGGCGCTGCACTCTCGCCGCCGAGTCATCTCGGCGCGGTTGTACGAGGACAAATAATTATGTAAATTAATACCCCTCCTGCAATGGACGTTAACGAGGGGCGCCGAAGTCGTACAAGCCCTCAAGATTGTTACCAAGAAACCTGGCTGCGTCTTGGAAAAGTACTTCCACGAAGAAAAAGAAAAATATTAAACAAAATCGTTCGATCGACTGCATCCGGTTAATTTCGAAAATCACTCCGACGGAGCGAATCGAATTTTCAATCCAAACTTGTTTGCTTCAATCAACTGCTGTGGTTTATAACTTAAGTAGTTTTTTTAGTATTAAGGTGAAGTGAAACACGTCGAGGAAGTTGATCGACGTCGATAAAGAAGATTTTTCTAAATGCCTACGTTGAAGACGTTCGTTTTTATATTGACAGCTGTGTCGAATTATACTGGATATTGTACCAAATGGCATACTCCACCTGTCGTTTCCGTACAATAAATATCAAGAAATCGAAGTAAAACTTCAGAAATCCCCTGGATTCATGCTTTCTGGGGCCCTGATTGACTGCAGAGGGATCCCCTGCGCCGTCTGTGATTTCCAGGTCAATGAAATTTTCACTCCGAGACCTCGTATTCCCATCGTTTTAGCATAGAAGCGCATACAACACTTTTTTTGCCTTTATCTCGTTCAAATGCGAGTTTATCAATTACTAGAGTGTTCTAAATTGTTATAAAATTGTCCTGACCCTTTCGATTCTCATATCAGAGCCTTCGATAATTTTATATCGATCGAAATTTGAGAGCTCGACGCCATTTTGGTTCTGGTCTGGGCTGTTAAAAAATTTTTTCCAAAAATCCAAATTTTGAATGTGTCAAGATAATTTTTAGATGATTAGGAGTGATGTGTCCATGTTTCGAAAAGTTTGGTCTGATACCCTTAAAAAAAGTGTTGTATTCGAATCGACTGATTTGAAGGGGGTTTCACTTCACCTTAAGAAATATTTCAGGCAATTGACGGAATATTTTCGATGAACGTACCGAGTTACCTTCGTACTTCGTGTGATCTTTCGCAATATCTGATGCAACGAACCGAAAGAAATTAACCAGAAATTGTTGTCATGTTAATGAAATATTTGGTTGGCGATATACTGACCATGTTTTATAATTGGACTGATAAAACTTGCATCGATCTGACCAAACACTTTTCTGAGTGTGGGCCTCAATCGAGCGCTGCATCTCTTGGCTTTGAACGTCCCTTTAATTTCGTTTAATTTAATTTTTATTTTTTTTTCAACAATCGATGCTGCCATTGAAAGATGTTAAACCCTTTTGCATCATGCGCCGACAAATTGGACAGACGTATCTACTCGCGGATGTCTTACCTTTTCTATTATGCAAACGAGATTTATAATGGATCCCACGTCAACGTGGTGCTCGCCTCTTCCCAAAATTAACGCCTCGGACGTCACTACGTTCAGATTGACGAAGAGGGAGAAAATTCCCGTGCTCCTCGAGATCTGCAACAGAAAGGAGCGCATTAGAGTCGACGGCTGGCGTTGAAAGAAAAAGGGCTCTCGACGCGTCGCGCATTCCCAACGACTCTCCGCGACGGAATTGGACGCGTCTACGTATCCGCGCGTTTCCTGCCTCCGCGCGGGTAAGCCGCGTTTAACGCGCCCGAATATGCCCGTCACGAAAATCGAAATTCGAAAATCGCGGCATCGGCGAACCGCGCGGAGGTAGACTTTACGTGTCAGTACGTCGCGAGTCACCGCACGGCCGTGACGGGAATTCCACGACGAGAGAGCGTCGTCTCTCGCCCAGAGGTATGTGAAAAAATTGGCAAAAATAGTCCACCGACGAGGAATCGGCATCGAAAGCGCGTTTACGACTTTTAGATTGAGGAAAACGAGTTATTTTTGTTTAAGTTATTTTTGTGAAGTCCGACACGATAAGCTAAAATTCGGCGGCAAATAGGTGAACATTTCCCGCCTATTCTGATTGTAAGACTTCGCACTTATTGGCCGCGTTGGGGGAAGAAAGAACATTTAACAATTAAAAACGATTACCGGGATGTAATTGCATAGAGAGGGTGAAATAATATCCCTGATTTATGCCGATTAATTATGTAGGGGATCGGTTGGATTCCTTTCTAGGTTTCCATCTTCCCAGGATTCAGAAGATATTGATTTCCGGGGGCGAAATTATTATTTATGATTATATAATTGGTTATGATTGGGGATTGGAGAAGACTGCTCGAGAACGTCTATATATCCATTCATCCTCGATTCACTCCAGATTTTTCTTAGGGGTAAAGAGTGTAATATCATGTACACTGTACACGCTTCTCCTCCGATGTCTCGTTTGTCCTAGCAACGGATAGGAGACTGTCAAAGCGAGTCTATTGACAGTCCTCGTTAGACGGTTTCTTGACTCGTTACCGCAACAACTTATATCTTTATAGATGGGTCTTCGGTCGTTTTTTACAATACGCATTTGGCGCGAACTTCTACCGAGTTCCTTGATGCGCAATTGCGTCGACGGTTGATTTCGAAATGTTGCCCTAAGTTGTGAACTCGCCTGCCTTTACGAGGTGCTTCCTCGAGGAGTCTGCTATTCAAACTACCGGCAATAAAAGCGAGGATCTCGCGCATCCCTTTCCTCCTTAAATCCGGATCTTGTAGCGTTCCGACGCATCATCGAGCCTCGGATAGAGTCCCGAGAACGGCGAATTAGAATTCGTCAGACGTGCTCGAGAATCGAATTCGAAAAGGCGCGAGACGCGCGACTCGATTCCGCGACAAAGAGACCGACCGCGACGACGAGCGCGGCAAAGGAAGTGCCGATAAAGTTCGCCTAACCAGATTTGCATGAATCAGGCAAATCGCAACTTTTAAGGAGCCCGGCGCACAAAGGAGCCGCGTCTACAAATCTTCAGGCGTAACGGCGCTTTCATTACTCCGGCGGAAAAATGGCGGGACGGTCGCGCACTTAGACCATAAATATCTAGACTTCGCATAGCAGTGGGAGGAGTAAACTCGAATACCACATGGACCAAGTGTGCCGACGGCACTCGGACCCAATCAGATTTTAGACCATATATTTATGTAGACCGCCTTGCAGTAGAAGGGGTAAACGAATGTACCACGTGTTCCGACGACAGGTGCGTATAGCTGGCACCCCCACCTTTACAAAATTCAAATTTCTTTGTCTTAACATTTTGTGCTCTTTACGTGCTAATTATGTGCTACATTCGCAAATATAAAGAGCACAAAATATTAAGGTGAAGTGAAACACGTCGAGGAACTTAATCAACGTCGATAAAGAAGATTTTTTTAAATGCCTACGTTGAAGACGTTCGTTTTTATATTGACAGCTGTGTCGAATTACATTGAATATTGTACTAAATGGTATACTATACCTGTCGTTTTCGTATAATAAATATCAAGAAATCGAAGTAAAACTCCAGAAATCCTCTGGATTCAAGCTTTCTGGGGCCCTAATTGACTGCAGAGGGACACCCTGCACCATGTGTGATTTCCAGGTCAATTAAATTTTCACTCCGAGACCCCGTATTCCCATCGTTTTAGCATAGAAGCGCATACAACACTTTTTTTACCCTTATCCCGTTCAAATGCGAGTTTATCAATTACCAGAGTGTTCTAAATTGTCGTAAAATTGTCCTGACCCTTTCGATTCTCATATCAGAGCCTTCGATAATTGTATATTGATCGAAATGAGAGCTCGACGCCATTTTGGTTCTGGTCTGGGCTGAGATAAAAAATTTTGTTAAAAAATCCAAATTTTGAACGTGTCAGGACAATTCTTAGATGATCAGGAGTGAGGTGTCATAGTTTCGGACAGTTTGGTCTAATACCCTTAAAAAAAAGTGTTGTATTCGAATCGACTGATTTGAAGGGTGTTTCACTTCACCTTGAGACGAAGAAATTTGAATTTTGTGAAGGTAGGGCTGCCAGCTTTACGCACCTCCCAACGACTCACCCAACAGTTAAACCCATTCTGTTTACTGAAAATCTGGGAGTGGGAGGTTTAATGAGAGATCTAAATATGCATGGTCTAAGGTCACGCATAAATAGGGCAATGAAGGACCCCTGAAGTGAAGGAATAACGCCCGTCGTTGCATCTTGCCGGAGAGGTGCGAAAAATCTGAATCCTCGAGTGATATAATTCCCGTCTTCCGCGGATCCCGAAGGAGAGGTATTTTTCTTCTCGATTTAAGCCCCGCTTACGCGAACGCGAGCACACCCTTCTCCTTGGAGGTAATCCCTTTCGCGGGATTATCCCCTTATTACGCCTTCTATTGCATCGCTTAAGAGTAAGTCCCGAGGTACACCCTCCCCGCGAGGGGGACCGGCCATGCACGGAGGTATTACCGAAGGCAAATCCGGAAAGTGGCGAGACGATCGGACCGCTTTCTCTCCATTATCCGTTCCTCGATCCGCGGCCTTCGAATTAAGCCAGCTGCGACGTTCTCGAAATCCAAGACCGACTTCGCAGGAGGCGAATCCTCCGCGCGTGTAATCCGCATGTTTGTCCCCGAGGGCATTCGTTGCTCCGTATTCTCGCCTCGCTCTTTCTTCCCTCGCTATGTTCCAGCGCCGCGGGGAAACGGTAAATGCATAGAATAAATATGGAGCAGAAAAAAGAAACGAGCTGGCGAGGGAAGTATCGAAGTCCTGGCGTTAACGAGTTCCGGGTCCTCCTCCGCTCGCCGAGAGCACATCGTCGTTAAGCGCCCTGGTCTGGGGATTCCGCAAGGAAAATATCGCGGTTTGACTTTATTCGTCGCGGTTTATACTTCTCCACCGCAGCTTTGGGCTCAAATCTGCTTTGTTATTCGATTTCGCGCGGTTTTTCTGTGCAGCTTCGACGACCGCGCGTGACTCTTCCTCGCGGTTCTCGCCGTGGGAGATTTCGGAATCGCCGAGTTGGCCCAGAAAATAGGTCGGGGTTGAGATATTCAAGGAGAAGGTCTCCGGGTCAAGAAGTGCTAAGATATCCCGGTGGTAATGAGTTCCAGTTACTCTTCGCCTCTTCAAGTGCACAACGGCGTTAAACTCTCGAGGGTGGAGTCGCGTTGGGATCCGACGTTGGGGTTGCGCGCACACTTTGGTCGCCGCTTGCAGCTGTAAGGGCACCAAGCGCAATCGGTACGCGTCACTTTTTTCTTCATTATATGGTATAAAAAAATCCCCGCGTTATTTATTGCTCCTTCTCAAATTAATGGCACGAGATCTCGGCCGAGCTTCTCCTCGTCGTGTTTTAATCCGCTCCGGCCCTTGGAGAGTCCCCGAAGAGGCGTCCCATTAATTTGTATTTCGTTTCCGCTCGGGATGACGTCCCTCGTACTTCGGCGACTCCTGTTGGGACGAGGCAAAGCCATTCGAGAAGGAACCCGCTGGATCAGGAAGCCCGAATTCCTGGCGGTAATGAGTTCCACGTCTCCTTTTCCCGGCACCGCCCGATTGTGTTCCCTCTTCGGGGCTGGATGCGAGGCCGGCGGCGAAAATCGAAGCGCGACTCGGCCTCACCCTAGGACTCGAATGTGTGATACGAGATATGAAATGCAAGGCACGAAATATGAAATGCGTGATACAAAATATGAAATGTGCGGTACGAAGGATGAGAGGCGCGGTACGAAGTACGAAATGCGTGATACAAAATATGAGATGTGCGGTACGAAGTATGAAATGCGCGATTAATGAAATGTTTTGTACGAAATATGAGATGCGTGGTACGAAATATGAAATGCGTGATACAAAATATGAAATGTGCGGTACGAAGTATGAAATGCGCGATACATGAAATGTTTCGTACGAAATATGAGATGTGCGGTACGGAGTATGAAATGCGCGATACATGAAATGTTTCGTACGAAGAATGAGATGCGCGGTACGAAGTATGAAATGCGCTATACATGAAATCTTTTGTACGAAATATGAGATGCGCGATACAAAATATGAGATGTGTGGTGCGAAGTGTGAAAAACGCGTTACGAAATATGAAATGAGCGATATATGAAATGTTTCGTACGAAATACGAAATGAACGATACATGAAATGTTTGGTACAAAATACGAAATGAACGATACATGAAACGTTTGGTACGAAATACGAAATGAGCGGGGCCAAAGATATGAAATGTACGATACAAAATATGAAATGCCCTGTATAAAATAGAAATGCAAGGTACAGGGGGTTCTGTCTTGACCGGCCACCTTTATGATTTGTCGGCTCCCTTTGGAGCGCCTCTAGAGGTTCCTTTGCTCCTCCGTCCGCGCCGTGGTTTCCCTTCTTTCGGGTCGGTCTCCTAGTCGCGTCGAAGGGTTCGCGCTCATTAGCAAGCCGGCACGAAACGCTGCCAGGCATCTCCGGAACGGTGTCGTTAGTGGGACCACATATAGGATTTGGCTTTGCCGAGGACTCCGTGTACTCGTTACTCGCGCCCTGGCGCTTTCGAGAACTGCCGACCGGCCGGGCCGGCCAAATGGGCAAAC